GAAATAATAAACCAAGCACCAGATCCCTTCGACCAGCTTTATCCAACTTTAACCTTTTTCTTCCATTTTTCTCCAACCAATCGACGTCCCATTCACACCTGCAAAATGTTACCACTGTTCAATATGACTGCAAAATAGTGTTCCAGGATGATTTCTATTTATCGGTTATCTGCCAAATTTTTTCCTCATTTTTGATTTCCCAGATGCAAAATTTATAATTTTATGTTAAAAGCGGTTCTATTTAATGGGTTTTCTTTCTTCGACTGGTGCTTTTACTATTTACTTTTTTGTCTGTGGAAGGATAAGACTAAAAATAAAAACTTTTCTTCTATTTTCTATTACTTTTTTCAGACTTGCGAATTATGTTTACAAATGCCGTCGTCGCAACGCTGCGTCGCCATTCGAATGTTCGCGAATCCTTTTAAATCGCTGCGGCTGTCCGCTGGATTTCGAGGAATGTTAGTGCTTTTCTCCTATTTCTTGGAGTGTGCATCGAATTCGGTTGGCACTTGCTTGTCGTCCGACACGGTGCCTGCTCGGTGCCCTCTCCGTTTGCTCCTATTTTGGCCACTGCACTTGGCCGTGGCCACTTCTGTAGCAAATAAATCTAGGCAAAGCAGAAATATTCTTTAAAATTTCTGAGTCTTAATCAAATATTTTAAGTCATTCAAAGTTGAACGCAGAATTTCGAGAAGCCGCAAAAAATTATTCAGCGTTGGTAGTGGCGGGAGACTGCGGATGGCAGCTCGATCCCGAGACTGCACTCGATCTTTACGCGCTCTATGTGCAGGTTTCATTTTAATTGTTTCTTTGAATGCGACTTGGTTTTTAATCTGAGTCCTTCAAAAGCGTTTTATCTGGTTTATCGATAAGTATCTTTACTTCTTCTTATTTTTAGCATTCTCATTTTCCATTTGAGTGCACCATTTCCAGTTCACCATTTTCTTATTTTCTTTTGGCGAAAGCAATATAATTAATTGGTTTTGCATTCATTATTATGACTTAAATGTGAATACAGTGGGTGGCGAGAAGCTAAAAAACAATTTTTAACTACTGGAATAAGCTAGCCAGTGATGTTCTTCTGCGCCATCTTCTAATAGTTCATGTTTTTACTCGTTAAATTGTGCGATTCAATGTCTGAAAGTGCCTGAAAGTGAATGAACCTATTCCTTTTTGCACCGTCCAAACTCATATGTCTGACTCGCCTTTATATTTAGAATCTCTGCTAACTGTATCAGCCCAGATCTTGATTGGTCTTCCTCACTTTTAACGCATAGTCCATCACGTAGCTTATCAATTAGTGAAAAAATGAATAGTGTTCCAAGGTAATAATGAATAGTCTTAGCAATTAGATGGAGAAAAACATGGCGACGCCTTATGATATGACTGATGATATTTTTATGCAGATATTTGAGCCAAATCGTTTGAGATTGCTTCTGCTTAGCTTTGAACACGAATATTTTATACGAATGATCAAAGTAGATGGTTATTATTGGCTATGTTTCGGAGATATTGCAAAATGGTGTACTGCAGCCATATCGATACAAATTTCTGTTTTGATGGTGATTCCGAGGCGATTCCATAAAGCAGATGGAAGAAAGCATTTGCTATAGTTATCCAGACTGCACTATCATCTTCCATTTGGCCATTTGGTATAAGAGTGGATTCAAGATTCAAAATACCAGATATTTAAAGTCTGTCCGATTGAAAGCTTTTCAGTTATTGATAAAGTAGGTGCTTTGCCCAGTGTCAGTTATTTAAATCAAAAAAACTTGCATAACCGACTTGCATTTTTTTAATAATTGTCAACAAAAAAGGCTACATCATCAGCGCATCAGCGTATTCAGAATCTGTGATATTTTACTCTAAATTCACTTGTATATTTCTTGAGCGGCTGCTAGATTTTTTCTTTAAAAAAAAAATAATTTATCGAACTGCAGAAATACATCCATGAATGACGTGAATAACATAAAAACAATTTTTGTTAAAGGCAATTGAAGGCGACGTATCTATGAGAAAAATTTTCGAAGGAGATAAAAAGTACAATGCTCGAATGTCGGTTCGCGGTCTTTCAAAGGTTTAGATCTTAAAATTGCTTGCTCTTTATAAAGTAAGCATGCAAGTAAGTAAGTAAAGTTCTTCTATATTCAATAAATTATTCTGCCATCTCGCCAAGAAATTTTAGTGTAAATTTGGGTAATTATTGATAATAATTGATTGTGATAATAATACTAATAATAATAACAATAAGATGTTGGACTTCTTGAAAAGTTAAGGTGTTTTTTGTTACTTTCGGCTTTGTGGTTTTCATACTATGTTGAATGACATCACAAGTCCTTATGCAGGTCCATCATAACTTCTTGCTTTTTTTACTGTGGAAGCAGTATGTGATTTTTTAAGGTAATTTTACTAATAAAATTCTCGAGCTATGGTACTTCAAGAGTTTAAACTGAACATCAATCGACAGAAACAATTTTAATATGTAAACTTTTGGTAACTCTATACTTCTAGAGAAAAAGCAGTCCAATTCAGTTTTGGAGATCTGGGTCTAGATGCGCATCCTAAAGAAAATGATGGAGATCGAACTGTTTAACGCTTGGAGTTTCACTTGATACTGTGTGGATTTTCTTGAATGCAATGGGGAAAAATGCTTCATAGATAGATATTCCAAGAATCTGTATAATAAAGAATTGGAATTAGTACACCAGAAACAAAGCGTCCAACAATAATAATTAATAACAATAATTAACAATAGTAATTAATAATTAATTTTAAAAATTAATAACAATAGTAATAATAATATTAATAATATAATAACAATAATATTTTATAGTGATAGTGATTGTAATGATAGTAATAATATTAATAATATTATTATTAGCATTATTATTGATTTGTATCAATTTATATTTATTTCTATCAATCTACATATATATCAATATCAATATGTATATATATATATATATATATATTACAATTTAGCAAGAGGCGATGCAGAAATACATTGATGGTGTGCGAGAAATGCAAAGAAAGAAAGAATATTCTATTAAATTTGCGGGGTAATTTTTAATTTTGATTATCTTATTAATCAGTTATATAAAAAGAGATAGAAATACACTAGCTATAGGTTTTACTATTGGTTTTATAAGTTGAATTAATATTTAGATTAATTTTGCTCGATTTTTTGAACCCATCTCAATATTTTTATGAATTTTTTATATATAAATTTTCGTTTTCATTCTAAATCGGGTAATGTGAAATCTACTGATGTATTAAACATTAACACTTTTCTTTGCTTTCTTGATTTAGCTTATCTCCACTGGAAGTTGCGTTTGAACAGGCAAAACAAAAATACGAAGAAGCCAAGATGAATCCAGTAACTAATCCGGATACAAACACTTCTATCTCTCTTTACGCACTTTATAAACAGGTCACCATTTTTATTAATTGTAAGAATTGTGCTTTCCTTTTTTATTGCATAAAAAATCACACGTCATGAGTTTAGTTCATTTTTGGTTAGCATTATTTTAATTATTAAATTTTTATTAAATTATAAATTTTTATAATTAAATTTTTAAAGCTTTTCTGTTCTAGAACTTCTTTGTTTCCCTAAATATTTTTCAGGCAGTGGAAGGAAACATGGATGCAAGAAAGCCGTTTGGACCTGTTGATCGTGCGAAGTTTGACGCTCGTTTGAAAGTCTATGGATTTTCTAGAGTTTCTTTTTAATTTTTTTGTTTTTAATTATACTTTTAATGTACTATTTTTTCATTAACCATTTTTTATATATTTTATATTCAGAAGTATTCATTTTCACAATCATTCATTAATTAAACTTTGTTTCAGGAAGAGGCCATGAAAAGGTATGTGAAAATTGTGTCGAATATGAAAAGCGAAGTACCAATAGGTTTTTTCGAGAACATTGCTATGAAATTACTTCTAACTACATTTTTTGTTCCTCCTGTGATACTGCTGTATTTGTATTTTTTTTGCTGATAACTTGTTGCAGTTCGCTGAGTTATGTTTCCCTGCCATTTTGCATTTTTAGTACAAATTTTAGTCCTCCAAGGGAAATTTCAAATTTTTTTGTTTGGGATTGATACTTTTATTCTTCTTTTTGACTTTCAGGTATTATGATTTGTTGCAATTTGATTTCACCATTGTTATACATTTTTATAAATAATAAGATTTTCCCATTTTCACGATTTAAATGTAGTAATTTTATTAAGCGAATGGATAAATTCGCAAAAATCTTTTTGATCAAGTTTATATTTTACAGTTGTATTGATTGGATAGGTTGATGGTTCGGTAGCGTAATGATTAATACATTAGAAGGCATTTGAGAATGGACCATAAAAAATCTGATATACGCAGTGAGTACCACTGATGGCAACAATGAAGCGAGGAACGATCGATTTAGAAAATAAAGACAATGTGTCTGGTTCGTTATAAAATTTATCGCTGCATCGCGTACTTTAATCAATGCTTGGCGACCATAGTTTAAGATACAAGTATAGAAGTATAAATAGTGGTTGATTAGGGAAAAACTGCGAATTTTTTAAGAATCATCCTTTAATAATGGAGGTAGTATCTACTGGCTTTTCGTTATTAGAGACGAGCAAAAGAGAAAGAGGGAATGTGAATTATATTTTGAGTTAAGATAATGTTTCAGTTCCATTCAATATAAGCGTATCAAGCGTATTTATTGCATAAATTAAACTATGCTCAGTTTAACTAAACGTTTTTTCGATTCATTTATATGGCCTTTCACCCGTTCAGTAATTTTTTCCATAACGAACAGGCGAGTTTTTATTTAAATTATGAAAATCACTCGATTAGTTGACCAAAAGAAGTTTTTTAAAAAGTCTAGGATAAGTCTTAGAGGTCTGATTTGATGATTCAGCCCGAATATATTTTCGGAGTTTTTTCAGTTTAATTAGTGGAGAACGGTATTTTAAAATTATTCACCTCAAAAAAAATTCTACAGTTTCAAATGTTAAATGTTTTTTAATTTTAGAAATTTTTCATCTCAAACAGGTTTCGAAGAAGCGCAGAAGAAATTGAAAACTCTCAGTGAAGATCCTGGTGCTGATATCAAATTAAAAATTTATGCTCTTTTTAAACAGGTTACCTTTTCAAATAGTTACCTTTGCGCTAAAATTTTTGTAATAAAGTTCTGATGAGCGATAAAAGTGACACAACCAATAAATTGATGGACAATGCTGGTTGATAAACGATTTATAAACGAATTTTTCTTAGCAGTATTTTCAGGCTACGCTGGGTGATGTATCAGGCCAAAGACCTGGAGCTCTCGATTTCGTTTCACGAGCAAAATTTGATGCATGGAAAAAATTGGAAGGGACTTCTCAAGTTAGACTTTAATTCTGTGATATTTGATTTATTTGATCTTATTCTTGAAAGATCAGATTTATAAAAAATTATGAATCTCTGTGGAATTACAAAAGGACAGCATAGCCAGTAAAAATTTTTTTTTGCATGCAATAAGTTCTTATTTTATTGGATGCTAAATTTTGCTGAGCAAATTTAGGAATTTAGGAATCAGCTCAACAATGCTATATTGACCTGGTCGACAGCCTAATTGGATCTCAAGAACCATTAAACACTACTGTTGCTGGTTTAAAACCAGTATCGGGATTAAATATCTCTATCGAAGGAAAAATTTTCAAAATTCGACTAAATCGACCGAGCAAATTCAATGCTATCACATTGGAAGTATTATTTTCAAAATCTTACTGTGGTTATATCGCAGAATATCGGCATCGCTGAAATTAATATCTCTCATTTATCTTTCATTTAGCTAAATATATCTCTCATTTCTAATGATTCTTTAACAAAATTATCTCTCTCCCGTAATCAGCCAGTCAAACTAAACATGTATCGTTACTTGAAGCAAAGAAAGGGGAAGATAGAATGGTTTGTTGGCAATTTTATTGTTGCATTCTTGTCATTTGGCTGCATCTTTGTCAACTCATATTTATTTAAAAATTTGGTGTATATTTTTAGATTTTCGATTTATTTTTTTTTTATATTATAGATGTACAATGGAATTACGGAAGCATTGAATTATTCCAGCACCGACAAAACTACATCGGTCACTGTTCTAACTGGTATGTTCGATTAACTAGGTTTTTTAATTTGATTATTATACATTTACCGGAAAAATGAAATTGTTTTTCAGGAACAGGTAATTATTTCTGTAGTGGTAATGATTTATCGAATTTTTTGGAAGTGAAAAGAGTGGAAGATATTCCCATTATGGCTGCTGAAGCTGCTAGAGTGTTAGATGCTTATACTACTGCTTATATACTACATAAGAAGCCCTTAATTGGGCTTATAAATGGTCCAGCTATTGGTATATCAGTGACGTTATTACCTCTTTTTAATCTTGTGCTTGCTTCTGATAAGGTTTTTTTCTTTTTGATTTTACACCAAAATTTTTTGCAAATATTTTCAAGTTGCGATTAACTTTTATTATTTAGCTTAAAATAAGATTTTACTTATTTAAATTTTAGACTTTTATATTCCTCATTTTTTTGGTATCTACATTAATCTTTAGGCGACTTTTCATACACCTTTCACCGCACTTGGTCAATCGCCAGAGGGTTGTTCTTCCTATACATATCCATTCATAATGGGTATGCTAAAGGTATATTTAGTTATTTGATTAATCCATTATAATTAGCAAAATATTATGTATTCTCACTAAAGCATCTCCAATTTATTATTTTAATTGTAATTGATAGATATTTTAAATCTCGTTTTGCTATCTGGGCCAAAAAAATCTGCAATCATTATATCTGCAACAAACAACTTCTTAGTTCTTTGTCATTTATTTCATTCCATTCATTCAGAATTCACCATCGTAGACTATAACTTTGCTTTTGTGTGTTGCTTCAACAGGTTAAACATTCTATCCCTGTCCTGAGAAAAGCCCATCATTGAAGATAAAATTCGGTTACTGCTGAGGTCGTATCTATATTTGTATCGCCAGACGACTCTGATTTCTTTAATTCAAATCGCTGTGGTAATTTTTACAGGCGTCTGAAGTTCTTCTCTTTGGTCGAAAATTGACTGCGATTGAAGCTATGGAACGTAATCTTATAAATGAAGTCATACCAGATAGAACCTTTTTCGATGAAAGTCAAAAGCGCGTTGAGATTTATTCGAAACTTCCTCCAGAGTCATTGCGAATGAACAAGCAACTTCTTTGTGATGCACATAGTGAAGCACTTATGGAATGCAAAGCAAGAGAAATCAAACTGTTGGAGCAAAGATGGCAAAGTGAAGAATGTATAGCAGCACTTAAACAATTCATAAATCGAAAAAAATAAATTCACCTTCTTCGTTGCGGTCGACTCAAAAGCCTTTAGTTTTAACATCTTCAGTTCTTTAAGTCCCTTCATCCCATTCAATTTGCCATTAATTTCATTCTTCCCAGTTCTCCTCATACTTTCTTAATACCTTCAGATTGCACCATCATTTACAAAGATTTCTATTTCTATTTATACTTGAATGGATTTTTCTATTTTTGTTTATGCTTGAATGGATTTTTAATTTTTTTTACTTTATTTATTATATCGATCTAACTATTATAAAGTTTTACAATTTTGTGAAATTTCAATCTATTGAGTTTAGAGATTTACCGTAGATATTTTCATGATGCTTATAAATTCTCATTTGTACAGTATTTTTATATTACGAACCGTTCAATCGACAGAGAATTTATCATTTCCATGCAACATGTGAATGCATTGAAGTTTTAAATTCTTTGAACAAATCCTTAAATCCTGGAACTTCAAGCCAAATTATTTCAGAAAAAGGTGAAAATGAATTGTCAACTTCTAAATTTTGAAGCGATCAGTCTTTCTTTTAAAATTGAATATAATATATATATATAATACTAAATATTATGTATATAATAATTAAGTAATAATATTATAATAATTTATTATCGTATGGGTCAAAATTTTTTACATTTGAACAAATGAAATATTTGAAATTCGATTTTATTTTGAATGAATATTATTCAAAAAGTATCTGACACTGAATAGAAACAATGAAAAAAAAGAATAAAATCATAATCCACTGGAAAGATCCACTGGAAAGCTATTAAATTCGAAAAATTTGCCGAAATAAATTTTAAAATCCTTGGAAAAAACCAGGTTTAGAAGAATAATGTTCCGCTTAAAAGAAACTTGAGTTGGAAAACTAAAACAAAACAAGAGAAATTTTTATAGTTCTTTATCAGCAAAAAATCGTAAATAAATTTAAATCCTTCAATTTCCAAATGTGTCAAATACGCTTTCATGAGTGGCATTCCTCGAGCAGCCAGCTTGAATTCTGCAATGTAATCGAAACTAATGGTAATTAATTAAAAAGGCTAAATAGAAAAATTTTATTTTTGTGGAGCAAATGGAGTGAATGAATTCATAGCTAAAAAATTAGCTTCGATCTCAATAATAATTAATAAATTTGGTGATACCTGAAATCAGGCAGTACTTTGAATGGTTGGCCGTGACCGGGAACTATCCAATCGCTAATGCATACTATAAGATTGGCATTTTGTCGCTTAATCGCAATATCCCAAACACCATTATCGATCATAATGTCTTTCTTAAAATGAATTTCCTGGATTTTGTGGATAATTTAAAATCTTTAAAATATGGATATAACAAAATAGATTCTAAGAAGTCCTCAGATGGCATCATAAATTTATAATACCTTTTCACTTATATATTCCTCATTTGGGATTAAATTACCAACTATAGACATTGTACCAAAATTAAGAACGTTACGCACTATTACGCTCAACCCTTGCTGCATATGGCCTGGGGTTTTCCAAACTTGCACTTGAGGAGAAAGTTTTCGAAAAGGTCGCTGAAATAAATATAACACATAGAATAACATATAGAATATAATACGATAAATTTGGTGAAAACAATGAAATCACTTGAAGTGCTGAAATCAGTATTTTGGTGAAGTTGCCATGAATGTCACTGGAAAATTTTTCCAAAACGAATGGATGGACTGGTTGAAAAAAATGAGAACGGAACATTTTGAGCATAAAAATTTTTTAATCCTTTATGCATTTTTGAAAGTCCATTTTATATTCTCCACAGATTCACTTGATATTTTAATTTTTAACCAATTGCCAATTGCCAAATTACAAATTTCCTTTAATTCTCGAATTTCTAAGCGTTTCTTCAAATTTGAAAGAAAAAATTGCTGCATAATTCCTTAGAAAAACATGAAATTCAAATCATTTTCTCCGAAATTCAATTAACTAAGAATTAACTCGGAAAAAGATCACTGTGATGTTATCAGCGAAAGTGTAAATGCTTTTGAGGCGGTTTTATGAGAATTAAAGCTGTTAAAATTAAAGTTAAAGTGGCTTACATCCTTGAGTTCAGTTGGCACAGCATTTCGCCCGATATATTCCATAACATCGAAAAGTACTGGTTTTTCAGCAAAAAAGTTTATATTTCCCATACTACTTGGATGAGCACTCGTCAATACTACCATATCAATGCCGTCGATTTCAATTTGTTCTAGAGCAATATCTGAAAATTGTTTTTGACGAGAACCTTCGAGTGATTTTTGATGAAAAAAAGGATAAAATTAAGATTTTTCACTTTCAATTAATTGGCAGCAATTTATGTCGGGGCACTTGTTTAGCACCTGTTTGTCCTTAGTCGAATTGGCTTATCTAATTCGAATCGTTACTTTTTCTCTTTTTAAGAGAATTTTTCAATAACTGAAGAGAAATTCGATTAGATCCTACCTTTGTTAATAACTAATTTAACTAAAGTTTGGTCAAGTTTGTAATATAATCACTTCGTATTTTTCATACAAAGCAAAATGTTGTTTTGCAAATTTGCATAAAATTCGACTATTTTCTTGGGAATCGTATTTTTTAAACAAAAGGTGGGTAAAATATGATTCGAACAAAAGAGCAAAAAAGAAATAATCAATGAAATTTCTGAAATCTGGATTGCTGAAAATAAAAACTATGCGAAGGCCATTATACCATTTGAAAATCCAATTTGAAATATTCTAATATAGTCAAACCAAAAATTTGCGGAATAATGTTGTTATGGAATAAAATTGTTAGGAATAAAATATTCGCGTATTCGCATTTAGTTAGCCGGTTGTTATACGGAATACTGAATTATATCGAAACGGTAATTATCATATTTCATATTTCATACTTTTGCTTTAATGTGGAATTGTTTATCCTTAAGGCATGAAGTGAAGTTTCTTGAAAAATACTTGGGCAGTAGTAATAATAAATTCTTTAAATTTTCACATTAATTGGAGATTCATTGCCAGAAATCCGTAAAATCAGTATTGCGATCGTTAGAAATGAGAAATGAGAAGATGGGAAGTTCTTTGAGAAAAACCACGCGCAATTAATTTATGATAAGAAATTTCGGTCTATTTTTTACCTTCTGAGAACAATGAGAATAGATTTCAACTGAATGAACAATGAGCGAACATGAGTAAAACTATTAACTAATATTGAAAAAAACCAAATTTGAAGAACAGTGAGTGATAAACATGCTAAGAAGAGGATTGCTCCATCAATTACGATTGTTGAGCGTGCTATATGGTGATCCAAATTGATATTTTGTATGATAAGAAATGATAAACCATGATAAACGCTCGGATGACCATTGAAAATAATATAGACAACTAGGAATATTACTGATATGCAGGCTATTATAGTCAATAATTTTAATACAAGAACCGGAATAATCCATAATGGAAGTTCTTGTAATAAACCATACCAAGTGGCAATATTACAGATTATATGCAAGCAATATAATAGAACTGACGCTACAAACAAAGCCGTAATAATTGGGTCCGACCTAAATGTTTTTGCTAAAATTAATAAAAACCTGAGGATGACAAATTACTCCACTTGTTTTGGCAAAAAAATATTAAATAAAGTAAAGAAATAAATAAAGTAAATTATAAAATCGATTTTAAAACGAAATTGTCACCTTATGCGCAAGTAAAGATGAATACTTTTAATCAGTGGTAAACTAAGAACGATAAGATCTATTAAAAGAACTAAGACAGCTGCAGATTTCTTGTTCCGCTGATAACAACCATCGGATGGAAGCCGATTGATTGAAAGTGGAAAAAAAAACGATCGGCATCAGTTGTGAAATTTCCAGAAACACCGGAGATAGGCAAAAATGTCATTAGCGTTGGAATTTAGTTCAAAAAATTGCCAGAACAATTCTTAAAGGATGTGCTTTAACAAATTCAATTTTATCGTTGATCGATTCTATAATTTTCCAGTGGATAACATTTCGTTTCGTTTTATCAAATTATCAAACTGAAGCATAAGTTTCTCAAAGAATTTCTGAAGGAAATATCCAATTATTCATTATTATTGTTCATATTTTTAAAAAAATTTCAAATATTTTTAAAGTTTTACAGTCTGAAAATTAAAAAACTATAGAACGGTCCATTCAAATCATATTCAAATTTTATGGAAGATTATTAACCTTTCAAGTTATTATTAATCTTCTGTATTGAAGTTCGGCTTAAAAAGGTGATATCTTAATATCTTAACTACTCTCCAATTTTATTTTATTCTGACGGGCTATACTGCTTAGCTGTAAGATGAAATAACAATTCGAAGTATTAGAATGACGGAATGCCTAAAAATTAATAAATGGCATCATTTTTATCGTTCTATCAATGCCATTCAGCGAAAAATGCAAGGCATAAATTCATAGCACGTAAATTAAACTCGTAAACTACTGGAAATACAAGAAAAATTTGAGAATTAATTCACATTGACAAAAATAAATAAGATCCGCAAATAAAGAAGAGAAATAAAACCAGTGCCACAATCCTAAAAACTAGCATAGCAAAATGTTTTGAGCGAGGTCAAGTGGCATGGATTTTATTCTTGCCTCCGGATTAGATCGTAGTGCGCAGTTAAACAAAAAGTCAAATTTATTCATCGTTCTATTCAATAAGCATCACTAAGTATTATAAAATATCCCTTTTCTCTCTCGCAGTTACAGCAATTTAAAATTATTGAAATTTAAAATTTATGGAAAAGATTTTAAAAACAAAAAAACTGAAAGACAAAAAGAAAAAATCGAACGGTACTTACAATGAAGAAGACGTTCAGCATCGCTTGGTGAACCTGTGTCGACTAATAAGAGAAAATCATCATCTCTTACAAGACATATAGAACCTGTCACTTCGAGTTGTCCGTTGTCATGCATCTCAAAATTCCCAAATTGGAAAACCGTCACGTTAGTGCCAAATGGTACTTTTGGTTTTGGTGTGGTGGTAGTCAATAGACGCAACCATGGATTTGCGATTTTTTTGTGAGGTCTTCTGGTTAATTCTGGTTTAGGCCTGAAATTCATGGAAATTTTGCATAGTTGATTTTAAACAAAAATTTTTGCCTTGATAGACTAGATATATATCCTAACTAACTCGGGAATGGTGGCAGAAGTAGTAGTAGTAACAGTAACTGTTGCAATCAATGGATTTGTCGGAGAAGTTCGAATATTTGACATTTTGTTCCCTATTTCCTCTTTTATTCTGGAATATTTATAGAAAATTTATCTCTAGTCCATAATTGTTATAATTTTCATAAACCGAAATAAAAAATAAACGCAGTAATTGCTATTTTTTGCTTATATAAAGTGCATATTAAAAACAATACTTATTCTTAATATACCACGGAGTTCGTCTATCAGGGATTGATGTTGATGGCCACGTATATCCAGATACTGTCGATCTGGACTTCCAGGCATTAGGCTCAATGAGTGGAGTGAATCCTATAAATGAATGCTTAATAGAGATAGACGTAATTTTTCGCGCAAATCGATTTGAATTATTGCGAAAATTTTATTAAAAATATTTACTGCTATTTGTTTTTCTATATACGGCCAATGGTCGATTTCTCAAATCTTGGCAACAAATTGATCGGCCTAACACAAAACTTTGGTCACATAAGAATCCTATGGGACATTCACCAATAAGTGAAGTTTTACAGTATGCATACTCGCCAGAAAGAATTAGTGGATCTGCTCCAAAAGGACAAACTGAAATTAAGGTTAAATAAAAGTAAGAGAAGCAAAAAATAGTTTCAAAAATATGTCGTTCGACGATTAACTTACATATACTTATATAGTTTAAATTTACATAGTTTTAGAGCCTCCCATTCAATTATAAGACTACTCTTTTGCAATAAAATTTTTATTTTTCAGCAGTTCAAGCTTTGGCAGCTTTATCTCCATTTAATATTAAATATATTAAATATTTATATTAAAATATTAAATGATGCATATTTAGACAAAAATTATCTAATGAGTGGTATATTTTAATGAAAATACTTGTATATTTACCATCTCTTTCCGATACTTTCACTCCTATTTTAGGAGCTATAATGGGAGATCCATTTTTCGATAATTTAGAAATTCCTGTGCGATCGTAGCCAAATCCAAATATTTTCATAATTGTTGATGCTAAATCGCTATTTTCACCAAGTGATGACAAGATATCATCGGCATTATATGGAGGTATCGCTTGCTGATTCGCCATAAGCCACTGTCGCAACTGTTGAGTCGATACTTCTGTTAGTATGACTGAAAATATTGGAAAGTACTGAAAAATTTTCATGTTAAATATTATGTTAAAAATATTTTATAAATATTATATTTTATTTTTATAAAAATATTAATAATGATCAATAGGACGAATATTTGCATTCACCATGAGAAAATGACCTAAGCATGGTCTTAAACATTATTCGATGTCTAAGCGATGAGTTTAAAGGATTATACTGTTTGTTATAAAAACACAGCTTTATTTCTGTGTAAATAATAATATTTTCCTTATTTTAAATATAAAAACTTTCATTTTTCTTTCTCATCGATAATATCGTCGATGAAATTTTTTCAAGGAAATGTTAAATTCTTCTAATATTAATTAATTCTGAGCTTTATTTAATTTATTTGTCTTTTGTTTATTCTTTATTCTTTATTGTTTATTGTTTTGTTGTTCTTTATTGTTTTGTTTAGCACTGACATTGAGAACATAGGTTTAAAAAGATATAAAATATATGATATATATAAATGTGGCAAAAATTGGCCATACGTTATTTTCAGTTCTCACTTGGAGTTCTTCGGCTTATCATATCTTTATTTCCTCGCCATTTCGTCTGAATTGGTTTTCACCAACTGTTAATACTCTTACCAAAGAATCAATTAAAGAATCCAGTAATATTCAGATTTTTAATGACAAAAGTACTCCCGGCAAAGGAATCGAGCCAAATGTTGATAATCGAAGCAATACATTCTATTCTATTCATAATCATAGCTCAGTCGAAAATGATAAAAACTAAATTCTTAGGTATTATTTCGATTAATAATTTATAGACTATAAAATTATTAAAATAAAAAAAATCAACTTATGCTGGTGAATACAATTTTAATTTAGATAATTCAATAATTAAATAAATAAATTAAATTTTTTAAATTGAATTTTTATAATTATTTTATTCGTATTCGTATCTCTATGAATGTAGGAAGAAGATTTAGAAAGTAATATTATAACACTACATTCATTTGAAAATTTTTAAATTTCTTTAAATGAAGTCAATTTTGAAGTTATTTTTATTAAAAGAAAATGGAATGAATACTACTGAGAAGTTAAGAATAAAGAATAGGAGGAAAAAATTTTGAAAAATCTTGCTTAAATATTATTTAGAACAAGAAAACTTAAATTTTACGATAAAATTTAGCTAATTTTTCGCTAATATTAGCATCGTTAGCATGAAGGAAAAAGAAAATTTTCGCGTTGCGAGTGTCGTAAATGATACGTCCTTTTAAGCTGCAATAAAGTCCAAATTTTTACCTCTTTCAGCAATAATTATTAGGCAGAAAAAGTAGTTGAAAATATGAATCGTCACAGCCATCATTTGAAAAATAAAAGTAGATGGGGAAAATCGAAGAATGACGATTATGGCAGAAGTTAAATAGTCAATTAAATATATAAGTTGATGCGGATATTTACTTACCTCTTGCAAATCTAGTGACCACGCCTTGTACTCCCTATTGTATTCCAATTTTTACGCTTCATTTTATCACCTTACCACCCACTTTATACAAGTATGAGGAATTACTTTTATCGGTTGGCAGATCAGATTTCAATCGGCTTTCATTCAAGAAAAAAAGATAAAGTGAAAACATGGACTTGTTTTTTTGAATTTATTTGTCATCCATCAAATAAAAATGAATTAAAGACAATAATTTGAAAAATTATTGAAGCAATATTATATTCTTGGTTTTTAGCGATGTAATCTTCGCATTCATTTCCAATGAATATAAATATGGCTTTCACCATTTCTAATTTGGCTAACTCTCGATTGATTACTAGGATAAGACCAAAGAGCCTTGGTGACAAATGTGTATCACCAAGATGTAATCGCTGATATCTCGCTTTATGTCCAACTAATAAGATTTCGAGAAATTTTTTTATTAAAAAAATCATTCCATTTTATTATTTTGAGATTATAGATGATTTTTATAAATTTTTTAAATATTAATTGTTAATTTGATCAACGAATTTTGGAAACATCCATTTTCATCGTTGATGCTTGGTGGCAGGTGGGTAATGTGATTTTCCTAGATACTAAAATCTTTTCTCGTTTTTCAGAATACAGCGACTAGTTAGTAAAGTTAGCTTTAGGAGAATGTTAGATTTAGATAAAGCTTCTTGTGATATATAATTCTGAATTTACAGCAATATTTTTTAAATCATATTAAGAATCAATAAAATTCTTCTCACACATTAACACGGAACTCCAAAAAATAGAAACAAAAATTTCTGGAACTTCCTATAAATTTTCTATTTTAAGGCAGTAATCATTGGCCATTAACCATATTTATTTTCCCAATTTCGTATAAAATCGTTTGATTATCGTTTTCGAAATGAAATACTAATCAAATTGTAAAATGTGAAAGTTCGTGTCGTCTCATCAATGAATTGAACAACAAGAAAATTTCTCAAAAGATCGTGCAAAAATTCTCCGACAAATTCTATAATGTTAAGGAAGAATATTTATTCTATTAATAATTCGATTCGTCGTATTAACAATTTCGATTTTACTTTCCTTTATTACTTTTATTTATTTATATCACAGTATTTAATTTATGCTTGGCATTTGAATATTTATATTATTTTACTAACAGAAATTTTTCGCTACTTTCGTTAAGATGTCAATTTCAATAACTATAAATTTTCTGCTTATCAATCCATTCATTATTATCAATTAATTCAGAAGATTTTTCTTTTTCTTAATTCGAAATTTTCATGACTGAAGAGAAAATGGTTAGAAAGTCACTTGGTGATACAAGTATAAATAGACCACACGATCTACCGATCCTGTCGGAAATTATCCAAATATATTTCGAATTTTCTTCTAAGAACATTCATTTCTAGTCCGTTCAATTTGTCGTGACAGATAAATTTTATTAAGAAGCCAATTTTAAGGAAAGCTGCATTAAAGATGAATAAAAGAAAAATGCCATTAAGAAATCCGTATGGAGTTGGCAATTCATTTTTATTGCCAAGTTTTACTCCATGGCGAAAATTTCCAGCCATATTCCAACAAACAGCATAGCTAGTTTAACCAGAACCAGAACCGACGAATCTCTAGCATAACTCGGATTTTTTTTTGAATGGTAAGTTTATTGCTGTCGCGTATAGAATCCTAGCATCTGCGGTCTTAAATGAAAGCAATATTAAGCAACTTTGTCCTAAACACTAACTTACCTGGATTTGAATGAATTACTTTGATGCCATAGATTTTTTCGGAATCAATTGTGTCATCTTGATATACAATTTTTTTTCCATTTTTTCTTCTTTTTTTCGTAACAAGATGTACCATTTCTGAATCGGTTGGCTCTAGAAGCCATTCGGATGAAACCCTTTCGCCACTGATTCATTTGTTGATAGAAGGCCCTCGCACCAGCTAAATTTGAGTGATTTCCTAAACTCACGCTTAAGTAGGGAATATTTAATTCTATATCTATTCAGTTATTTGTTTAAAGCAAAAAGCCAAATCTTTTCCGCAGATGTTTTCCTAGATATTTTCAGATGTTGTAATCAATTTGTTGAAATAAATTATTTTCTTATTAAATTCGAAGATTGCATTAAAAAGAATTACGAGAGAATTCTTTTACTTTAAATCTTGCGTGGGTCACAGTATCAATCACTCTATTAAGGAACAAAAAAAAGTATGGAAAAAATTCCCGATAATCGCCGAGAAAATAATTAGCCCGAACAAAATGAGAAAAATACTTTGTTTTAAAGGCGAATAAATATAATCACGGCGAATACAACCATTGGTTGAATTTATTTGGAAAAATATTTTTCTGTATCAGATTGTCAAATTTATTTTTCATCTTTCTTTGAAATCTTTATAAATAAAAGAAAAGATGGGATAACTGAGTGGATATCAAACACTTTTATAAAAACTAAGAGGCGAGAATAGGGGGTGGAATGGCTTAGTGGGTTGTTGTTCAATTGGGAGCGCCGATGCTGGGATTCAATTCTCCGCAGGAGTGGCCGTACGAAAATCTGGGTGATGCTGGTGACTCATCTGTATTTCTATCGCCAAGGAACTCCCTGGCATATTACCCAATGCGACAAGCCAGTGGAGCGAGTTCAACCAGTAATGGTGAGGACCCTTTAAAAAGAAGAGGCGAAAAGTGTTTTGGAAATTTGGTGATTTTAAGAGGCGATTTTTGAAGAAGTTCCCTAAGAATTTATTGATTACATTAATTAATAGAATTAAGGAATTATTAATTAAATAAAAAATAAGAATTTTTGAAAATCATTCTTAAAAAGGTTATAATATTTTTTCTTCAAAATTTTTATATCTTTCTGATTTATTTATGAATATAAATATTTATTTATATTTTTGATGCTATTGCATTTCCATAAATCTTTTCATTTAAAGAGTGATTCCACCGAATTTTTTTATTTTTTATAATTTTTTTATTTTAGATGATTATTAAATGCCACTCGAACATTTTAATTCACTCTTCTCCTCCTTCATCCTCTAAAAGAACCATGAATGAAAATAATATTAAATAAGAATAAGATAATAAAAATAAAATAAAATAAAAAAGACCATTTTAAATTTGAACTATGGCAATTAAACTATTACCATCATGGATAAAATTTTCGTTATCACCACAGTTTATGAAAATAATTGTAAGTTAATGGTTAACGGCTCACCATTTCTAGTTTCAATAGCTGTTAATATACTAATCTTTGCAAAGGACTCAATAGGCAAATAAAATAAAGCTGAATCTGCCAGAACCATCCGGATTTTTTGAAGATAGGGTACTCTTGCCATAGATAGGAGTCGAACAGTTGCATCTCAACATGACAATCTGAGCCATCCATTCAGTTATCCTATTTTTATGCCGCCATCAAAAAAATTATAGTAATAATAGGAGAAATAAAAGGCTTGATGAGCTAATCGTCATCATTATTTCTTAATTTTACGTGTGATATCAAATTTAAACAACTATTTCTCTTGACTTCAGATGAAACATTCAATCAGTCATTTTTTTCCTTTATTGTTTCTTTTGCTTTAAGCATTCGTGTTTCCTTATTTATCGAATTTTAACCCAGTTAATATGGAGTGAGATATGCGAATGGTGTTTGCTTCAAACCAGCATCATGGATTCTAGTTTTGACCTTTGGTAAAAGTAAATTTATCATCAAAAGTGAAATGGTTCGGGGGTCCAGCATATACTTTTATCCACAACTACTAAAGAATCTCTTAGAAGTCAGTATAATGAGCGATTCAGAAGATTCTATATGAAAAAATAAGTAATACTTGAAAAAGATTGGAGTAGTTGTCGCAGATTATCGTCCCAAGTGAAGATTCCACCCCTCTCTCCAATAGCAGCAATCCTGTCGTTGAAAATTCATGTAGTAAAAACTAATTCTAAGTGTCTCTCTGGCGAAAATTTCTCCTCTAATTAACAGCGATTGGAATAAGCATAATCAGAGAAGGTGATCATTTACTTATTTGTATCCATTTGCGCTTGGAAAATGCAGAAACACCTCAAAATTTTTGGATAATTTGAATTTTTCAAATTTCAATCTCTTCTACCATTTATTACAGTCATAATGATAAAGAAATAAAATTGATATTTGGTGCAAAAACAAAAGTGGCATATAACCAGCCAACATTATTCTCCTTTGATTTCACTGGACAAATACTGAATCTTTCAATTACTCCTTGCCATTTGGTTACGTGTGAGTAAATTTTTCTTCGATCAATTAATTAAGGTGCAATAAATCCTTGCTTATACGTAGTTATTACTTACTATTTTTATATAGTTTTAAACGTTATATGGTTTTATATAATTTTATGGCTTTATATATAATATGGTAGCGGCAATAGATATATCCTTTAAGTTTTTCCACTGGGAAATCAAACAAAATCTAAAATCGTATTTCCTTTTTTTTTATTTTCATTTCTTGTTACCGACTTAAAATTACTTTTATTTCTGATTAAATCTGTCACTTTTAATTATATTAATTCACTTGAAAAATGGTTTTTAATATGGAAAATTTGTGTATTTCCTATTAAAGTGAATTACTACCAAAATAATGAACTAACTTTAAGGAAGAAGGCGGAGTTGTTGGAATAATTAATTGAAATTGAAGAGAAAATTATTGTGAAAATTTAGTAAATGCTTCACACGCGAAAGATTTCAGTTTCATTTTCATTCGTTCAAGAAATTAGGGTCCTTTTCCAGTGAGTGCTAACAAAATGTGAATTTACCAGCAATTAAAAATGCGGCCAAGGTTGATGAACTAAAAAGGTTCCATCCTTCTGCATGACAACGACAGAGCACATTGCACGAACGATCTTACAGAAATTTGCTTGCATGTCGAAATTGTCCATCATCGGCCACAGCCGACAGGTTTTTCACTATTAAGCTTTCCTATCTTCTGTTTTCTCCAGAACTTTAAAATAAAATTTTGAAAGTATTTTTCAACGGGTTGGTTCGGAGCTTGGACTTTCATATAAATGGAATAAATGGACTTGTTGATTAAAGTCTGTTTACTGCTAAATTATCAAATACTTTTGATTAACAGTAATAAGTTTTCCCGGATGGTGATGCGGGTCCACCTGTATTTATATACTTCTATTCCAAAATTAATTGACTCTTTGGTTATAATCCAAATAGCTAGTGAAGCTAGCCAAGCCAGAAGTGCTGTTAATGATTATTTCTTGATCGTGTTGCGATTATTGAAATTTTAGATATTTTCTTAAAATATAAGTTATCGTAGATTATATAAAACAAAAATTATTTGAATTTATTCCGCTTGTCTATCTAATTTGAAGAATATGGATTAGATGGATTAAATTGATGAGAATTTAATCAAAAGTTTGATTCGTCTGGTTCGTGTTCTACTAATTCTCACCATTTATCATCATATTTTTTGTTAATGTCTGTATAAAGTGAAATATTCGTTGAACCGATTTTTTGGCCATTGCGCGGCAGCATTTGGATAAATCCTAATTCAGATTTTTCTATTTCTCATAAATATCGTCTTTATAATATTTAACTTAGTATTTGATTAATTATTAATATTTATTATTATTTAATACCATTCTTATTGGTCGTTTTATCCACTGATTCGCCTGGTCAATTTTTCTAAATAATCTTTCTTAGGAAAAATCTTATGAAACATCTAGTTTGCCACGTTATTCATTCACTGGTACCATCTCAAAGATGAAGCTCATTACAATTTTTTTATTTGCAGGTTAGCCTTAAAATTATTTTTCTCTAATTTTTTGCTAATTTTAATAAATTTTAACTTAAAAAATTCTAATGATAAAATCTTTCTAATATGAGAAGGAATTTTTTGCTTATTTAAATGGATTTGTCGATTTTAGTGAATTTCTTAGGATTTTATAGGATTTCTTCTGGATTTAATATATAATTTGAAACAAAAAGAAAGCATATCATCGTACATCATCGTACATGGCTAAGCTTTTCATAAAAATGACGGATTAATTGATGCGAAATCAAATTTTAGTCGCCCAAATAATACGAAATTCTGCATTTCCTGGCGCTGATTGCATTGAACCATGCATAGAAGAAATGCAATTGGTGATGAATAATATGCCGTTCAATAAAATTAATCAGTATGGCCAACTGTCATTTCCACAGTTACTTCAGGTTCCTTTTCATAGTAAATATGGAATTATTTAGCATTTTATCAATTTTCCTCAGGAAATAATTAGTGATCAACAGCAGAAGCCAACAACTTGTTTCTTTCAGACAACGGAAAATCGTCGAATGACAGAAAATTTATTTAAACGAATTTGCAGGTGCGTTTTTTTTCTGTTTCTGAAACAGATTTATCCTAAAAATTAAGTCAGAGTGGATTGGAGTTTTTGAATCTAAAAATTTCAAAGAAATATTCATCACTGGTACCGTTTTATTTCATTTATTAACAAGTTCACCTCATCTTCCCACAGCAAATTTTGACTGAAAGCGTTTATTTTTTTTTCATAGAATGCGAGCATTTTGAAAAATATTATCCTTGAATTTCCTTAAATCGAGTAATTCTTCATGCCATTGATGTGCCATTCGATCGCTCATTAATCGTGCTCTATTCATGCCATTTTTTGCAATTTTTTCCTGCTTTAGCTGTTTAAGATTTTTAAAAAGAAAATGTATGCATGTGTGAAAATTTTGATCTTTTTTCCGAGGAAATATTTTTCATTTTCTCCTTTTCAAATGAATCGCTTTTTTTCATTATTTGCGTTCATGGTGTAGCAAAGATTTTATTTTTTAAATATTTTCAGAAAATCCATATTTTCTATCACTTTTTCTCTTCTTTCTTAAGGATTTTTCTATTAAATATATTTCATATATCCGTAGAAAATAGGCGAAGTTTTTTCAATAGCTCGCACAATTTTACTGGCTATTGGGATAAAAATCATCGCGGTCTGATGTTATATGCATAAATAGCTGAATTGCTCAATAGTTGCTCGTTTTTCTACCGCATAAGTTGCAAATCTTCGGGGCTAAGTTAATCTGTCCTTATTCAAATATTTATTCAGATCTTGACTGAGCGAAAACTATAGTCCTTCAGAATTCGAGTACTTTGTTCCTTAAAAATTCTTTACCGAATGTTTCGAATTTTAACTATTTAAAGTGCATATGAGAACGTTGATCGATGTTTGCAAGAATGCCAACGAATGTCGGAATATAGCGCAAAAATAAGACAAACTTACGCCGGATTGAAATATATATGTGTTGAACAAAAGAATGGTTATTATTTATGCATTTTTTATTATTTCAAATAGAATAATGGATTTGACAGAGACTTAAAATTCATAAGTTTCTTATAAGTTAAACTATATAGCGTAAATGCGGCAGCGATAATGGATCATCAATTAAGAGAAATCATGAAATATTAATAAATCCATTTTTGTGATTGGAAATGACAATATATTGACCTCAATTAATACATTTAAATCCTTAAATCCAATATAATTTCTCCCTTTTCTCTCTAAAATAAATGATTTTGGCCCGATTGAAGCACCTAAATCAGTTTTTTTCGCCTCTAATATTAGGTCGGCAAGAATGTCGAAAATAGAAAATAGATTGATACATTAAGGCAAACAGATTAAAGGATCATTGGAGTAATTAGATGATAAAACAGCAATTTTTAAAGGTGATTTTATTTATAGAAGGAGAAATATTCCCATTATTTATTTTCGATTTAATTATTACTTACAATTTGTTTGTTTGCCAACATATATAAACGGGACTCTTTCTAACTGCAAAACTAGCGTCAGAAGAAAATGCCATGAAGTAACCATTTGAAAAAAAATTCTGAAAATTGCTTATATTGTGGGACTTGCTTTAGACTTCAGTAAAGTTGCATTTAGCCTAAAAATGTCCCGAGGTCCAGAGAATGTGGACGCTTTCCCAAGGATTTTTTTTCAAGGAGTTGTGCTCACAATTTATTTGATTGCCAATCTATTAATAGGACTCATTGAAACTTATGTTTTTGCACAGATTTGTTTAAATTTCCTTTCGATGACTGCCTGGGGATCAATTACTTCAACAAATATCCAAAATCTTATTCTTGAGAGGTCCATTTTTAAAGAAATTATATTGTTCTTTTTCGGTTGACACATCAGAAATAATGGATGAACGTAGATGAAACTGAAAGTGATTTTGTTAAAACTGCATTCTGGTAGCTAATTAGAGCTTCGATTAACCAAAAATCCCATTTTTGCCATCTTTCCCATGGGAATAGTGGCTTTTTATTTTATTTACTAACAAATGAACAGCAATGCCTTGCAGCAATCTCCGAAAATGAATCCCTCTTTTTTTTCGAGTTTGAGGAATTAACTATTGAAAGTAAAAAAAAAATTAAGAAATTAAAGGAAACAAATCGTTTATTGATTACTAAATTAATAAAATTTTGGAAGAAACATTAAGAAATTAAATCGAATAAAATGAAAATAAGAAATTCAACAATAATTAAAATAATAAATAATAATAATGGAAGAACATTGGACATGAAAAAATATAAAAATGAAAAAAAATAAAAATAAAAAAAGAAAACTAAAAAGTGCAAAAAAGTTTAAAATTTTATTTGATAGTTTTTAAAAAAATTCATGAAAGAATTTTTACAAAAAAATTTAAAAAAAATATTTGTGATTTTTAAAAGTAAATGGAATAAATATTTTAATAATAATAAATAAATAAATATTTTGCTAAAGTGCCATTTAAAATTTCAGAATTCTTCAGTGCACTGCCTTGCCTGGCCAAGTAAGTTTCCTCTTTTAGTTTAATATTCTGTCATCAATATTGGAAATTCTCCCCATCTCCTCCACCCCATCCCCACCCACCTTCTTGATTTCCACTTCCTTACTGCCTTCGTTCCTAAAAAAAATTAGTTAAAAACTTGTAGTGATAGAGAAATATTAAAGATATGAAGCGACTGCGATGTCGAAATGCAAGCAAGAAATAAATGAGTCGCTAGTTGGAAGTAATTTGTTTAGTGAAGCAGTTGCAAATCGAGAACACCATACTATTCCTACGAGATTTACCACTCTTTGTAGGTAATAATAATTCCATTTTTTATGATTTACTTCACCGCATAAAATTATCTGCCGTTTTTTTAGAATTTAGGGATAAATTTTATGCGAAATTTGGGAGTACTGTTTTATCCGAGGGAGTTTTGTGGATGTATTTATCTCCCAAGAGATTTTATCTGGTTGCCTCTCATTAGAACAGTCGGTGAAGCCAAATAAACAAAAAATGGTGTAAGCGAGGAAGGGATGAGATAAAAATTGATTAGTTATAACAAACACTAATAGCGAATTATGGAAGCGGAAAATTTTAACGATTCCATTTAATTTTTAGAGGTTTATCACAAATGATCCAATGCATTGAACCAATAACCCGAACCGCTTGCGGTGACGATGCTGCTCATATGATGCTCAAATTTATTACCGTTGGATTTGCCAGGTAATTTGGCTCTTTGATAATTAAAAATTTAAAATTATATGTAAATCCGACTTCTGTCCATTTCGATTGTTCCAGAAAAAAGAAATTCCCCTCCCCCTTCTCCACCCCTTGTCTCTCTTTGAATTTTTGAAAAAATAAGTAGCCAACTTGGAAAAAATTCCGTAAAAACCCAGAGATAAAAAATCCAGAAGAGTATATTTTCCAGCTTTGAACAACTATACAGTCAACTCGGAACAAGTGATCAACTTCCCTCTTCTTGTAGACAATTATTAATGCTAACGACAGAACGCAAAGGTAGTGAAAGACGTGCAGCTGTTCCAGCGGAATCTGCCTGGAATATTTCAACAAAAAGCTTCCTTGATCCATACATCATTGCACCACTTATATTTCACTTAATAAAACAAGATTTTTGGTATTTAAGAAATAAATTAGGCTTAGTTTTATGAATAATTAAAAGAAAATCACTCGCATAAAATTAGAAATGAGCGATTTTTGCCTAGAAAAGTAAAGAGAAAATTTCTTTACATATTTTGTCTCAAGATTTCTTGATTGGCAATTTTTTCCGCGTGAGGTTCTTTACAAATGTTTTGATAACAATGATAACAAGAGAACATACTCTAATTTTTTAAAAATAATATTAAAATTATTGGAATACATCGCTTTTCTAGCATCAGAATTATTATCAGAATTATTGCGCTTTTAAAAAATATATTCTTAAGCTTATAAACTATATTCTTTTGATAGATCTAATTAAATCACACATCAAAGTTACTAAAAAAGATATTTTTAAGATAAAATCAAATACTGCCACAGTCTATACGTTAATAAATGCCATTATATGTATTAAAATCCTTTTTATATCATACAAATTTTTTCCACAGATTTTACTCAAAATTTTACCTAAATGATTTCTAACAGTTTTACAGATTGTTTCACGAAATTTTATTCGTAAATTTTATTTTATTTAACAAATCATTACGCAGGAAAGCTTTCATAATGAGCATAAACCCTTTTACTTATATTATAAAACATAGCACCCAGCTGTCTGCCAGGTCCAACTTCCATGTAAAGTGGATATTGATGATTCTGAAATTATTTTTTGATATTTAGTTCAAATAAATTATTAAAATTTTTGGTAGCCTAAAAAAACCTGCGGACATAAAATAAGATGGAAGCAAAATGAACTTAAATTTTCGAGTTAAATCTAAAGAAAGTGGATTTAATAATAACAATGATCAAATAAAATATATATATATATATAATATATTAAATAAATATATATATTAAATAAATAAATGTATATATATATATATATATAAAGGAAAATTCTCCTTGCATCATGCTAAATTGTACTTTGCAAAGCAAGAAAAGATTTCACAGCAATAAATAAAAACCCGATGCAGTCGAAAAAGATGTTGCTGAATCTGTTCCCATTTTACTGAATTGTAAATTTGCTTAACAATAGAAGCTTTGATTGAAATTGGTGAATCATGAAATAATTCCCCCGTATAGTTCGAAAAAATGTTAATGCATGGTGGATTTATAGTGATATCTGGAACAAAATTATAATACTAAAAATTCGCGCAAACTTTAGTTCAAACTATACATCGTTTCATCTACTTTTATTTTTTCTGAAAAATTGCCAATGAGATTAGGATTAAATGTTGAAATATTGAAAAAAAAACCTTTTAAAGCTGCATTCAGTGGTTCAGCAGCTTCTTTCATAAGAGTAGTATGAAATGCCCCACTAACCGCCAGCTTTTTAACCACCTAAACACCTCACTAATTATTCCATCATAATTTTTCCAAATGATTGCATAAATAAAAGAAATGGATAAAATAATGATAATTAAAATAATTACCAAGATGGAGATCAAAAAAGTATATAGAAAAACAGAACCTGAAACGAATATTTGTCTTTATTTTGTATTAAGTAATCCATACATTTCTGAGATGCACCAATGACCTTGACGTGGCAAAATAAATAATTGGATATTTCACATATTGCTAGTTCGTTTTTTTCCCTGAAAATTTCATACAATCTACAATGGTAAATGTTTAATAATAAAAGCAGTTTATAAGGGATTAAAAAAAGCACAGTACACTGCTGATAATTTGGCGTCTTTCATGGCTTCAGAAAGTCGAGAAATGGCGGAAGTCCGAATAGTTAGCATCCCCGAACTAATGCGTTGACTGCACTGATTCATCGCTTCTGCTCGAATTTTCACAAGCTTGACTGCTGTAATTCAGTAATTTCAATAATAAAAAAAAAGGAGCAAAAAAATGCAAGCGACAGAAAACAAAAATACAATGAAAAACAAATAAAAAACACTAAATAATTTTAAAAATAAGCCAAAAACAGTCAGTGTGTTTAAGTTTATATGGATATTATGGAAATAGAAATAAAATTTGCAAAAAAACAACCAAAGGATACCGTCTTCGAAGCTAATGACTCCTGCAAGAACAAGTGAAGCAATTTCACCAACACTAAAACCAGCAGTATGAGTTAATTTGTCAACTACCCATTCATTTGATTGTTTAAATTTTTCCCACGCTGCCAAACAAGTCACAAGCATTGCAGGCTGACAATAAATTGTTTGGTCAAGTTTTGTTTTGGGACCTATTAATATGGGAACGTAAATTTCACAAAATAAATGAAATAAGATAAAAAAATAAAATCCAAGATTTTTTATTTTTACCTTCGATACAAATTTGTTTCAAATCATATTGAAGAATTTCGGAAGCTCGTTCATATATTTCATCTGCTTTACGACAATCTATCACCTAAATATTGAAATGCAATGAAATAAGCCTAAATAATAATAATCCTGCTTTGTCAAAAAATTTAAAAAATACATAAGGGGGAAGTAAAAAATCGTTTTTTCGTGTACAGCTATTTAAAATTTTTCTAAAACCAACAATAATATATATGGTCATTAAAAACTGGAATAATTTCTTCCATGTTACCGAAATTTTAATTATTTAAAAATGAATATTTCGCTGATAAAGGTTCGAACTTAAAATTTATATTTAAATGTATTAAGATGCATTGGGGAATTTTTTGAGCAATCCCACTTTTGAAATAAATTTATGAAAAACTGAAATTATCACTTTTTTTCCCATTCCTGTATATTGTGATCCTTGACCAGGAAACATAACTACCACTTGCTCACTTATCGGTATATGGCCAAAATTAATTCCTTTTTTCTTTTTCTTCGTCTCTTTTTTCATTTTCTCTTGAGTTGAATGCATAAGCCGCTCCATGTCCTTCAAGATTCAACGAATATTACCACTGATTCAACAGCATGGAAGATAGAAATAACTACTACTTTATAAAAAATGCATATTGCTGTATTGATTTTTGACCTACGACTATAGAACAACAGATAGTTGTTGAAAATCCTCCTAAAAATGCTATTACTTTCCTAGAATAAGGAATTGAAGAGGGATCTGTCATCAGATTATGTATATCAGAATAGGTTGTAGCGTCCTCAATCCACTTTACAGGACGATTTGTTGGTTTCTTGAGAGTTTCAATTGGATCTGGACAAAGGAACTTTTTGGATCGAATTCGCCTGATGCCTCGAACAGTTGAAAGCAGCGGAGGAACAGCTCTCTTCATCCTCAAAATAGACGAATTTTGTCATCGGGTGATTGAAATAAGAACGTAAGCTAGAAAAACGGAAGGCTAAAAAAGCATCGAAAACTTGAAAGAATGCCTACTCGATACTCGATTTTCGCTATTCGAATTGAGATTAACTACATTAAAATATTTTTTAATAAGCAAATATCATTGGTATATGTAATACTCCAGATGCTTTATAAAATTTATTTTATTGAATCACAAAAAATTTACCAAAAACACTGCCACTTTTTTCAATCACTACAAAAAACAGCCAATTTATTACAAAAAATATTTTCCTAAACTATCAAACTTTCTAATGGACCTTGCGAAATTCAAATAAATATGGATGAACACCCACTGCAAATCAAAGTTTCAAAATCAAAAGCCAATTTTTTATTTCTAAAATCACTCATCATAAGCTCGCTGACTTGTCACACCAGATATTTTATCAGAGATTTCCTTAACGACAGAAATAGGTGAGCTGCCACTATGACTTTTCAGGTTGCTGCGAAGTAAAATCCGACATAGGCCCAGAAAATTAAGCTAGCTTCTTTACAAATTATACGAAAATCGAAAAAGATTGAAGTGCACTTTATGGAAATATTGAAAGGCGAAAAGGAAATTCCAATCTAAGAAATATATGCTCAAGAATTTTAATAAGAATTTCGCTTTGAAATTTTGGAAAATCTAAAAAATTCATGAAATTTGATACTTCATCATTTAAATTTAAATTTACATAATTTTTTAAATCAAATCAAAGATTTCTTCTAATAATCTACTAAATAATCAAAAAATATCACCAAACAATGTGCAAAATTTACACAAGAATATACATAATACAAATATATATATATAAACCATATACAATGCAAATTTATTCATGTCACAAATAAAAAAATAACCACAGTTATTCATAAGAAACAAATAGTTCCTTAAACCAGTAATAATTTTAATATTTTTGAGATTTCTTTGAATTAAAGCAAACTTGAGATATTCACCAAGTGCTAAAACGGTGAAACTGCGAGAAAAGCAATCCAGATGTTGAGATTGCATCATCAATACCAACAGTTCTGGATGGAAATTTACATACGAGAACTGGTGTATAAATAAAAACTACATCCTTCCGCATCCAAGAAGCTATTGGCCTTAAAACATAAAAAATATAAAATAACTCTTTTTGAATTATTTCGAACAATAAAAATCAGTTTTATGCGGTAACTATTTTATCCAGCAAATGGTAATGAGAAAAGGAAAAACCTTAAGAAAAAAAAATTCAAAATTAACTTGTGAGGCTCGAAATTGTACATTTTGCCAACTTCTCTATCAAGTACATGTGTAAGAGATGTCCTTAATTCCAAATTATCAGTATTTATATCTCTAGCTGCGTTACATGAATATGCAGCAGTTCGCGCACCAGCAGCTAAGCCCGCCGCCAAATTAGACCAATCCGTTCCACGATAAACATGAAAATTTTTTTTTTTTGAATTCATATAATAATCAAAATAATTTATGGTGATATTTAAATGGGCTACTTTCCGAGAACCCATCATTTATTGTTAAAAGATTTTCAAACATTATTGAAATTTGAGTTAATTCAAAAAAATATTATATTATAAAAGACACCATCAAATGAAAAATAAGTGAGTGAAAATGAATTCTAGACAATCGGTAGTTATAGTTATCCGAAGCTGGATCATTCTTATCGCTTCCATAAGTTGTAATTAACCAGTATAGCATTTCAACAACCTGAATATGAAAATTTCATGGATTTATGGAAAAAAATAAATGAATTATTAAACATTTATCATTTAATCACAAATGATTAAAGAAATTTAAATAAAAATAATCAAACTATATAACCAAACTAAAAGAAGCTATATAATCAAACTAAAAAAAATTGGTTTAGAATAGCTAATAATTGAATTTCAAATACTTTATGCACATGCACTGCACCAGGAGAAACAGGATAAAGATCAGTATATGGACCATTCGCAATATGCGAGAAAAAAGCCAATTCTTGTTCATTGATACCAAGTGAATCGACATTTGGAACTATCTAGAAAAAGCAGTGGGGAATTTTTACTATCTTTAAAGTGATAAATGCTAAAATCAATTTCAAGATCTATTTGTTATCTGCTCATATCGATATCAAGCAACAATCGAAATTAGGAAAAAATAGCGGAGAAAACCTTTTTCAGCACTTCGGCAACATAATCCGCATGACCAATACTGCCAAGTTCTAAATGGATTGGAATGTTTGAAGGCAATTGCAACAAATTCCTCTTTATCAATCGCAGTTTTTCCGACCTCATTTCTTTGTTCTACAAAGTTTTCCACGTGAAGATAAAAATTTAAAGCAGAAAAAAATTTTGAAATTGATGGAAATAGGAAAATATTAAATATGATACTTGTGTTTGAATTAAATGAACTCCTGTTAGTATAATTAAATCAGGCTGGAACTGTGAGATAGCTTTGAAAAACATTTCGATCACAACTGAACTACCACTACAAGAAAATTATTACAAATATCGCCAAGAATTAGGAGAACATTTAAGGTAACAACAAATGACAAAAAATCTTCCCACGTAACAAAATAAAGAAAATTACCTGTACTGATCATGAGAAGTAATAAACCGAGAAGATGCAGGAGCCACATATTCACCAAGAATTTCGCCTTGTTTGTATTCCATGATTATATGGATCTCATCTTTGATTATGCGAGTTGAATTTGTGCGAACGATTGATGGGTGAAGCAAAGCCTGGCTTCGTGGCCCTATAGGCCCAACTAAGTATGCCTAAGATTTAAAATGCAATATAATGTAATGTAAAATTGAATTTATTTTTGGCCTAAATTAAACTTAAATTTGCAGGAATATGAAAAAATGGCCTAGATTTAATTATGACAAAGATCAGCTTCAACAATTCCAATCATTTAAAAAAATGCATTTCTCTAAATATTTTTTTCAAACAATCTAAAAAAATTTAAAATAAGGTTTCAAAACAAATTACAGTTGTCCTTGGAAATGATGATGCAATTTTTTCTGCCATAAGTGCAGCATTTCCTCCGATGTAATATTGTGGACGCTGCTGAGAATCTCCAGCAGCTTGCACTAATATTTGGAAAAGTTTTTCATCAGAAGTATGTCTATAATATTCAAGGTTTATGTGAGATAAAATAATAAAATTAGAAAAAATTAGAAAGAAATAAAAGTAAATGACCTAAGTGATAGATAAGCAACCTTTCTGCAGCCGCACCCCTCGAAAAAAAATATGCAAAAGCTTCATAAAGTTCATTTACATCATTCAAAACCTAAAAAAATTTTTTTCCACTTATTATTTATTTGTCTATTCATCATTAATTAAATCACTGCTGCAAATTCTGAAAAAAATTCCAACCATTTTTTGCTGAAAATTCATTTATGATAACAATGGCTAATTTCCAACTTTCCATCAAAACTGATGAATGGCGTCGGACCGAGCAGCTTGGAAGTGTCTTACCCTTGTAGTCGCTGGAGCCAGTCTAACCAGTAATGGTGAGAGCTGTTAGAAGAAGAATAAAAGTTAGATAATGCAGAGTTTGAAAACGATTAAAACAAAGGTTATAGGTGTGGAGAGCTGGAAACAGATGCAGTGTTTCTTAAACTGAAGTCCAAGTCCACGAATCACTGGGTATTCTTTTCAAAAGATCGTATGTTTTATGTATTATGAAATATTTTTACGATTATTTATTTACCAATGAAATTTTACAATAAAATGGAAAGTATTCAATTGCTATGAAAGAGAGATTTCACACGAAAAAGTCACGCGGCGTTGAAATTACTTAATATTACGAATTATTCCTTTTCCTTTCTGCGAATATACACCACTGCTGTCGGAAATTTTGCCATGGAGATGAAGAAGAAAATGGGTTGCCAGCACCATTAAATCGGCTCCAAAATAAGGATAACAACAAAGAACCAGAAACAAGTGAGAAACAACAAAGACAATCCATCGAGCTACTTTAACACCTTTGCTTTCATTATCTGACATATTGTAAAGAGCCATTCTTGATAGAAATTACCTTGCCATTAAGCCATCGAAGCGCCAAGTGAACCGTTCAAATGAAACCTAATATAATCTGATGAATTTATACAATACGTGCAAATGCATTAGCTAAACCGCTCCGAATTTTAGGAGTGACAGCAAAGTTGAGTAGAAGCTCAGCGATATCCCATTTTTTTATTTCTAATTTCCTCCATTCATTTCCGATTACATTTGTGCAAGGGACTGGATTCTCTTCATATATTTCAACAAAAGCTTATAACAGATTATAACAGATTATACATTATAACAGATAAAATGAGAACCTTCCATTAAAACAGATATCAAAAATATCTGTTAAAATTTAATGCCATTCATCTCATGAACTTTAATATAAAAACAATAAATAATTTTAATTTTACTTTGTAAGAGCATTCACCATTTCTCATCATTTCTCCTTAGGATAATTAGGATAAGACAAATTTTGTCACCTAACAGTGGAAGTATACGTGAGTCGCCAACACCATAAGTATTTTTGAAAAATAGATTTACTGTTGCCGGAGAAATAAAAGTTTAGCATCTGCACTCCAAAATGAAAGCAACAACGTCATTCTATATTCCACACTAATGTTTAATGTTTAATTTTATTATTTTATTTATTATTTTATTATAGTTATGTTTTATTATTATTGAAGTAAAAGAAATATTTCAAAAAATTCTCAGATCTTAATTCACATAACCATAAATGCTACCATTAAAATTTCATTCAAACGAATATAGTATAATCCTTAACAAATATTTTAAGACTACGAAGGCCAAAAAAATTTAAAAAAGGTTCCGCGCCATGAAATGATTAGAATAAAAAGAGAATAGGATTGCAGAATTTTTAAAAAATGGTCAAATTAAAATGTAGAATCAGAATGCATGAGTGCAGAATCTGTGAAAATTAGGATTAATAAAGACTGTATCGAAGCGGTTAGGGCTGATACAAATTAAGATGCAAGAGTTTAAAAGAGGTTAAAGAATACTTTTCAAATAAAAATAAAATAAATTAAAATTAGATTCATTCCTAATCATCAAAGTGATCGAAAATGAATGGAAATTAAATGTGACAAGGATAAATTTAATAAAGAAAACCTCGTGGTCTTTCCTTAAATTAGTGGTTGCATTCGATTTTTCGAGAAAACTTATTCCAGAGACAATTAAATCAACGTTGCAATTTATTCTGCAAAAAGATTACTTTAAATTTGAAATTTCAAAAATTAAAAATAATGTAAATGTTAAAATAAAGAAATTCACCACTTCACAACTATTGGTTAATTTTTATAATTGGTCAGAATCCGTAACAGTGGTGATATGGTGACGGTTGAATACTTAAATTTGAAGAAAGATATCCGATTTGATCTCGCATAGCAACTTGTTGATAAACGTCAATTATGGCATCATAAGAAAGTTGTATAAGTAGATATCTGATTATTTCAGCGATAGGTTTCATGTTATACCAATAATTTTCTTCCCGACCAGTCAAGTTAGTTACCTTAAGGCAGCGTATTGACTCTTTCCCCTATTGAATGTATGTAAAGGATAAGATCATAAAAGATCATTAAAGTTATATTAAACTCCACTATTTACCTTTACATTGATAATTGGACAGTCCATTACGCTCATAGCAATTTATAAAAAGATCCCCGTAATAAGACGATCTTTTGCATATAAATCCAAGAAAGCCCGATCACTTTTTTGATTGATTTGATTTTGATTTTTTTTTATTAATATTCTTACGCGTGTCAATTTCAGATCTTGCTGTTAATGTGAACAGAAATCTCGATTTTGACCACTGTTTACTGACATAATAAAAAATACCTTTTAGAATTTATTGGTATGCTTCGATCATTTAAAAAAAGGAAAACTTTCTTTGTGAAATCTACAAAACATTTATTCGGCCTTTGTGCAACACAGCCTACTATTCACCCACATAACGCAGATCAAAGAAACTTACTGAAGGACAACAAAAATAGTTTGTAAATCTACTCAGTTTTATAGTAGCATTTACAACGAAAAATTAAAATATTTAGCTTATACTTAAGATTAAAATTAAGTAGGATCAGATGTATATAATATATAAAATTAGTAATTAATATATAAAATTATACATATTTACTTTAAACTGGATTGTATCTGACAGGGGCTAAAGCCATTAGCAGCACAAGTGTGTTGATTACCAGTGCGACTACTTTGACCTTAAATTTCCTCAATTTCCTCTAAATCCTCTTTCAGCTCTTGGTATCTCTCTAGCTTCCCCTTCTTGGTACTTGATGTTGCTGTACCCATCATCTATCACTATCACCAGCATTGATTTTTGGTTCTTGTCCACTACCATGATTGATTGGTCAGCACTTATTTGCTTATTTCAATATAAAAAATTCCATAGGATCTTACCCTTATTATTCTCTATATTTATTATTCTCTTATTATTCTCTATAACTTTCTGGGTGATTCCTATCTGATCTTAAAGATCAAACCATATACAGATATCCTAATATACTGTGGATAATGCCAGCTATTTGATTATATTTTTTAGTGCTGTTCCTGCTTGCATCTTATATCCTGTCACTGTGCTGGCCAGTTTCTGAGGCGTCATAATCTACAGTTTATGCCTGTAACATCGATTTTATTTTTCCCATTTAATTGGTTAGTTGGTCTAATTCTTTGGTAGCATTTAGATGTTGCAAACTTTTCTGCTTCCTCATCGTGGTTTCCATGTGACTGTGGAATATCAAGTTATCCGTTGTTACTCTTTAGTATGCTTACTATATGCCCTGGTCTATCCCATCGCTCATAATTACTTTCCCTTTTTTTAGCATTCGGTCACACTTCTTCAGCTCGAATAAAATGGCAGCACAGGTCTGCGTTAGATGAATGAGTGAATCAATGTCTCACTCGCATATAACTTAATGTCAAACATGTAGAAAAGATGGTTGATGGTAGTTCTGCTTGAACTTAATCTTGAATTTAAATTAGTATCCACTTCTTGTGATCTAACTGAAAGGATTTAAGCTTAAGCAATAATAACAATATATCATGTTAATATATGCCGTATTTGATAGGCATTTGTGCTTGATTCTGATGTTCCTTATGCCATTTTGAACAATATTCATATACTCATGTAGCTTTGTAGCTTGATGGCTATGATGTAGTATATCCACACTATAGATGGACGCACAAATGAGTCGCCAGGATCACTCGAATGTTTGGAAAAGTTTATTCCAGCCGGAAGTAGAACCTCAGTACAGGTGCACTGAATTGGGTCTTGGACTACAGCCCACTAAGCCATCTATTTTCCTCTGTTTTTCTGTTTAAGCGACACTTTAAGCTGACGAAGGATGATGCGACTGGGGATTCGACCTCAAGCCTCGATTCTTGATGGAAATTATCTTGTCACTGAGCCAAAGATTGCCAACTATCTCTATTATTACTACAACAAAAAACTAATGAATATATGCCACGGCCAAAGCAATTCTATAGATGCTTAGTATAAGATATAGAAGAATACCAGTAGATATCCCCCACTGGTGGAAATATGAACATCGTGTAAAGATAGGGCCCTAAAAATAAAAAGATTGCACTTCACAGTGGATAAAAAAACCAACAGTAGTTCACGAATGCCTAGATGAACCAGATGTTAACGCCGGAAGGTTCTCGTCCAGACTGATTCAAGAAAGGACCCTCACAAAGAATCAGAACCATCTAACTAGCCGCCAATAAACCGCCTCACCACCACAACATGGAAAATTTTATCATAACCACCAAGCTATATGAGCCAGTTATATCATCAAAATTCAAAAAGGCATTGGGAATAACACCAAAGACTTCAAACAACAGCTTTTAAAGCAATCACTCAAAGCCTCGACAGACCAATTTGAGCACAGACTGGATTGACTGTAGGAAAGCCTACGACTCAGGGCCTCATGGATCTATGTCTGGTGCTATACAAAATCAATTCTGAAGACTTAGTAATACCTCAGTAAGACGGTGAAAAAAGATATTGGAAGTCAACTTGTTCGCACAAAGCAACATATCAAGAAGTATTGTTCTAGCTACTATCATAAATCTACATCCTCTCACTTAAATAATCAAAAAAAGAAACTAATGGAATCTAGTTCAAGAGCTGGACTACCATCAACCATCTCTTGATGCTGTCAAGTTAAACGCGAAAGCAGACAACTGACTCGTTCATCAAACACGAAATCTACTGGTATGTAATTCGGACAAGGTAAAGAAATGTGACTGAGGTACTTAAAGGAGGAAAAATAGATAAAACTTATGGTGCGAACTTACAAGCATGGTATACAACAGATTGGCTGCAAGTATCTTGGTACCCTATGGTCATATGATAGGAAACAAGCAAGCAAGCAGATTAAGATACCCTGAAAGCAGTTCGGTAGGAAAAACAAGGCCATAAATATCTTCGTCCTGCTAATTATTACATGAACTGCCAACAAAATGAGAAGATCAAAATAAGACTACCGTGATAACTACTGTCAAGACTATAATCAAGACTATTAAGATATCAATGTGGCGACTTGGAAATTTCTCACAATGCATGGAGATTTCCACTCTAGATATTATACCAGCCGAAAAAAGTGAAGCCTAGAAAGAAATATCTCGCCATTATCCTCTGAATGGAATCTGAAGCATTCAAAAATACATCTCAACAAGATGACACCAAAAGATGAGTTGATAAGAAACGAACTGTCTGAAAAAACAACATACATTTGAAGACGATCGGGTAAGGAAAAGTGCATGGCAAAATCATGCATATAGCATCAACAAATAGCTGCGGTGATTGACATTGAGAAATCGACGTACAATTAGTGGCTGAAAAAAGCCGAGCTAAAAAGTCAGATCCACAGAAGCAGCGATCTGCCACACTAAACAGAAACCAAGATGATTCACAGAAAGGTCTCAGAGATTATCCAACACATAATGACAGGATATATGATGCAGGCAAAAACACAATGAACTGCATAACTACTAGATCCTCCCAAGATCAGATAGCAGATTCCATAGAAAATGGTGGAGAACAAAAGGTATGTGTAGAAAAATGGCTTAATAGATTTAAGGAACAATATCTATCCAGAAGAGCGCACTGTTAACAACAGCAAACTCTGTGTAGAACCGGATCTTCCAGACCTCTCGCAGAGGATCCGAGGCTAAGAAAAACCCATACCGTACATGTGGAATAATAAGAAGAAAATTTTTTTTGGTTTCGCTCTTAATATTTATATCAAATACCAGATGTATCCATCGAATATTGATGAAACCATCACACAGAATCGCTCAAACCATAATTTTTTGTCGCCCCTGACAATACGTACATATATGCGCTGTGACGATGGAATCAAAAGAAAGATTCAGGATGCGGAAGGATTTTAAACACGTAGAGGTTCAGCGAACATAAAGGATAATGAAAAATGTAAGGATTTAGATTAAAACTGAGTGGTTTGAGAATCTATCTCGCCATTTCTCATTTCGTTACCTCCACTGATTACTAGCGTAAAATGCTTTCACAGGCCATTAGCAAATAAGAACACATGTGAATCGTACTTTACTTTTATGTTAAACAATAGAAATTGGATTGTCTCCAGCAGCCGAAATTTTGAAGGCCAAATTAAACTTACCCAATGACAGCTCGACGAAATAGAATTGTCGGTTGTGAAATAACCCTGTCCCACGCTAGTGTTAATGCTTGCTCAACTGTGTACGACTGGATTCGTTGTTGTTCGTTAAAATAACTATAAAACCATGGAACAGCAGCAAATACTAACGACAAATGAAGTAAACGGTTATAAGGAGAATTCCACGATATCATCAAATAAAATCTGAAATTGAAAAAACTTCAAATCCCGAGAAAGCAATAAAGTTTATTTAAGGAAAAGCGTAAACGAATGGACAATGGTTTAAAGTATCAAACTGAGAGGAAGAGTCTGACTTCTGAGGAGTTAACTTTAAGTGGTGCCAACGACCTATCCTCTATCGCCAAGTAAGCCCTTCATTTCCCAAAAATTTTCCAGCCAGGAAAAAGGAATGGCTTCTATTATTACTGGCGATATCGTCGAGCAGCTTGGAGACGTCTTACCCAGTTGTAGCCAGCGGAGCTGGCCTAACCATTAATGGTGAGAGCTATTAGAAGAAAAAGAAGCCAGCACAGCTAAATTTATCAATTATGAAATTATGAATATTCATAAGCGTTAAAATACAGGAAAATCGCTCGAATATTGAAATTAAACCTGAATTAATAATTATAATCATTAAAAATTATTTAATAATTAATCAATGATTACTAACTATTACTATTAAATGAATTAAACACCACTGAATTATTAGTGAAACATTTTCTGGCACTTTGACGTAATTCTATATTCTCTACTCACGAAACACAATTATCAGCTATTGTCTATAAGGAGAAACTGAAGTAAAGAAGAATAGTTTGCCATAAATTGGAATATTTTGTGAAATTCACCTCTCTGAATAAGCATAAATTTCCCAAGCGGGTAACCAAACAACCCACGAACAAAATTTTATTTATCTTCAAACAAAATCTGCCACACATAACAAACTTAAAAAACTAATTGCTTCATTAAGAAATTTTGGCAGGATGTGGTGCGTCAGTGACTTAGTAGTAAGACGAATAGCACCGAGAATGGTTCGAATCCGACCAACGTAGCGCGCAACGGCGAAGCCAGGAGAGCGCATGAAGGCTCAATGAGTTGCGCAGTTTGAAACGCAGCACTGAGGTTCCATTTCCCACAGGAATAAACTTGTCTTTCAATAACCAGATAACACTGCAAAAACCTCAGGACTTCCACAGAGTTGGAGGGGAAAAAATTTACATCTTTTATTTTCGTCAGTCTCTCTCTGACTGAAAATGTCCTCCGATTCGAGAATGCCCTATTGCTTCTTCCGAGATCAGCTCTTTGCTCTTTGACGTGTAGCAATGATTATTGTTCCTTGACGGGGGGAGTAAATCTGCCGTTTTAAATAAAACCTGCTAGCAACGAACTTTTGCTTCCACAAATCAAGCAGATCTATCACAACATATTATCACTATAATTATCATTATTACCAGAAGACTTAATTCGATCTCAAGTTTCAGAATTAGCCAAGCCAAATATATGCAAATCACCGATCACACAACGGTATTGTGCTTCAATATTTTTAGAGAATTTTAAGCTATTATAAATTTATGCGGTCTTGAAACGAAACAATTAGAATTTTTGTTCGATAATCGGTTTCTGGATTTTTCCGATTTTTATAAAACGGTTTGAAATCGCAGATATATTTTAATTTTTAATAAAAAATGCATGGAAAAGGCCGATCGATTTTTAAATAAGTTTGCTAGTCATTTTGCATAATTTAATTAATTAATTCTAATTGAAATAATTTGAAGGGCTAATTAATTAGTAATTAAAATATTTATTAAAATTCATTCATTTTCGAAAAATATTGCAATCAATGAATTTTGCTGTTATTTATTTATTGAATAATTGAATTTGTTAATTTAAATTGTAGGGAGCGCAGACGATTTTTGCTTAGACTCGGTTTTCTCGTTTGGGATATTTGAGCGGAACTGTAGCGGAATTAGGAGACGGAGGTAGGGTGGGATTCGACTTGAGTGCGCTGAGTCTCTGTCGGAGGGGCGACTCGAAATCGCCTCACGGAGCAAAGGACCTTCGACCACATTCACCGCATTCCTAGTAATCCTTTCTGTTTAAGAGCGCTCACGATTTCTGGTCTGATTTCTGATCGGAAATTTTCACATGGAAGCACTTGGCGTTAGAGGTAAAGGTGAGTCGCAGCGCCATAATAAATTTAAAATCAGTGATTAAAATTGTCTGCATAATGCTTGCTTCATGTGTATGTCTCAGAGAAAAAATGGATCCACATCTTCAGAAATTTCGACCCATATTGTTGCAACCCTTTGAAATCCTCAGAATCTTTTATATTTTATGTATGGTTGTGTTTTATGAAGGCTTTTGTCTGTCTCTAAAGCTTCTACATCATAACTTTTTCATTTAATTTTATTAATTAATTTTTCCATTTTTTTCAGATTCTTGAACCAAAAAAAATTTTTATGGAAGACATCACTAAAATATTGTTGTAAAATATCGATGAAACAAATTGATTTTTCGATTTTTCTAATAAAATTACCATTTTTAATTTATATTCTTCGAAAATAGTTTCATAATGAAGTTTTTGATTTTTTTAATTGTTTATATGAAATATAATTGCCGTGCAATTTATTATGAGAATCATGGGATTATACGCGAAAATTATGTTACACTGGCTGCACATTTTGCTGCTGATAGTCTTTACAAAGCTTTACGATTAGAAGTCAATGAATTACTTGGTGTGCCAGTTATGCAGGTTATGCCAGTTTTTTTTAAATTCTTTTTTTTGTTCATTAACGGCAGTAAACCTGTCACTAAGGATGGAAACCAGATGACGCTGATGCCTCACCTACATTTCTCTTTCCATTTTTAGTGAAAGAAAAAAGTTATAATCCTCATGATATTATAATTAAGTTATAAGTTATAATCCTCATGAAAAATTTATAATCCAATAGAGTCATCCAAACTGGAAATGATTGGTGCTAGAAAAAGAGGAAATTAATTTATTATTCAGTGATTAACCAAATTTCTTTAAACGATTTTTATTTTTCGATTTTTTGCCTCCAAGTCTCCAAATTTCTATTAATTTTTTATCTTTAATTTTAGTCGATTATTGATGGATTATCATTCAAACAAATATCGCTGAATGGATCATTGGTCTCTGATATTGCATTACGCCTCGATAATACTTTACAACATTATATATCACTGCTTCGAAATATGCATAAACATATTGCTGCAAATCAGCATTTCGAAATTACAAATCGAAAGTTTCATAAGGCAATAGCTGAATGTTCGCGAATCAGTTCGAATATGCTAAAGTTTGAATCTTTTTGAATTTTTAAATCTTTTTGTCTAATAATTTCGATTTGTAATGTTTCGGATTTCCAATATTAATCTTGCTAAAAATTCATATTTTCTACAAAAATTAAATCAAGTTGGGGTGATCACGAATGTTTTTTTTTTCAACTATAATTTTCCAGTTTCATTCAATTTTAATCTTTTAAGAAATTTTCCATTTTTTTCTGCAGTCAATACAATGAATTTTTGTTTCATTTGTTTCAGTTTTTGAAATACTTTTCAACAGTGCAGCTTAGGGAATCTCTATTTTCAATATTTTCATTATTATTTAAATAGTCCTTTTGTTTAATCATAGATATCCGAATCAGAATTAGAATAAAAGATCATTTGGTTTCATTATTTTTATGTTCAGTTCGAATGTACCAAACTTCAAATTTTAGTTTTGAAGAACAATTTGGTACCAGAGTAAATTTAACTACTTTGTGTGCTATACAAAACTATCAAAACAACAATTTAATCAGCGAATCACTTGGAAGTTTGGCATCTTGTTCGTTAAGTTTCATTCATTTACTTTGGATTTTATAAGGCTTTATCTGTAAGAAAGTTTAGAGTGGGTCAGTGGGTTGCCTCGCATTTTGGAGCCATAGTGCTGTTTTTATTTTCCTTTTAAGAGTAAACCTTTTCCAAAAATCTGGGTGGTGCTGGGTCCACCTGTATTTTTAGCCAAATGATTCTCTAACAAAATTTGTCTATTCTGGCAAACCAGCGAAGTACTTAACGGAGAGCTTAACCTAACTCGGTATGGTGGACACTCGTAAGTTACAGTTGATTTAGATATTCAAGTCGAATTAGCTGATATTTGAGCTGATTTTTATAAGATTTGTCATTAAATGAATATCTTCTCCCATATCTTTTGCATATTTTAATTATTTTATAACTTTTTATGGAAAATTCTTTTTTAATATCCTTACACTCGTGAAAATTGATAATACAACTTATATACAAGTTATTATTTGTTGATTGATAGCAAATAAATTTTAATTTAAAATTTTAATTTTTGGGCCAATAGATTGAAGCTATATTTTGGCTGAAATTTTAATAAATAAATATACCTCAGTTATTGAGAAAAGAAGGTAGAAAGAAATTTCTAGGAAATACAATCAAAAAAACTCTTCGGTATTTTTTTCTTGCCAACTTTTATTTTTTTATTATAATTTTAAAAAACTTTTTTAAGTGTTTCAAGCTAATGTTCATGATAATGCTATACGTTGGCAGTATTTGATTGGTGTAGATGGAACTCATATCGAATATCCAGCTCATATAATTCCAGCTCACAAACGTCGTCACTGGATACCATTTTTGAATGCTGCCTTAAAATTTAATCGTCGAGTTTTAATTCTTCTTGATTTAGGTTTCACTAAATTTTTTTCTTTTTATTAAGTGATGTAATTTTATTGCTAAAATGGTCCATTTTATAATTTCGCTATTAGATATTCGTCATTATTTCTTATTTCAAGATAATCATAAAAAATTATGGAAAAATGAAAAGGTTTAATACATATTTGATTTGATACATTTGATAAAGATTTATAGATTAGTTTAATATTTTCATTCCAGGTACGATTCATACTAAAACGCAATTATTAACTTTAAAACACGCTGCCAAAATATTGCTGGACTGTGCTTTACCTGGAGATAGGTTAATTTTTTGCTTATTACATTTAAACAGCACCAGTTTTTTTTGTGAAAATTCATTAATAATATGAATTTAGAGCAAAAATTGGATTCAGAAATTTTCTTCGCAAACCACAGTTATCACGTTTAGAAAAATGAAAAATTTTCTTAATTTTCTAAATCCACTTTATTCGTTTTTTTTAAAGGTATATGGTGGCTGTGACAACAAGTAAAGGTATTGAACGAGCTTGTCCGCTCTATAATTTTTTGGATACTACCTCTGATCATTTGCTTTCCATGTCTACATTTATTGATACTTTATTGGTAGCACCATCAAATAATTTTTCCCATTCAGAAATTATTCAAAGCGCATATTCGCTATTAGAAGAAGTAATTTTTTATTGCTTAGGATATTCTTTGTTATCAATTTAATTTTTCTATTAGATTTTTTATTGAGGCAAAATGTTCTGCAATTTTGTTAAAACCAACCTCATTCTAATTTTTTAAGGATGATTCAGTTTTTCGAGGCACAACTAATGTGTATCATAATATTATTTTTTATATTAGTCGAGGAGTTATGTCGGAATTAAGTGAAGCAGTATCAGTTCTCAAAACTATCGCGAAGTCAACAATACGATCAAATATCAGTGTAAAGATAAACACTATGGCGCTAGTGATTGGTTCGCCATACTTTTATTTAAGCGTTTGATATATTTTAATCCGAATTTCCGGCTTTCAGATAACAAAGCTCCAATGACCTGGTCCGTTGATTTTTTGCGAAGTATTGCTGAACAAAATTTTAGCAGATATTTTCATTCATTTCCTGAAGATTTAAGGATTATACTGAATGAATCTAAAATTATCGTTTCTCCAGGAAAAGTAAAATTTTTTTTCTCAATTTCACTTTTTTCAAAATTTTTCGAAGAATAAATCCTCAATTAATATCTTTATCTTTAAATTTAGGCTGTCATTTTAAATGAAGGCGATTTATCTCCTCTAACATTGCCTCAAGTTCATCAAATGTTATCAGTAGAGTATGCAGTTGCAGCAGGTGATAATTCAAATTTAAGGATACATTGGTCTTATCCATTCATTGAATATCAGTCGACATTGTTATCTTTGTCCACAAGTATATCAAATAAGGAGAAACAACTGGTTTTTTTTATTTTTCCATAATTTATTTACAAATATTCGCTGGAATATGAAAACATTTTTTACATTATGAACTTGATAGTGTGAATACCTGCAGTTTCCTGATTAAAAAGCATAAATAAATGATTCATATTCATGTTAAAATCATCGAGAATATTGATGACCTTCGTATATTTCAGACTTCAGTTGTTGGAATCGATTTAAATTTTGATGTGATAGCCGATGCTATAAAGTACACTGATTTATTAGTTATGTCAGGTCGAAAAAATCGTCTTCGATTATTTATCTGCGATTTGCAAGGGTTTCCATTTTTTTTTTTTGCATTTCAAGATGATTCTTTTTTTAACTAGAGAATGAAAAAATTTATGGCAAAATACTGTTTCAGGCGTGTTGTTATTGATTCTCGTTTACGAAGATCACATTCTTGGCCTTTGCATATTGGCGATCTTGAGAGCTGGTCTGCTAAAGATCGTTGGCTTAGTGAAATTTTTTTGTCCAGTGAAATCAATCAAGGTTCTTTTGATTTGGCCAAATTAGAAAAGGGCAACAGCATAAAACTAAAATATTTTTGGATGCGCGTTAGTTTTCTTTGCAATTCTTTGCAACTTTATGATTTGTTGGTTATTTTGGTTTTTAATGTATTTTCTCATTATTAAATATCTTGATTCTAAATTCTTGAAATCTTTATTATAAAAAAGAAAATACGATTAAAAAATCAAAAAAATTTAAGAGAGTGAAGAGAGAGAGAAAAAAGAGAATATGAAAATTCCTTTGTTTAATCGGGTTATGCCTCAAATTTATTATTAGATCTTTTCAGCTTAAAAATGCGCCACTGGTTGTTGTTTTAACGAAGAAAATTTCACATTCTTCGGGCAGTGTATCATTATTAGAAAAAAATGCTAGGCAGAAATATACTTTGGATAATTTAGTCTATCATAGACTCGATATTCAGGTATTACATATATATATATATATATATATATTGCTTATTGGGCATTTTGGCAGATGCTATAGAAATTTCATTTTTTTTTGTGATTATCTTATATCTTCAGCGTGATTCGTCTCTTTCATACTGTGACCATCTTGGTTCTTTATCAACGGTAGATTCCGGAGGTGTTTATCTTAGTCCAAGCTGTTTTACAGCCTCTTCAATTTTGAGGTCGCAGTCGGCGCAATGGATCATGAATTACTGGGTCTATTTGGGTAGATTTTTTACACTATTTTCTTTAAGCTGGATTGAACTTTTCTGATTTCTACTCTCTTTTACACTGATTTCATTTTCTATTTTTAAATTTGTAAAGCCTTACAGGTGATCCACTAGGCTTAATTAGAAACACTGGTATTCGTTCTGGTGTGAGAGAACATGTTGGAGCTCTTTCTTCAATATTAACACATTGGAAGAAGAAGGCGAAAGGTGACTCGAATGAATATATAATTCGTCGATATGTAGCTACATCTCGTGGCATAATGATTACTTATCCTGCCACAGTTGTTCGCGACGATTATGAACCAGCTATGCAGTCATGGTATTTCATTATTTCTTCAAAAACAGCGAATTAGCCAATTTTTGCATTTGCTTTTATAGTTTGAAGAAAATGAATGAAATATAGGTTTGTCCGAGCTACTAAATTTCCTGGAAAAATTGTATTCACTGGGCCATTCTTAGAAGATCAAGTTGGTCAGATAGTCACATTATCGACTGCAATCTTTGAGGGTAAATCTTTTTATTTACGTTATTTACGTTAATATGATTTGTTTTGCTTAGTTCCATAGTTCATAATGCCAAAGTCTGAATATCATAAAGCCAGATCCTAATTATCGGATGCTTCAAAGAATTATAACGGTAGTAGTACGGCGGGACAGAAATCGCTGTCGGTGCCTTGAGAATGTAGATGGCGGCTCTTATAAGTAATAATAGCAAAATGTTTCGACTTCTTCACAAAGCAACTATAACTCGAGAAAGGCTCAGCGAAATGATATGGGATATTAATGAGATTCATATTAAGGCTATTAAGGATCGCCTCATAAGATGGAAAGAAATTTTTGAGGCTAAACTTAACACGATGCGCCATCTGTTATCCCGGATATAACTGATTCTACCGTCGAGCCTTACGTTTACAACCGTGAATCGCTAACAGAAGAGGAAATAATCTCTGTAATCCATAAACTTGAAACGAATAGAACTCCAGGAGAAGGTGGTCTTCGGGCTGAATTATTCATTTGTCCATCATCGTTCATAAAAACAATTCTGCTTCCAATTTCTTAGAAAGAACGCACTGCGATAGTTACCGATGTATCAACCTACTAGACATCTCCGGAAAAATTTTCCTTCTGCTAAATACACTCTTGGCAACTTGTGATAGCAGTATGTGTCCTAACCAAGCTGAATTCAGATCGGAACGCGGTTGTGCTGACCAAATATTCACTCTAACAAGGGTGCTGGAACATCCCTTCAAATATCAGGAACTCATCTTCATGTACTTCATCGATTTTGCGGCTATCTTTGATTCAATTGATAGAGCGGCGCTTTGGAGGATGATGGAACGCGACAGTTCCAGAGAAGATCACTCGGCTCATAAAGGCATTTTATCAGCGTATCTTGGCACAAGCATATGTATATGGGCTCTGACAGACCCCTCTGAAATAAAAAATGGTATCCTTTCCCTACAATATTTAACTATTTGATAAAATGGATAATGGGTATAGTTTATCGGCATTCAAGAGATATGCAAATCAGTCTGGAGCATAACATCGCAGATCTTGAATATGCTAATAATGTGTCCGTAATAATAATATAGTTCTTTTTACTTACAGTTGTAATGAAACACAAATAATGTTAAATAATGTGTCAACAATGTACTGCAGCGAGAATCAGACTCAAAGTCAATGTAAATAAAACGGATGTGTTTTCGTCTTATATACAATATGCTGATAAAATATCTATTTTTAACAATTCATTACCGGTTGAGAAAGAACCCGACTTTAAATATCTTGAATCCACTCTAATTCCAAATGAACTAGACAAGGGATGAAATTGTGATCTGGATAACGACAGCTAGAAATGTTTTTTTTCCGGCTGATGAAATCTTTATGGAATCATCGCGAAATTGCCATAAAGACGAAAATCCGAGTCCATGTAACTTCAATTCGCTCGATCTTGCTGGCTACAAAACATGTTCAATGAGAATATTAAGAAGCCATCAGCCGGAAAAAGGATTCTATGATTCATTTTATGATGTTAAGCGGATAATATTGCAAATTATTGTATTCATCTTCATTCAAATGGCACCTGTATTAATAATGTTATCACAGAACATTGCCTTCGCTGGTTAGGGCACGTTCTTTGTCATTCACCACAGGAATTGACGATATTTCGCTACTTGCCAAACCCTGTGATGGTTGGCTCCAAAAGTAAAGAGGAGCAGTCAAGATCTGGTCTGACACAATCAGGAACGTATAGAAGATCCAGCGATATCTGGACTTAGACGATGGAAAATGGAGTAGCATTTATTACTATTAGCGATGGCATCAGATCAAGCAGCTTGCAAATGGCTAGCAGAGCCAGAATGTCTTGTATGATTCCAGCTTAAGCATATAATGGTGAGAGTGTATTTTCTGTTGATATTGTAAATGCAAGATATTTTTTATATTTTTCTGGATTTCAAGGTAGGTCAAGAAGCTTACATAATTTAAATGAGGAGCAAATTTTCGCTGTCATTGCTATGGATATTCCAGTCAGTTATCTCACAAAAATAGTACGAAATAACCTTCAGATATGTCGAGAAGTTAGTTGCTCAATATACTTTTTTGTTTAAATTATTCTAATACATTGACAGATTTGCCATAAATTTTTTTGTAAAACAACCACAATCATTAAGCTTTCTGATTATCATTAATTCAGTGAATTTTCATCAAAAATATATAAATAAAATATATATCGACCAATTTTTAATTTTTTGGTAATTATATTTATCTTCAATTGTCATTATTAGTAAATTAGTAAATTATCGACTTAATAAGGAAAGTGAATCTCTTGTATGATTCCAACATTTAGGTCTTTTTTTTCGATTTCTTTTTTCTTTTAACTTATTTTTTCCTGTCTTTTCTTTTTTATTTTTTTTTAAATTATTTCACTTTTAAAGTCTAATTTTTCATATATTGTGTAATTTTATGTGTAAGAATTTTTCCATTCCAGAAAATATTCTAGGTATTTAAATGAAAATTAACTCCTCTTAATTTTTTTGTATTAAGTTGCATTTCAGTTGAGGCGGTGTATACTGTTTGATGATCTTGGTTATGTCGTCTCTTATGATATAGATGATTGGATGAATGGTAAACGTAAGCGTATATCACATAATGGTTTAATCGATGCTATAGAAAAATATCATATAAGCCATTTGGAACCTCAGTTGACAATGCATCTTATCTTAAACAGTCAGTTTGTGGAAAAAAAACAGTGCGCTCAGTGGCCCACTCGTTCCATAGAAAGATTTTTTCAATTTAATGTTTCGTTTTCTGATGCATTAAGAGTTAGTTTTGTTTTCGATTTCATAAACAAAACATTTCTTCAAATTATATAAAATGGCTAATTTTTTGTTAGATATTCATTTCTTTTATTGAAATAAATTTAGGTTTCATGTGATGATGGTAGTTATAATTTCTTATCTAAATCAGGTGGCTTACTTGCTGAAGTTATACCAGTATCGCATTCCAACATTTTCTTGGCACTCATGAATGAGAGTTGCTCTCCGATTCATTCTGTTCAGGTTTTTATTTGGTTATTTGCAAACTATTACGCTTTGATATCTTTTTTAATTTTTTTAAAATTTTTTTAAATCTTTTTTCTAAAAATAATATCTTAGCTATCATTGATGTTTATTCATATTTATCCATACTATTTATTCAGTGATTTTATTAATCCTGAAAACTTTCCATCTCATTCTGATATTTTTTTCGTTGGTAAATTTTAATGGTAAATTTTCCTATTTGGATTACAATATATATAATATATAATATATATAATATATTGGATTATAATATATATTTCCTTAATTTTTTAAAAATTTCTTTCGAACTCTTATTTTCTTCTTGTTTTCAAAATTTAAAAATTTCTTTCAAAGTAAATTTTCTGATGTTTTAGGCTTTTTGTCCTTGTTCCGTTAATGATCGGCGTTGTTTGCTTTGTTCTCGTTTTGATAATGCTGAGTGTGAATGCCCTTGTCAATGTCCGATGGAATATGATCCACTCTGTAATTCAGCTTTAATAAATGATTCGTTTGTTGATAAGGTTGAAAACATTCCTTACTTTTTTAATCTTTAATTTTAATTTTTTTACATTTAATTGCCATGCCTTTTTGCTGGACTTTTCTGCTTTTTAGCCGATATCACTGCTTTATTCAATGAATTTCGCATCACTTGATGAATGTGACACATCAAACTATGCCACCCCGTTTAGCGGAAAGCTATCACAAAAAGTGATGCTTCCGAAGTGTGTGGAAATAAGGTATTAATTTTCCTTCGAATGGAATTTTTATCGATGGATTTTCACAGATCTTCTATTTGTGCATTAATTATTTATTTTAGAATAGGAAAAAATACGGCAAAAACAGTTTTGCTTCATTTATATATGTTGGCAGTGGAGGAGAATTATTATTATCAATTATTAATCGAATGGTCACTTCTAATAGTTCTCTAACTATTACTGGTTAGGCTGGTTATGTTGGCTATAAGAGTAAGACTGTTCATTCCTATGCCATCTTTGCCAAGAACAGAAGCCATTCCTTTTTCCATCCATATATTACTGATCCACATATGCGTTCAAAATCTTTCCTGTCATTCCAGCCCTTGATTTATCTTCCTTGATTTTGCCGTCATCCATCACACATAGTATGTAACGAAATATGTATTAACTCCTGTGGTGCCCAAAATATCTTTAACCAACGAAAATATTCTTAATGTAGATGACGATAATATTCTTAATATAGATGGCATTTGAGTGGAGGTAATTATCATATGAGATCATATTCGACGAATCCGTAAAATGTATCTTAGGCATGAATAGTCAAAGGTAGATAACTTAATATCCTTCACTGTCATTGGTCATATTAGCAGCCAAATAAAAATGCATAGCAATAGTCAGCATATGTAAATCATTTTTTAGAAAATTTGAACTATATTCATCAAATTAAAAAGAGGAAATCCAATTTGATTAGTAGATGTGGGAGCAAAAGAAGCGCAGATGAATGTCTTGGAATCATTGGGTGTCAGTGGTGCACTGTCCTTGATGACGGTTACACGCCAATGGAGCTACCTTACTGTAGCGCTGTTGATCAGTGTTTCGGTGGCGTGAAAGGAAGGCGAATCAGAGGTATTTCTAAAAAATTTTTATTATTTGATAAGTGTGAAAATTAAGACATAATATAATATAGCTGTAGAGATTTAAATGGGTTTTTCTTATAGATTTGGTCGATGCATCTTCGCAAAAGTCCAATCATTGGTCGGTTTCTGCTCCCGTTGGACCTGTTGCAGCTGGAATAATGAGCGTTTTCTTGATTATGGTTGGTTGTAATTTTTTCTTTTGTTTTGTTTTGTTTAAATGTTTTCTTAATTTTGCGATATGTGATTATTGCTTTCACTAACAAAGATATTTTTTGTTTGCCATTTTAATTCGTTTAGGTTATGGCTATTTATTGCTATCGTAGTCAGGTAAACAGATTGATTGAAACCAATTCTCTGACGGATTCATTTGGAACACCATTGTGTGCACACGGAACCGATGATGACGACCTTCAGTTTGATCATGATGGCTTGGTTCTTTCCGATGGTTTATTTTTTCTCAATTTTTTTATTTATGTCATAACATCCATTTTTTAAAATGAGTCAGGTAAATCAGTATAGATAAATCAGTATAGCTTAGATAAAGTGGTATCTCTTATACAACTTGCTTCATTCGAGCGAACCTCTGTTCCACCAGTAATTGTACAGCATCATTATCGCATATCGCCACGAACTGAATCAAGCGATCAAGGATATTCAACTATGACTGATCGCATGGCTGGTGAAGAAAGTGAATCTAGTAGTAAGTAAGTAAAACTTTATTGGTGTCGATTTAAATCACTGAACAAATTCTATTAAAAGCAGATTTCCTATAAATTTGACATAATTAAGTTTCTGTTGAATTTAATATAATAATAATAAGAAATAACAATAATAATAACGATAATAATCACAATAATAATGATAATAATAACATTAATAATAAATAACAATAATTAGTAATAATAATAATAAAATATTATTATTAGCCTATATGGTCCGCTATATGTCCTGATAGCTGGACATATAGCCACCGTCATTTATCATTTCATTAGTCATTTCTTCTTTTCCTCTCTTTACTACCGTCAGGCCACATTTCTCTAAAGCGTGACCTTCCATTGTTTTCGCTCTAGATCGCTATAGAGTTAGATGGGTGGGCGGATCAATATCTCGTTCACTTTTAGCATAACATGATGTCATCCTTGTAGATGAAGGTGACTGAAAATCCTGCTGTTGAATTTATCGAGATTTTATGACTGAAGAGGAAATAGTAGGAGAAGCAATGCGTTACCTTGCTATGTCGCACTTTGTGCAAGTAGTTTTTGATTTTGATTTTTGATTTTAAGTTTTCCACAATCCCACTGGGTTATCGATAAACGCCTTTAAAGTCCTGTTGATGCCGGTTATTCACTGATCCATAGTGAGGCATTGGGTCATAGGCTTTCCTACAGTTAATTCAAACTGTACACATTGTGATCTGTCGGGATTTTAAGTTTTGAGCGACTACCTTATCTATGAGCAGTTGTTGTTTGAAGGTTATGGTGCTATTCCCAATGTCTTTTTGAACTGTACTCATAAACTGGCTTTTATATTTTGATGACTATAGTGTCTGATATGACTTTTCACATTGTGCAGATGCAGATTATTGGCCGGTAGTTGGACGGTGTTGTTCCCTTATGAGAATCTTTCATGGTCAATACCGTCTTTTCCCATGTTAGCCTGTCTGGTGTGAGCCTGTCACAATAACTCTGTGTTGCTGGGGACTCATGAACCACTATTAGTTTCTTCAGCCAGTAGGTGTGAATCATATTCGAACAAGGTGCTGTACAACTTTTCATATTTTTGAGTCGCTACTGGATGTCACCAATTGATAGTAGCTGGTTGCTGTTCCTGCTCAAAGAGATTGCTTGCCATTTATTTTCAGATCTTCCAGTTATTTTCATTAGCTTTTGAATCTTCTGTTACTCTCATATGTTTTTCCAGCATTGTATAGTTTCTGCTGTTGGTGGCTATTGTTACCATATTACTGCATTGAAGTTAAAGGTATGCCTTGAATGTTTTCCTAGAAAGCAGGGCGTTTATCTTTTTAGCCGCTTCCTCTGCTTCTCTAATGTACCTTTTAGCCTATTGGACAGTGCTGTGAGCTTTAGAAGGATTATAATGGAGTGTAGCCCTTGTATTTTTGCAATATTTGGATTCTTAATCTTCGCATCTTTCTGTAAGTCAACTGGCTAACTTCTCTGCGTTTTCTATGATCTTTTTTTCCAGAGGTGAAAAGCCTTGTTATATTTTTATTCTTCTTGATTTTGTGTTCCAGCATTTCCAGAATTATGGTTGCTGTGCCGTTTAATTTCTTTTATAGTGGCAGTAGGAATTGTTGCGAGGATTCTATTTGCTTCTTCAAATATATTATCTGGTGGTACTCTATTGAATTGGTTTATGATTAATTAAATCAGTTTATTGATATATATTTTGCCTCATGCTGACTGCTCAGCTTTGCAGCGAGGATGTTGGAAGGCAATTTCCAACTTCCCAGTTTGTAGCATTTATATCTATTCTTTTATCTTCTTGTTGATCTTTCTGAGCCTAGTATGTAACATAAAGTTGATGCATTTCCAGCTGAGCTGAGAGAGTAGCTTCTTTTTTTTGTGTTGAAGCAATAAGCCACTAGCTGTTTCTCAGTTAATGTGGATGTAGATCTTTCCTCCATCTCGTCATACGTTTCATATAATCCCTAGGTGTAATCTTTTATTATAATAGCGCTATCAGTTCCATTGTCTTGTCTTGTCCATGTAAGATTTATTTCAGTAACCGTTTTAATGCCAGAAATCCTTTAAATATATTCTTCTTTTTCTAACAGCTCTCACCATTGCTGATTACGCTGGCTCTGCTGGCTACAAGAGTTAGACGTCTCCAAGCTGTTCGGTCCGACGCCATTGCTAGCAGTAATAGAAGCCATTCCTTTTTCCATCGTCTAAGTATATCGCTGGTCTCCCTATGTTTTTAAAATCTTTCCTGACTGTATCAGTCCAGGTCCTGACTGGCGCTCCCCGCTTTTGACTCCAATCATCACAGGGCTTAGCAAGTAACGAAATCTGCTCCTGTGGTGGACGACAGATAATGTGCCCTAACCAGCGATCTGGTGCTCTGTGATAACGTTATTAATGTAAGTGGTATTTGAACGAAGGTGAATGTGATCACGTGAGATTTTATCCACTCAGCGAACCCGCTGAATGTATGAGTGATCATATAGTGTTCTTATGTATATCTTCTTGTTAAATTTGATTTTTATCATTTTATTTTTATTCGAGAATTTTTTTTTTCGGTTATTTCCTTGATTGGCGATACTATTTTGTTCATTTGCAGTTAAAAATTGTAAATTTATAAAAAACTATAAAATTGCGCAAATATCTGTGGAAAATTTTTTTAGCCTAAATATTTCTCATCAAATGACTTCGACTAAATGCAAGGATAAAGTAAATTATTCGCATATAATCACGACAGAAGCAGATATCCATCTTATACCTCGAACAGTACCATTTATCTCATAAAGGCTTTTCCAATGGATTGTACAAGGAATTGTAAAATTAAATTTAAATTTTCAAGTTTTTTGAGACAATATAAGTTTTATAGAGCTTTTCGCATAAACACATTTTAATAATAAGTTATTTTTTAAATAAATTTATATAAGTAATATTTATACAAGTAATAGTCATTAGAATATTTTCTTGCTGCATATGCTTTACATCACTTATCAAGTCATTTCTCCTCTTTTTGCAAATGGCATGGTTTTAATCTCATTATATATATTTTTTCCTTTGTTTGTTATTAGTAAATTTATGAATATTCAATTTTTTGGGAAAGTAAAAATTTTTCTATCATTTAATGGTGCATATTGTACTCATTTATTGTTATGTTATTTTTTTGTTTGAATGAACAAGTAATATTTATTTTTCATTATCTTATCTTATAATTTATTTATATATTTATTTATATTTATTCCACAATTTACAGTTCATTTTTTTTCTTTTTTTGCTTTTGTATTCTTAATTTTTTTTTTTTAATATTCTTATTTTGTGACGAGATCGTCAGAAGAGATTTTTGTGTGATTATCAAATCATTTTTGGCTAAATAAGTAATGGTGATCTTTTTGTTCATTTTTCAAGTGTTTTTAATTTGCATTAGTTCAAGAAATAATTTTCATAAAATATTTATTTGATTTGTTATTTTTATTTTTTAAATGGTCAAATGTCCTACTAACAATAATAATTGGAACGATTAATAACAATTGAATAAAAATTCTAAATCATAAATACTATTGTTTATCATATTCATAATATCGCAATATCGCAATGAAAGTAATAACTGATAAAAATAAATGGTAACAGCAATTTATAATGGTTATAGTAGAAAAATCGCCGTCCGATTGAAAATTATCCTCAAATAATAAAAAAGAATCGACTATGCGAATTATTCAAATTTTATTTATAGTAAAATAAAAGCGATTGAACGTTGGCAATTTCGCTGAATAATTATTGGTTTAAGATCATTGCTGGCTTCAGTTTCGATTAGGGTAAGTCGTTCCTACGTCTACCCATCTTGCGTAAACCACTTCAGCCACTTTTTTCATGGATTTTCGCGCAAATAGTTGAGTCGATCATGCTATATTTAAAATATCTTCTGGCTTTTGGTTTGTCCATGGTTTTGATGCCATCCATCGGAAGTTTTGGCGTGTGTGAGATGCCTGTCAGTTCCTTAGATGGAAGAACATGACTTACCAATCGAGGTTTGCAACGATACCGTGAATGGTATGTAATATTAGAGCGAAGGTGGATGCATCCATATGAGATTTCATCCCCACATCAAGAAGTATTTTTGGCAAATATTGTTAAAGCCAAATAGCTTTCTAGCATTTTCCACTCTCACTGGCCATGTTTTGCAACCTTCAGTTGAATTGTATTATACGAATTTTTAATAAATAAAATATAAACGCAAGAAATCGTAGGAGTGGAGAAAGGGGCTCAGGAGCATAGCTATAAATCATTTTATCACTGTAGGCTTTTGATGAAATTGAATTGAAAGTAAATTAAGAATAAGTGCTATGTATTAAGATAATATTTTTGATAACCATTTTGACCATTGATAACGATAAGATGGAAAAAATGATGAGAATTATTTTTGAATTTGGATAATTGCTGAATTATTGCATTGTCGGCGGTGCTTTTCTTTCGGCGTTATTATAATCGCTTTCATAATATGCGGTAATTATTAAATGTCACCCACCATTCTCCTGTGTTATAAATTTTTATGCAAAATAACTAATAATTATTTGTTGAACTTTTTGGGAATTTTTGATTGCATTTTTATTTTTCATTTATAAAATCTCTCGCAAAACCGAATTAATTTTACTTATTCTGAGACTTATGCTGCATGTAGGATAGTTCCGAGAGTCAGTAGCCTCCGATGGAAATGAATTGTCGTCAAACTCGGCCCATATTGACGGTTTTTACTTTCACTTCCATTGCCAGTTGATGACTTCATTACTCCATTTCTCATTATCTTTGCAGCCAGTGGAGCGAAAATGGTGAGTACACGGTGAGAACTGACGACTTTGTCCTGACTTTACATTGCGATTTTGATTTTTTGTATCGAACATAAATGAATTTTTTCAATGGAAAAAGTATTATAGAAAAAAGTATTCCGAACAATTTACAATGCACATTAGAATATTGTTGTTTATAATAGTTCCAATTATTTAAATACGGAAATACAATGACCTTCAAATAGTTTTCTAAGTAATCCTCTTTTTTTCTAAATTCCAAATTCGGATTATTTTTCCACATTTATAAAATTGCGCAAAAATCGCCCTTCTGTTAATCTTTCGTTTATAGGAAAATCGCTTATTCGTATTATTTAATTCCTAAATTGTGTAAATATTATACGAAAAAAACAGAGCGGAAAGCGTTTAGTTTATGTTCTAAACGTCGAATTCGTGTGATGTTGCGAAGTGACTTGCAGAACTGCAGAACAGACTATCCAATGTCAGCCAGAATGCTTTCTGAACCTCGCGGAAATAGGAAAATATAATGTTGTTCACCGATAAATTTCCAGTAATTATTTTAATAAAAACAACTACGAAGATTTTATAAAATTTTGGATGACATAAAAAATTTTGGAATTCCATGGAAAGATGAAATTTTCTATCAAGTGGTGTGCGTTTTATCAAATTCCATTCCAGTTGCATTGAGGAATATCATAGGTTCGTTTCGTGCCTTTTAGCAGGGGTAACCGTGAAAGCCCATTTGGCCGCTCCTTATTCGCTGATATTTCGCATTATTCCGCGAGTTGAATATCGCTTTATTTTTTTATTTGATTCAACATTTTGAGAATTATTCTGCGTAAAACGCTTTAGTTTATCTGTTCATGCAAATTTATTTTGTTTTTTTATCGAAACTGTTCTCCTCAAAATCCTTCAACAAATGAATGTATTTTTTATGAATTAAATAAGCCATTCTGGATTTATAAATTTCGTATTTTATTACTATTTCCTATATCAAATTGTGCGTGAAGATGGATTTAAGGCAAACCCGATGACCCGATACATAAACGATTTGGAAACAAACAGGAAATGCATCGCTGTCTCAAATAATTTATGGGAAACATAAACGAATAGCGTTAATACTATAATGGTGCTCGAAGGGCAGCGGGGTTGGAAAATTTTTCAAGGTCCATGCTGTTCTACGTTGTTTACCCATTTACCTCATTTGTTTCGCTATGAAATCGTTCTTAAATTCGTTCTTCTATCAATTTCTGTCGCTATCGTTAATAATTATATCTTTGAACGATCGTATGCATTAGTTTCTGTGATATTTCTAAATGAAATGGTATTCTTGTTAAATTTAGGTTCCATTTTTTGATTTTTTCTTCTAACCGTTATGCATAATTATCAGTTAGTGGCCAAAAGTCAGGTATTATGGAGGGTTCGAATCTGAGCACGATTGCACAATTCATCGGGCGGCAGTGTCACCTAATGGAGAAAGGAGGATAGAATGGCTAGTGGGTTGTTGCTCAGTTCAGAGTACCGGTACTGAGGTTCTACTCCCTGCAAGAATAAACGTATTCTTCGAAGCCATAGTCGTTTTCCCACAGTCTTAGGCCTCCTCTCGCACTTTCACTCTGCTGACCGTAGCAATCCGCAAAGTTTGACTTTTAATGCCATCCATTACAAAGCCTTTCGTTTATCGGCAACTTTTGTGTTGGATTTTTTGACTTTATACCTTAAATATGTAAATATATAAATTTCAAATCCTTCATAAGAAGCTTCTTTAAAAAAAAGAGGGCAAAAAATGCTTACCAATGAATTCAATTCTTGGAATTTAATTTAACGAGTTTCTCGAATATTGGTGCTAAATTATGTAAATTTCCTAAATTTCCTTCCTTTAATATTTCCTTCAATAATTTGGCAATAGTGCGACTGATCTTGGCGACCCTTTTATTTTATTTCTGCAAAGAAATGGCTCCTCGGCAAAAATCTCTAAGTGTATTAACAGGCATGGCTGTGATTTACTGGTGCTACAATGTTCTACCGGATAAAAGTCCTTACTGATATATTTATACAGCACTAATACTAACAACGCTTTTTTGCACTGGCTCTCTGCTTTGTGGAATTTTTAAAAATTTATTGTTAAACTTACTGCTATTGCATTTTGTTCTAAAATTTGTAAATTAACTTTGAATATAAAAGCATTCAACAATTTATGCAATTGTATTTCATTTTATAGGTATATATTAAATTTTATTAATATTAATATATATTAAATTTATTAATATATATTAAATTTTGTTTCAGTAAAGGCAGAACAGAATGCGAAGATGTGTACTTTCAAAAAATGTGCTTTCAAAAATTTCCACACATAATCAGCGAAAATATGGTGATAATCATTATAAGAATAGTGCATTTGAATAAGGAAATAAAGTATTTGTGATACTTTATCATTATTGCACTGTTTTGATTAAAACCTTGTATGATGACAGTAATCTGTCATTAAATAAAGTCTAAATGACACCTCTTGCAAACCTATCTCCACGTGGCGATAGGTTTTCTGTTGACGCCAGATTTTTGCTGGTGGTCAATGGAGTGAGCCAGAAATGAATGCGATTAGAAAAAGAACAACAATGAAATAATGAGACGAACCAGTTCCTCTCAAAATTTCATTTCAGTTTTAATGGTCATCGTCTAAAAGAAAGATTTAACCACAATTTACAATAAATATATTATATTATCGAAAAATTCTTTCAAAAAAAATTGAAAAAGCTAAAATGTTTGGCCACAGGCGATTATTGGCCTTCTTTAATGGATACTCTGAAAAATTAGTCTGAAAGACAAATTATTTCATGCAATAAAGTTTTAATGAGGATAATAACATCGAAATGATATTGTTGGTCCACTGACCCATTCTACTGAATAAATTTCTATTTTTCACGAAAAGATTATGGTCGACTTTAGTTCAGATTTTTTTTAAAATAACTAGGCATATTGCCACTGTTTCTTCCTTGCAATTAATTTTTACAATACTTTTAAATAATTTATTATTTATTATATCGCTCGCTGTATTCAAAGATATTTAATATAATATAAGTCATTCATATGTAGTTGGAACTCATTTCACTGGCTATTTCTCTGGTAGGAGAAGTCCATGTGGATCGCTTAGGGATAGAAATATAGGCAAGTGGCTAGTGCCATAGGGATTTTCCAGTGAGGGATTACCATAGTAGGAGATAAGATAGCATAATCTTATAGTTTGAGGCTATAATCTGAATAACAACCACTCAGCTATCCTATCTCAGGTAGCTGAAAAAAATAATCTTGCTTTAATATTAGATTTTTGCATGAAATACAACACATGAACGCGTTCGAGATATTGAATCCACATGAATTGCTTTTTAAGACTTATTAAAAAATTATAAAAGACAATGTGATTATATGATTTCCGAATACGATAAACGATAATTTTTTATTAAATTTAAATTTGTTTAGAATTTCTTGTTACTCACAAAATTTTTCTAAAATTATTAAAATAATCAAATTGCAATTAGACGATGATCATTTAACAATAAAATCCATAGAAAAATTTTTAAAATAATTTGTGAAAATTTTATTTATAAAAGTTTTCGGTGCTCCTGCTGGGCGTTCATAGATAATTTAATCAAAAATGAAACAGGTTTAAATTAAAATATTTTAAATTAAATTTTAACAAAATTTTGCGAATTCTGTCAACATTTCACCAGAATTTCCTCCAAAAACTAGATTACCTCGAGCAATAAATTACTTCTCTTTGTTCCTACATTGCACTCTTTTTAAACTCTTCAATCTTTTTGAACCTCGTATTTTTTCTTGTTTAGCTATTTTTTAACTTATTTATCACCATCTAAAACCATTCTTTGCCACTTGTAATAATAAACATATATCATCATAAAGATCATTAATATTATCACTATTATCATTATAATATTATCATTAATATCATTAATATCTACTTCTGCAGAATTTTAAAGGAATAGTTATCGATAAATTTGCCTTCTACTTTTAAATAACTTCCACTTACTTTTTTATTTTCCTGTTAAAAATATTTTTATTGCGTAGATTTTTATATATTTTAGGCAAAATGGAATATTAGCTTAAAGTTCATATTAATTGCTAATGTAATAGTCTGCAAATATCTGATGCCATCCAGAAACCTGTAATGCCTATGGTCTCCGTTATTGTTAATAGGATCATATTTTAGGTTTATACGGTGTAAGAAATATTTTTAAAATAATGAAAATCTGGCAAATGGAACCGTATCCAGTGGGCGACCGCCGACTTCCTCACCATGTATTCCCTCCGAAAATTTTTACTCCCGATCAACTTCAAAGTATGACGGGCGTTATTTCATATAAGGTTATAGCTTTTCTATGAATTTTTTCTACCTTACCAATAGGAGGAATAATATTAAAAAACATTCTAAGAAATACCGCCTTTCATAAATATTATTTCCAGTGACCTAACAAATTTGAATAAAAAATGCTTGAAAAAATTGTTGGATAATACCAAAAAAATTTTCGAAAATTTTTTTAGTGACTTTTTCATACAAAATCATAAATTATATTGATGAATTGAGATTGACCTGGAGGATGTTAATGCAATGAAAAAGCGGTTATCTAGAGTAAAAGCTGAGAGAAAAGTAACGACCTCGGACGTATTTCGAATCAGTTCATGTGTAAATGATTTGGAACAAAAGGTTTGCTTCCGTTTGCCTCTTCCATGGAAAGGAAGATCTATTCAAATATTTAGTGTCATTTGTAGCTCAAATAAATGAAGCATACTTTTGCAGTTGGAAGAATTATATGAACCAACGATAAAAGAAGAAGATTCCATATATTTGGTGATGGAGGGTGGGGCATATTACGACGTCGAATATAAGGAAGATGGCTGGATTCGCATGAACGTCGAAAGAGGCGATCTTATTGTCATACCTAAGGGATTATGTCACCGCTTCACTTCAACTCCTCATGTGATTTTTTCATTTCTATTTTCATTTTATACGATTTATTTTCATTTTATACGATTTATTTGATCGTTAATTCTGATGTAGAACTGTGGATATAGAGACGACATTGGTACTGCTTTCTTGGTTTTTGCAATTCCCACCTCATGATGGTTATGAATTTCACAAATCGTGGAAGTAGCAGTAAATAGCAACATAATAATTGGAATTTACTGGTACCATTACATTACCATAATTTTAATTTAATTCAGACTCTTAATTCTTTGCTCAAAAGATAGAAAACCGTATTACAAAATCAACAAGTTTTTGATTACTTTGATTGTGGGAATCAAGAATGCTAAGTGGAGAATTATAGGGTATCTCCCAGCACCATTTAAATTTCAGTTTTAATAATTAATTTATTCCCATTATGAGGAATGAGAAATTTGTCTTTCCTCAAATACCAAATATTAAGAAGATTCATACTTTAAACAAATTATATATAAAATTCGTAATAATTTTGGTACCATTTGCAGAATTACGTGATAATTCAACGTTTTTATCAAGGCGCAGGTGAAAGTGACAAGCTTAAAGAATCTATAAATACCGTCAAAACTCGAACATCAAAACGTATAAATCAAATATCTTTCGCATGAAAAGGTATAAACTTTCTTCAAAAATAATATATCCAAATATTCATTAAAAAGTAATCCAAAATTGACCCTAAATTTTATCGAAATCCATGGATCAAACTTCCATTTCTTACCTTTCATAACTAACGGGGTAATTTAAGTCGTAAAAATTATCGTGCATGTAGATATACACCAAAGATAGGACATAGGATACCATATAAGGAGATATTAGGATAGTAAAATTTGTCAAAAATCAAACAATTAAAAGAAAATCTAATAGCTTCATTACGATGTCAAAATTTCTAAAGGCTAAGGATAGCCATGCTCAAGCACCGAAAAAAGTCATGAAGTTCGAAAAAAATCAGTAGCGATAAAGACTTTTTTCGAAAAAAATAAATCTTATTTAATAAAACAATGATAAAAAAACAATTTAGTCAATCTTTTTCTAAAAAAATTCGAAAATTTGCGAAATTCAAAAAAAATTCCCCCAAAATTTTATTAAAGTTTTATTTTAAAAATCACCATTTTTCACTGGTTTCGCATTATTATACTACTAAAAGACTCAAAAGGAAAAACTTTAAGTAAAAACATTTAATTATATATTTAATTATCTAAAACAAAACTAGCAAATTATTTCAAAAAATTGCTCAAATTACGAGAAGAATGAAAATAATTTAATAAAATAATCTAATTTAAATGCATCAAACAATTGTCGCTATAAGTTATCGTCATATTATTTCTGATAATAAAAGAGATAACCACAGTGAACCACAATGAACAGAAGAATTTAGAACATTGGGTGAAAAGTTACATATGACGCGTCAAATATGGTGTAAACCATAATTTTTCAATAAATCATGTGAAATTGACCAAGCCCATCAAATGTCCACCTCAATATGATTCCTTAAATCGCAACAGTAGGTCTACAGTCAAGTAAAAAAAGTAAATTTATAATAAATCGCCATAAATAATAAGTGTTTAGTGATTGGTATGGTCATGCAAAATTGTACCAAAATTGTCATGAATATATGTAGGTTGAAATGACTGATCTGCCAATCGTTGCATTGCTGGTGATTTTCTAGACGCATTTATAGGCACTGAAAATAATATTTATCAAAAAATAAACAAATGTTCATTATTAAAAAGATATGTATTCTGAGTAAAAAACTGGTTAAGCCTCACCTTTTCTAGTCAGACAGAATCTCCGTCTGTTTGTTAAAAAAATTTTCGCCAGAGAACCATTCTATTCGAATATCACTATCTCAATTTTACACGATACATGGCGATAGAAGTGACACGATAGCATAGCACCACTCCAATTTTTCGCCCTTGCTAGTCAGGGAATCGAACCTCTGATACCCAACACAGGTTGAAATAACCATTTTATTCGAATATCCCTATCCTAATTTTGTATGATATGATCTTATCAATTTAAAAAATCCTTAGAAAACAAAAAATAAACATATCTATCACTTTATAACCATTAATTGAGATGACCATAATCTGGTTTAAAAGACAATTTTCAAATTTTTTTTTTGATTTTTAAAAAATGATTTCTATTCATATTTCAATTCATTTTTTTGAATAAAACATACAATTCATGTAAAAATTTTCAGATAAATAGCTTCTTCGTCCATTTAAAAGCATTTCTGGCGTTGCATCAGGAAAAAATCTTCAAAAAAATTTAAAAAAAAGTAAAGTGCAAATTTTTATCTTGAAATTTATATACATATTTTTATATTCAAATTATAATCCAATTTTATTTTTTTTGCTTCGTATAAATGATTAATATTCATACAAAATCATGCTAGAAAAAGATTTTAAAAAAAAACCTATATAAATTTCGACCAACTTTTTTTCGTTCCAATAGTGTGAAACCTTTATGTTTTATTGTGCATATTCGTTTCAAATGTCTTGCTATTTTATAAAAAGAAATCTAAAATATGGTTTCTGTAAAAATTTTATAATTTGCTTTTATCTTTATAATCCATTCAACCAATCATTATTTACTGCCAAAAGAATTCAATTTTACATAAAATAGGTGATAGTGGAGAATAAATTCAATCTTTTGCAAATCTTCTGTACAATCTGCTATAATAAAAAAAATCCACGTTTCACGAATTTTATAATTTTTAAAATGAAATATAAGCAGAACATGATAAGAATGAAAGGAAAAATTTTAACTCCTGCATTAGTTCTCGATTCGTTTTTCCACATTTTTGAAAACAAACTTGTATTAACAAAAATGAATTCCCAATAATTATTCGTCCAACGTACAATATGATGGTAGATCGGGTTGTCTAACAAATTCAAAATAAAATGCCACAATTCGTTTTTGCAACAATCTAGAACTCTAGAAATGTAAAACGATTTTTTAGACTATTTCATAAAAATTTTAAAAAATTTCAAACTTAAATAATGGAAGTAAAAAATTAAAATATTAGAAATTTTTAGCATTTCCAAAAATATTGCTATAAATTTTATTTTTGATAAAAAAACAACTTCGCAAATAATTAATAAATGAACGATTTTCAGTAAAATTGGCTATATCGCAGTTTTTTGAAAGTTTGCAGTCAACTGAAATTAAAATGGTAAACCGGTAAAATACTCGAAATTGCTATTTAAATTAATTGCTATTTATTTTAAAAAATTTGCTATTTAAAAAAATATATATCTATTTTAATCTAAAAACTCCCATTAAATCTATTAAATATCACAAATTTATGAACCAAACTAATTACTTACGCTCCCACAAACGAAAAATTACAATATTTTACTTGCTGAAGGAACGATAAATTCTTCGGATCATATAATGAATGAAAAATGATTCATAAATGCCAAACTTTTTTCTAATTCTAAATAACTGTTCGATTCACCACTCGCATTTTTCATCGAGTTGACATCTAAATGGTGAGGCACATCTGCCTGAGATGTTATCTGTTCCTGCACATATGCATTGTTGATAGAGTTAATTGGTGATTTGAAACGGACCATATTCGCTTCGAGTGACCAAACTGCAGGAACCGAACTGGGATATTGTGCTGTAGCATTATAAGAGATTGATCCTAATCTGATCTGATCTTCATATAAATTTGTTTGAAGTTGATTATTCGTCGACTTCGTAAAATTTCCAGCTTGGCAATTCGCGTCCGGCAAAACTGATAAAAGAAAGTTGGGAATAACATTTGAGCAATACTGAGGATTTTCCGATAAATCGATGGAAAAACAATGTGGTTCATACATTTCATCAACAAATTTTTCGACTGAATCGAATATAATGGTTGAATGAATCTAAAAACGACAAAAAATTTGTTCAATACATTGATCGAAGGAATTTTTCCAATTTTCCAAGAAATCATAATTTTTCATTCTGCGGTGAAAAATGATAAATTTAGGAACCAGCGGATTATATCGATGTTAACACTTGCAACTGAACTTTGCTCAAAAGGTGTTGTCTATCGCTCATGACTGCATTTCCTAGTTAATCACCAACAGCCAGTCATAATTCGTCTAAATAGTGATCGCGTTTATTGGAGAAATGCAGCCATAAAATACACATAAAAAACACCATTCATTGCGGCATTCTTAGTATTCTTTCATAACATTCTTTCGTCAAAAAAAATGTCAGATTTCTCAGTGGAGTGGCGCTACAAATGCTCACATTTTTCAGTGGAATAAAAAATTCTCCATTTTTGAATTCTCCATAAAGGTGTCAAATATACCTAAAAAAAAAAATACCTCTGAATTATTGTGTTGAAAATTGTGTTGTGTTGCAGTGTTGAAAATCCATATTCCACAGCCTTATTAAATTCACTGAAAAAACTTTTTAAAAAATAAAATTATAAATACCGCACGAGTTTTTATCAAATCAACGATAGAAATAAGCACAAAATGATAATTTTATCTTCAATGGTTTATTTATCCGCTAAATAATATGCACAATTATTTTCCCGAATAACGACATTAAAATTTATTAAATAGTTTAAAAAATAGTTTAAAAAAATTTTATTTAAAATTATTTGAACCTATGAAATACTGCAGCATAATATTGATTAAATAATTATTTTCTTATTTTTTTTGTCAAAGGTTGCAATAACATATTTGGATTGTTCAATAAATAATTGTAATAAGTAAGAATTTAATTCGCCACAGTTTTTATAACACGGTTCCTTTCGACAATTTTTCCCAGCTTATACAGAAAACTTAGCAAGCGAATTTTTGGTGGGAGCACACGATTCTCACTTCCAATATCTAGCTTTACAAAATTCCTTCGGGAATCCGCTCCATCGTGTTTTTCTGTGTAGATTTAATGAATTTCCTGCCAGACTTTTATTTCTCAATAATAATATTATTAATTCTGCTGCAAGCGTTCTCTTAATGGTTAATGATTAGTTCGCTGCGAACCCTCAAACTTTGATAATTAAACCTTTTATTAGCAGCGACACAAATATATACAAAGGAAGCAAAACGAAACTGTTGTCCTTTACAAAAAAAAAATAAAATAGTAAGTAAAAACCAAACATAAAAATATATATAAAATATATAAAATCCCTGTTCACCCGTCGCTCCCCACTCTTGTTCCCAACAGAAGTTTAATTCTTTTCGTTAATTCTTTTATTGGGCATAGCAGGTGCAATGAGGATGACCTGCTCATATTTGCAGGTTTTTTTCGCCATTCGGCGACATAGTTTTCTCCATTTGCTTAAAATCCTTGCTATTCCTCTACCCATTTTTCAACTTTTTCATTCATTTCATTTATTCATTTAGCAAATTCATTTTATTAGAAGGAGAAGTTCAGCTGAATCAGCAACAACCAACCATTTTCATTTCATTTAAAGGTTTCTAGGATCCGAAATTGATAGCTAATATCTTCCAATTATCTAATTTAGCATGAATAATAATCATTTTACCAAATCGATGAAAAATTTAGAAACTTAGAAATTTAGAAATTTAGTTGGATTTCATCCGCCAAAGGATTTTTATGAATTTAATTGATTTATGAATTTACCGAATTTTATGAATTTATGAATTTAATTGATTGAAAAACATAGCTAAATTAATGGTTTAGAAAAAGAAATGCTTGTGCTTCGGTGCCTCGAAAAACAGTTCAAATTTAATTCAAATTTGTCTATTCAAATTTAGAAAAAAGTACACTGGCAATGCTACCAAAAACACAGTCCTCTTTATAAGAAGTGAAATGAAAGGACAATTAAAAATAATTAATCAAATGACAAAAATATGAAAAAAGCCATAATTTTCAATAATAATTTTAAAAATTGGAAAAAATTTAAATTTTATACAACTGCTGAATTATTATATTATAATTTTATAGCTAAATTATGACAAAATAAAAGTTTCTTTTTTTTTAAATTGTACGAATTTACTTAATGGTTTCCTCAAAAACCATTTCCCCCCATTTCCTATCATAAATACAAATCGGAAAGATTCCCACCGATTTAAATATCGGAAAATCGGAAAAAAAGTGCAAACCACGAATCATCAATCAGTTAAGGCATAAGAAAGCAGCAGCTCCCGGCAAATGAATTCAAAATTGGGAATATGACGCTATTAAAGAGAAAGGCGAGCACAATCTCAAAAGAAATAAATCGCAGCTAAATCCTTATAGCTTTCCTTATCGCTCAAAGCAAGCATTCGCTTTAAGACCGAATTTTTCAAATTTATATCATCTCCAACTGAGATTTGATATTTATTGATAAAATTTTCAAAGTTCATGTATTGGTAAAAAATGCAGCTGATAAGACGAAATATATCAACTGAATCAAAGTAATTTTTGTCTTTTTATTTTCACTTCTGAGCGCATTTTTTTTCTTATCGATTTAGTTTAGTCTGAATTTCATGCCGATTGATGATGTATGTCGATTTTGCAGTATTTCTGCGGAAAAATAAAAAATTGGTTTGCTTAGGCTTCGCAGTGATTTCATTTAAAGAAGTAAGAGGGGAGCCAATAGAAAGCCGTCATTTGCACATGAAATTGCTTTCCACTTGTCAACGAAATTTTGCTTATTGTTTTTAGATTAACGTAGAGTCTACTGACAGTGATATATTGGACAGCAAGACGATCGAGCGGCAACGGCTCAAATCATCATGAGAGACAGTGCTTCTGCTTATAAGAATTCGCGAGCCGCAGCGATTCCTAAGCAAAAATTTCGACAACACTAGCAACTGGCCTAACTAGAAGTAATGACCAACTGCTTAATTACAGTCTTCCACGTTCGGCAGCCCGATTCGATCGCTAAACAGCTGCTCCTGTTTTTTAATTTATTTACATGTTATTATCATTTTTTCTTTTCCTTAACTACTTTTCATTTACATTCTACGCAGTGGCCCTCACTAGTAAAAGTATGGATAATGAGAAATCACTGATGCCAAAAATAACATTAACGACACAGAGGAAGCTTTTTGTGAGTGCCTCAAGATGGAACAGTTAAGTAAGTGGATCGCGATTCACTATTTATAGGATCAGAGAATTCTGGCGGAGCGTCACGCTAATAGAAGCAGAGTTGGGTCGTAAGCAGCCAGATTTCAAAGACAGGCTTACTTCCGCCGAGGGCCAACGCTGAGCAGAAGTGCTCGCATTCCGAGGTTCGTAGCAAGAAATACGAGCAAAGATTGACTTTAAAAATTTTTTGCAACAAATTTCGAAAATCGGAGAAAATTATTTTTCTGACTAACATCTTTGAATTTATGCAAAGTTCCATTCTTCTTCAATTTAAATTTCACTGAAATCAATAGCGAATTTAATCTTTTAAAACAATATTGAATTCATCCTAAATTCATCGATTTCTCTGTGATTCACTGAGTGATTGTACTGAAAAAAATTTGGAAAGCTTACGTGTCTTCCTCGCGCAATCGCCATACCAATCTCTCTAATATTCGGATTTTGATACACTTGAAACGACCCGAAATTTTTTTATAGCCATCCTGGTACTTCATGTGCTTTTTAAAATTTATTTTATTGTAAATATGTTTTCAATTTACTTCAGCCTTCTATCACCTTCTATTTATTCTGAAAAAAAATAAACCAAAGAGCAGCAAAGTTTATCGATTTATATAATAACTAAAAAAGAAAACATTAAGGTAGCCAAGAACCGTAAAATTTTAAGCTGCAAAGTTCAAAATTAGGTTACGAAGGGGTTTTTTGCTACAGTAATCCGATTCGTTGTCCTTTGGAACTTTTTTTAAGGTTCTGTGGCTATGTTTTGTGTGTTTTCGCGAGTATTTAGGATCCTTTCATCAGTGCATTTGTCACAGAGGGGTTCTGCTTCGAGTTATTATTAGTTGATTGACGTAAAATTCTCATTATATGCGCTTTAAGTCTCTCAGCGGTCGTTGAGTGATCTAACGGTTAAAATTTTTTGGCCCTAAGAAGACTGCGTTGACTTTTGCGAAGTGTTTATTCACTTAGGAACGAAAATTTCGATTCAATATTCAATTTTGGAAAGTTTCTTTTTGAAGATGGCTTTCGTAGTTTGAATTTTGTTCAATTGTCTTCGAATGTCTTTCAAAAAGTCGGATTAGTTCGAATTATTTTCTCATTTCACAGCCTTTCTTCCTTTATTTCTTCGAAATAACAATTACTTCAAATTTTTCCTTTTCTTCCACACTATGCAAAACTTTTGGCTGCACTAACTGGAGGAAAGCGTCTTCGCCAGAGAGTCAGTTGCATTTAGAACGACAAATATAACTAATGTGTCCTGTCGCATCGGCCGGATTTAATGACAGTTCTGATCTCAGTGGTTGCTCACTCATATAATTTTCGTCTCGTCGCGCGATGGGGAGCGATACTTCTTCCTTCGGTCTCAGCAGTTGCGATGCCATATTATTCGGCCACTCTGCCTTATTTTTTTCTACATTTTCGACATATTTTATTTATGCCTTCAGTGGTTCACAGTGGGCATTTTTGTTTATCATGTGTTGCTCATCAAATTAAAAGGTCCATAAAATATATTTTCGAATTGATTATTTTATAATTAGAAGCCATTTTGCGAAATTTTTCCAAGTTTTTTTCTATTAAATGACCTCAAAATAAAGTATTTTTTGTTTTTTAGGTCATTGTTTTATTATTACGAATTTGATAAATTTAATGTATGTAGAATATTAATAAAGTAACTTACCGATACCGATACCGATACCGATACCGATTTTCTTGAAAAGAATTTGAACCTTTAAATTTGCCCGTACCTATTTCAGCTGATTTAATTTTTCTTCACTTTTATCTATTTAATTTATTCTCCGTCATCTTTCATTTATTCGCTTCATGTAATGATTTAATAAAAGTTGATTTTAAGACAACGTTCTCTTCAGCATACGCTAATTATGCACGATATTAGCACTGAAGCCGATCGATTTCCGTTTCATTGATAGCTCGACGGTCGATCTTGGCTGCTTCATCTAAATCTGCTTTAAAGTGGTATCCATCTGAGTTTAAGTGTTTTGAAGCTGGTTTTAATCAACCCACTGCATACAATAAGATTCCATCTGAAAGTTGGTAAAAATCAATGTTTACAAGCATTTATTGCGTTATTTTTGAACCAATTTATTATTTTCATCATGTTCTTTTAGAAGTTATTACGACATTAGTCTTATTAGTGAAAATTATTCCTCTTTTTTTGAATACTCTTTATTTTTCTTTGCTTGTAAGTATCTTATATAAAAAATGATGAATGAAATTATCGAAAAATAAAAGTCATACATTAAATGCAGTTGATTTTTATGGGTTTTTTTAAAAGTAGAATCATCTGAGTTGTTTTAGCTGGTAAGGCAATAGTTGTAGTACTCTGAGTTATTGTGATGAACACTGGGAACTAGAATGAGATGAAGTAATTAGCTTTTATTTAGATTTTATATTCTCCGTGGATATTCTAATTCGAATGAATAAAAGATTAAAAATTTTTCTATCTTCAAGTGTTGAATTTTCAATAATTTAAAACAGGTTTGTGAAGTGGATGGGTGGGTGAAAAAGCAACGCATTCGATACTTTTATATTCGTCGTCTTAAATATTTGCTAGAATTATTGATACTCGTTTCATTTTTCTATTATAAAACTGCTTCTTGCTTCTGCTTTTGCTTAAGTTATCGTTATTGCTATAACGCACTCTTAAAAATAGAATTCGGTTCGGTATGATTCAGATTTGTTCAAAATGCATTCCTGCAATCCATTTTTTCTCCGTAAACAAACATTTTTACGAGAAACAAATAAAATATAAAATATTTAATGTTTTAATACTAAATATTAAATATTTTTAGTTTATTATTCTATTAATTGGTTTGATTCAAAATGATTAAATCATTTTTCATTTATTCATTAACGATTTATTTTTTAGATGAAATGAATTAATTACTATTAGAGTATTATTTAAAATTACAGTATTATTTAAAAAAAAATGATGATAAGATTAAAGATTAAGATTAAAATTATGGTGATAAAATAAAAAATTCTTTTGAAGCTTTTAATAGAAATGACGAAAATTTGATTGAAACTTTTCATTTCATTTGTCACATAAAGCGTCAAATTTATTAAATATAAATATGTACATAACAGTAAAAGAAAATTAATTATGAATTTCAATTCATAAATCAATCCACAATTCCGATTTTCAGTTATTTCAAACGCAGTTGGTTATATTTGTGAGTGGAAAAATGTGACAACGGCGCGAAGGTGATTGAAGGCGTCCATTAATTCGGTTGGGTCAATAGTTAGTTTCTCCTTTCGTGCCTAAATGCTCTTTATTTTACTCTGCTCTTCGCTAAATAATTCCTATTCTATTCTTGCGTCTCTGTTCTCATATCAAACAAATCTTTTGTTACGGTATCGTTTACAGATAAAATTTTTCAGATCAACACTATATTAATTCTTTCCTAAAATGTATTCTCGACGCACCTTTCGAGAATGCTTCATTTCAGCAATTCGTACGACTTGTTTTCCACTGAAGCACATTCCATTTTTGTTTCAATTTGAATATTTTCGTTCCTTTTATCCTTTCATTATTTTCAAATTTTTCATTTTTTTTTATTTTTTCGAATTCAAATTTTAGAATAATCTTTGGATATTTTGATATTTACTTGTAGATTTTTTAGATTTTTTTTAGATATTTTTTTCAATTTTCGATATTTCTCGAGTTTTTAGTTGTTTATGCTTTAATTTTTGATTTTAGTTATTTATGTTTTAATTTTTGATTTATTGATTAGTATTTTTGTATATAAACGATTCAGTATTTTGGCAAATTTAATGATTCTGTGAATAGAACACAGTTTTCGTCCTTAAAAATTTAGAATCTTTCTCCTCAGAATTTATTTACTTATTCTCCATGGGTCTTTTCAAATCCACACTGAATTGGTGATTCTCGTCATTTTATTGAATATTTTGAATTTTTCTTCATTGGCGTTTCTTATTTCGACTATTGTACATTTTATTTGCTTTCTCGTAAAGGATTTCCTTGATAATTTATTTTATTTATTTCCATTTTAGGTTGATTTGAGTTCATTAAGCGGTTTATTTAAAAATTTTTCATTCATTTCTGATTTCAATTTTCATTCTGATATGTGAATAATTTATATTATATTTAAATATGTATGGAATAATTATATTATTCTCTCCTTCTGTTAGCCAAGTTAACATTGAAAAAGAGATATAAATTATAATAATTTGTCATTTTTTTGAATTTCATTCCTCGGTTATTCCATTCCATTTCGAAATAATCGGACGATTTCTGATTTTTCATTGATTCATTGATTTTTTATGGTGTTTTTCCGATTTTATTGGAAGTATGCAAATAAGTATATGATTCGCAGATCGCCTTTTTTTTACTTTTCTATTTTGAAAAATTTTTCCTTTTCAGGTAAAATTTTCGAGAATTGAATAACTGCTTTATTCGGCAGTAATTTTGCATTCGGATTGTACAAAGTAAGTTGAAATATTTTTGATATTTTCTATTAAAATTTTTGATTTTTCATGGCATTATATATTTATTTATATATTTACAGCATTAAATATATATCCTTTCATATCAGTAAGAAATCAGTAAGAAAAGGTGGGTTGGTAGGTTTTTTATTAGGAATAAAAATGGACTTAGGTGTGTCCATACTTTTCGTTCGATCAAGTGTCCCACTTAATCTTGACCAAATCAGCCATATGCAATAAAATTTTTTTCATTCATTCATTCATTGTTTTTATTTTTGTTCTCTCATCTTCACGGAAAATTAAATGATTTGAAATAAAGTAAAAATGCTTGTTCGCTAAAGTTATTATTTGGTCTCCTGAGTTATTGATAATTAGTTTATAGATCGTTTGATTTTTTCAGTCATTCATATGCATTATCTTGGTTGCATTCTGTTGATTTTCTTAAAAATCTTTTAATTTTAGATAACGCCTCCTGAACAAGCCGTGAGAGAGCCGTGTTAGCCCGTCAACGAATTTTCTGCTCGTAATTTGCTCAGAGCTTTATGGAAAACAATTATTATCTTAACAGTACAATGGCATCGCTTGAAATTTCGCCATCAGAGGGTATATCCCAGATTTTTTAAGACAGCAGATATCAGTTGATTGAAGAATATAAAATAAATCTACGAAATAGTATAAATCGCTCATACTTACCTTATATTTTAAATGAAATCATTCTTAAATTTAGTTTCTACTTCATTTTTTCTAGTTTTATTTTTTCTAGTAAAAAATGTACTAATTCTTCAAAAATTTAAAAAATTTAGGCTCTGTTAGTCTTGCACCTGGCGCAGAACGTCATCAAAATGTTCATTATCAGACAATCTTTAATAATAATATTGGCGGCGCTGGTCCAAGTGGTGTTTGCATTACTGGTGGACCTATAAATCCTATAGGGTTGACATTGGACTATTCGAGGGATTTTCCCGAACTTCCAGATGCTCCATCATCGCTGTCAGTAAAGGATCACACTGGCGCATGGAATAAGCCACCTGCAGTAAAATCCCAAATGGTCACACAAGTTTGTTTTTAAAACTGATTTGGATAAGTATATGATGTATAATGAATGCATCGTTTAATAATAATATTACACATATTGCAACAGAATATAACATCATTGAAAGAAATATACTTTTCTCAAATTGTTTAAATTGGTTTGCAGGCATTTTATTTGCTTGCTGATGAGCGCGCTTCGAAAAATTCTGGTAAAAGTTTTGGAACTGGTAATGAAGAGCAGCAGAAATGCAATGAAATAGCAAAAACAACTAGTAAATCGATTCTCGCACCTTTATTTAAAAATTTTATTTCATTTTAGTTTATTTTTTATATTTATTATTTGTTTATTTCTATATCAATTCCCTATATAAAGCTTCAAGGTTTTATCCATTAAATATTGTAATTGCTCGAATTATGATTCATTATTCTTGTGTAGATACGACTATCGAATTGTGTGAATCGAGGGATCATACACTGGCAGTGCTAATCACGGGCAAAAGAGCAAAAGTTGAAGAAGCGCGTTCGCGTATTATTCGCGAATTGCAAACTCAGGCAACTCGAGAAATTTCAATTCCTAAGGAACATCATAGAGTTCTCATAGGTTAATTCTAATATTACTGATTGTTTTCGATTTAATATTTTTTGCCGACAAAATCGGCTTGGACAAATTTTTTTATTTTTTTTTATGATTCATAATTTTATTCATAACGGTCACGATCTAAAAGCAGATCATTTTTGAATATTTTTCGGAAGATTGCTTATCGGTATGAACTTGTATGAGTTTTATATAATATTTCCTAATACTTCCTTTTCCTTTGAAATGTGTGGAATCAGTTTGCAGAAATCTTTTTTTATAATTGATCATTTGTTAGCTTTCTCGTTGTTTCATTTTAAATAAGATTGATGGGTTGTGGTCAGTCCGAATAATCTGGTTTAAGTTTTATCTTTTTCTTATTTTCTTACTTTGTTTGACCTCATCATTTGTTTTATGACCTTCCTTTTATTTTCCGTCTTAAGGCTCACTAAATTTACCCTTAACTTACAAGCGTTGCGTTTTATCATTTTACATATAATAATAATAAATGTCTGGCGCTTTGGTGGCCTAGTGGCAAGGCATCAGTTGGCATTAAGAATCTGGAAAAGCTTGAATTTGACGCTTTTTTGGATGGCATTGTTTATCGAACGGCGAAAACAAAAGGAAGTAGAAGGAAGGAAGAAAAAGGAAGTAACGAGTTGCTGCCTCATTTCGAAGCGCTGATTATGAGCTTCTACGTCTTACACGAGAATATTTGTCCTTAAAAATCGCTGTGATATCGATTCACCCCACTTCTTGGAAAAAAATTACCAGCAAGACAGTGGAGTGGGGATAACCAGCGATGGTGAGCGCTTTCAGAAAAAACAATTTTATATTGTAGAAAATTGTAGAATTGTAGAAAAATATTTTACCAGTTTCATTTCTTAAAAATCTTTATGTACATATGTATTCTTATTTGTATGGTTATTTTCTATTCCGCTTCATTTTTCTAAAAGTATTCACAATTTCTGATATGGCTGATTGCATTTTTAATGAATGAAGTTTAATGAATATTTAGAGAACACTTCGCCTAAGAATTTTACAGGTGGGTCCCATCCGACTTCACTTTTAATGACAATTTTAGGCTTTCTAGAAATTGAAATCAGAGCACTCTTGCTTAACTTCAGTCGCAACAGTATGAATTATCGATTTCCGTTCGAATATTATGGAAATAAAATAGAATGCATTTCATAATTTTAGGAAAGGAAGGCTCGAAATTACGTCAATTGGAACAAGAAACTGACTGTCGTATAATGGTACCAGCACGCGATTTACCCAGTGAAATAATTAAAATTGTTGGCCCACGAGAAGGTATCGAAAAAGCCATTCATGAAATACAACTTGTTAGTGATAAACAGGTCATTTGCTTTTGGCATTATAGTGGAAAGCCTTCAAGCCTTCCTTCTAAAAATTTTTGGCCGTACGCATACCAAACACTTCTTTTCAGTCAAAGCTTGCTCAAGAGCATTTGATGATACCAAGAATTTTTTATCCATGGATTCGAGGTCCCAATAATGAAATATATGATGCATTAGTGGCCCAGACTGGTGTGAAAATTAATATTCCTCCTCCTTCTGCCATGAATGAAGTGATCACAATAACTGGTGAAAAGGAAGGCGTACAGAATGCTGCTGAAGCTATTCGTAAAATATTTGAAGAAAAACGAGCGATAGCAAAATCAGTTACGTGTCAGGTGCGACGACTTTTACTGAAAATTTCTCAGCTGGTTTATCATATTGTTTTTTATATGTTATTTTTGTTTAATTCATTCTCTTCATTTTATTAGAAGAAATTTCCAAAAAATGGGAATTTTTGGGAAATTTTTTGTTTTCAGTGAGTGATATAGATCACATCCATTAATTTTTAATTTTTAATTTATTTTTATTTTATTTTTGTTGCAAATTATTTAGATAATTGCTAATCATGAATTTTAACAGGTTGCACGTGCTCAGCACCGTTTTATAATTGGCCCTCAGCGTAAAGGCCTTGCGGAAATTCTAAAGGAAACAGATATAAGTGTAGAAGTTCCACCAGAAGATCAAGATTCCGACACGATTACACTCCGTGGAAATCCTTGTAAACTGGGAGAAGCATTAGCCATGGTTTATGCTAAAGCGAGTAGTATTATAACAGCTGAAATAATTTGCGAACAGTGGATGCATAAATTTTTGATCGGACCAAAGGGAACCATTTTGCAAGTTTGTCATATTGAATTAATATTTGAGTAAAAATTTATCAGAAATCAAGTCATATTTATATTTAGACATTAGTGCCAAATAAACAGAAAATTCAAATTGATTTCGAACAAGGTGGACTTATCTATCTAGAAGGACCGCCTGACGAAGTTCGACTTGCGCAAGAGGCGTTAAACAGTGAAATCAAGCGCTTAAAGAAAGAAATGGCATCCGAAATGATGAAAGTTCATCCATCGCTTCATCGGCATGTTATTGGTAGAGGCGGAGCATTAAGTTAGTTATGCAAATTTTGATTCATTTGTTTAGTTCAGTTTAGTAGAAATTATAAAAAATTTAGTTTCGAAGATCAAGGATGAAACTGGTGTGCAAATATCGATTCCTAATGAACAGACAAATTCGGATGAAATAAAAATAGAAGGGACCAAGGAAGGAGTTAAACGAGCAATAGATGAAATCACTGAAATAGTTAAACGAATTGTAAGTTTTTAATTTTAAAAATGTTTATTGGAGAATAACGTAAATTATAAATTACTCAACTTTTATTCGACCAATCGAAAAACTTCATTTTTCTAAATCTTAAATGCTTTAAAATCTCGGTAAAAATTAGTAAAAAAAATAAGGGGCGAAATGATTGTGTATTTAGTTGCGAATTATCAGTCTTTTTTGGTTTGGCAGCTCGAATTGAAAATAGTAATGTTTCACTTTCAGGAAAATGAAAAATCGCGCGATATAATTATTGAGCAACGTTTTCATAAACAGATCATTGGGACCAAGGGAGAGGCTATCCAAAAACTTCGTGAACAATTCCCATCTGTTTTGTTTACGTTTCCAGATATTGGCAAAAAATCGGATATTATCAACTTACGTGGTGATAAAAATGAAGTCGACAAAGCGTACAAGCAACTTATGGCTATAAATAAAGAACTTGTACGTTTTTGTGTTAATTATTTGCTTTATCAAATTTTTATTTTCTAAATTATTTTCAGAAAAAATTATATGAAAATTAAAAAATTAAAAAATTTTTTTGAAATGTTTTATCGATTTTTTCTTTTTCTCACTCAGTTTTATTGCAGCAGTCCGAGGAGGATTTTTACGTAAGGTTAAAAAAACGAAGATGTAAAAAACATTCTATTTTTCATAATTTATTTGCAACAAATTATCTTCGCTAAAGTGGAAATTCGTCAGAGGATATAGATAGAGGACAGATTGGCTCAGTGGGTTGTTGCTCATTTGGGGGTGGCTGAGGTTCGATTCCCTGTAGGAATAAACCTGTGCAAAAATCTGGGTGATGCTGTCGATTCACCTGTATTTCTATCGCCAGGGAACTCCCTGGCATATTGCCCAATTACGATAAGCCAATGGAGCAAGTTTAACCAGTAATGGTGAGGACTCTTAAAAAAAAAATTCGTTGTTCAAGGTTTAAATATTCAATCTCTTTTAATGAAAATTTTTCAGTTGGAAAGTAATTTCCAAATGGCTGTTCCAATTTTCAAAGAATTCCATAAACATATAATCGGAAAGGATGGTGCGAATATCAAAAAAATTCGTGAAGAGACTGAAACTCGTATAGATTTGCCTAGTGGTGAAACGGGGGAGGATAAAATCGTTATAACAGGAAAAAAGGCCAATGTTGAGAAGGCTGCTGATCAACTTACAAAAATACAAAATGAGTTGGTTAGTATTTTTTAATTCATATTTTGTGTTTGGTTTAATTTAATTACCTCAGCTTTTGCTTACATATCAGTAAAAGAAGGCTAATAAAAATATATTCGACGATTTTATTTCTTTCTTATATTTAGGCAAATATAGTCGTAAAAGAAATAATGATACCTCAGAAAATTCACTCCAGACTACTTGGTGGTGGTCGCCGACTTATAATGGATATTCAAGACGAATGTGGTGGTGTACATATAAAATTTCCGTCGGAAAAAATTGTCTCAGATAAAGTAAAATCATTAAAATCATCATAGTATTTTCTGAAAAAGGCCAATGAATTTAGGATGATTTCTTCAAGAGAAATAAATTCATGAACCTTTGAGGTTACCATTCGTGGTCCTAAAGAAGATGTGACAAAAGCAGAAAAAGCTCTTCTTGCTTTAGCAAAAGATCGAGAACTTTCAAGTTTCGAAGATTCAACCACTGCCAAACCAGAATTTCACCGTTTCCTCATTGGCAGAGGTGGAGCTAGAATCAAGAAGGTAGTAATTTAATTGTGGTCTTTTTTTCGTGTTTCCTTTTATTTTTTATTGCGGAGCTTTTCTGCATGTTGTATTATAGATGCGTGAAAATTATCCTGATGTTCGCATTCTTTTTCCACGTGATACTGATACTGATAAGCAAACAATTCATATTGTGGGCAAAAAAGAAGAAGTGGTTATTGTTAAGAAGCAACTTGAAGCTATGGTTAATGAACTGGTATCCACTTTTATCACTTTGCGGTTGCGGTTTTATACAATATTATTACTGTTTTTTATAAAAATTGTTTTAAAAAAATTTTTAGTAGGTATTCTGTAAATGTAATTATAAGATAGTTTACAGAATGAGACAGTTGAATTAATGGTGAATGTTGACCCGAAACACCACCGTCATTTTATGGTTCGTGGTGCCGCTGTTCTTCGTGAAATTCAGGAGCAAAATGGAGGTGTTATTATATCAGTTCCACGAATGGGGACTGGTGATAGTCGAGTGATAATAAAAGGAAGCAAACAGTGTGCTGAATGCGCGAAAGCACGAATTGAAGAAATTGTAGAAGATCTGGTAATGAAATCTTGTGATAAATGGAAATATTAATCATTTCAGAACAAACAAAAACTGAAAGATAATGAAGACTAAAAACAAAAGATATAAAAATATAATTGGAAATATTATAAATTCTTGAATGATGATTGAAATTTCCGCTCACCAATCTAATTTTTTTTGTGGTACATGAATTCATATGGAAGTACGACAATCTTAGTTTAAAATGATCACGGAATTTCATTTAAAAAATTTTTATAGGAAATGCAGGTAAGCATTCAAGTAAATATTCCTAGTGTACATCATCGCACACTTCTATCAAATCGTGGGCAGAAAATAATGGATTTGGGTTCAAAATATAATGTTCAAATCAAATTCCCAGACCGAAGGATTCGTGGTTAGTTTGACAGTTATTTTTGATTGATTTGACTTGATTGTGTAAAAGTTTATATAGTTTATGTTTATATAGTTTTATGTATATTTTTATAATTTCGCATTTAAACAATTTTCTATTGATATTTTATATTTTATACTAATATGAAAGGTATATTTTAGATACAATATTTTCGTTCAAATATTTAGATAAAATAATATAATAATATAAAAGAAAACGATATTTAAGATGATCTTATTCGTGCTTCACAAAAAGATAATGAGGATATATCCCAGTTGGATATTATTACAATAAGTGGTCGTGACTTGAACTGTGATAATGCGGCAAAAGAATTATTAGCTCTTGTACCCATTACGAAAAATGTTTGTTTTTAAAATTTTTTTTTCAATGCACATATCGCTTAAATTTATGTTTTTTTTACTTTGAATTTATTGAATATCTTAACAATTTCATTGTACTCGTCATTAAATGTATATTTTAAAAATTCTATAATAATTATATAATGTTATACAATTTTAAATTTGTATAATTTAAAATCTTCATCAAAAGGACAAAAAATCCAAATAGTTCAAAAGATTTAAAATTTCTGATGATGAAAGATCATTCTGAAAGTTATAGTTGAAAATTATCCTTTGTTCTTCTTACGAAAAATATTAGTTTTTAATATAGTTTTAAATGTTAGTTTTTACTATTCAATTTTCTTTTTTTTTCAGTGATTGGATATCTCTTTTATCAGTCAACTTTTTTTTTTAAATTTATAAATAACACAGGTTAATGTTGCATTCGAACATCATCGATTTCTTATTGGGAAAGGTGGCGAGGCCATACGTTCAATGATGCAAACACATGATGTTAATATATCTATTCCGCAAGAATCTGCCAATTCTAATGAGATCGCCGTTACTGGTCCATCTGCAAATGTCGAGGAAGCAATTGCTCACATTCTAAAACGAGTTGTAGAGTTTGAGGAAGCAGCTGAAGATCGCGTTAGTTTTATAAGTTCCAAAAGCATCAATGCATTTTCACATTTTTTTAAAATTAAAGTATGCAAATCTTTAGTGGAAATAATATTGTTTAGAATTCTTAATTCACTGGATAATATTCTTTCATTTAGCGTAATTGATCACACTCAATATATATAATATATTTTGTCCGATATATATATTTTTCCCACTTTTTGGCTTTTTTTTCTATCCTGAAATATTTTTAAATTTATTTTCCAATCTCAGCGTCTTCGTTCCTATAAATTGGAAGTGGATGTTCCGTCAGAATACCATATTCGGTTGATCGGCCCACGTGGAAAGATCGTTAACGAACTTCGTACTAAGCATGATGTACAAATATCGTTTCCTCGTAGCGATGAGCCTTCTAATACAATTACTATTACAGGTGAAATATTGTTTTGATATTCAGTTATAATTTTCATAATGTCTGTTCAACAGTAAACCAACAGAAAAGATTCATATTTATTTATTTATTACTGCCTTAATAGGATATCAGGCAAATTGTGAAGCTTGCAAGAGTGAAATTGAACAGATGATTGGAGAAGTGCAATCCCTTTTCACGCAGGAGATTAGTCTTGATGCTAGCTTTCACCCTCGTTTAATTGGAATGAAAGGAAGAAATTTGAAAAAAGTGAGTCGATTTGTATTTGAATTAAACTGAATTCACCATACTTTATTTTTTTTAAAGTTTTTTAAAGCTTAATAAAATGTTTAATTAAGGTGATGGATGAGTACCAAGTTGAAATTCGATTTCCTCGTAGTACAGATCCAGATCCTAACCTCGTAGTAGTTGCTGGAAAGGATGAAGACTCGGTGTATGACTGCATTGACCATTTGCGTGCCGAAGAAGAAAATTATTTAACAGAACGCCAGGAACGAATACAGTATATGGCACCGCGTGTAGAACCACAGCCTATTTATAATCCGATAGAACTAGAGATAAAAGGAGCTCCATGGCAGTTGGATATGTCAGAGGATCAGTTCCCTTCTATGGGTTCAACCCAACAGAAAACATCAAATCTTTCGGGTGCATGGGGTGGTATTAGACGGTTTTAATTTCTGTTCTGTAATTAATATCTTAAATTTTTTTTGGGGATTTCTTAATATTCTAAATGATTTCTTCTTCTTATTTCTTATTCGTTATTGAGCGTGATGTTTTTGGTACTTATTAGTCGTAGATGAGATTTATTTATATTTTTGACGGAATAGTTTTTTGGATTTTATGAAAAGATTCGATGCTCGCAAAATTCGTCTTATTTGATATTTTATTTATTAAATGTGTCAGGCGATCATTATAAACCTTTTATTAAACCATACTTTATGTGATAAGCAATAAGTCGGGTTAATTGTCTTTGCTCATTTTTTTCTAGTATTTTCTATGTTTAAGATCATGTATACCTCGTGATCGGCTAATAGTTTTAATGCGTCACCGCTTGCATTATTACAGTTGTTTCCTTTTAAATTATTTATCCTGTCAAGTGCCACACTTATTTCTTTCATAAAAAATGATTTTATATCTTTTTGAAACGATTTTTTATATTCTGCAGTATTTTTGCAGTTATAATGAACTGAAGTTACATTTTCCTCAATTGTTACTTTTTATTTTTTTTAAAAATGACTTCCTTCGATTTTCATTGTATTCATTAAAAATGGTTCTTTAAAAAATTAGTCGATGCTCGAAAATTTTATTCTATTTTTTGAGGATCATTCCTGTTTCAACTTTTTTTGTGCCTTATTTTCTTCATTCTTTATTGTTATGGTTCATTATACTAGTTGATAATCGCTCTTTCCTTTGATAAATGGTGGTTTGTTTTCGTGTTATAAATATTTCATCGGCAAAGCAATGTTTTATGCTAAAATTTTTTGTTGTGAAAATTCTGAAATTTATGAAATGATAAAATTTATGAAGTTGTTAAGGAAATTTTGGTTTTGGGTTGGATAGGTATGGTTCACGATTTGACATAATTGGTGAAGTTGATAGGAAATAATTAGAGTTTTTCCTCTTGCGATGGTTGTCCACCTTATTGCTTTTATGGTTGGATAGCAATGGGATGCTTTTATTTATTTATTTGTTCATTTATTTGTTTAATTAATTATTTATTCATTTTAAAGACCAGCCAAGCAGGGCGAACGACATGTGCTTGTATTTATAACAACAGGTAAAATAACAAATAATTAATTATAAAAAAAGAAAAAGAAAATAAATTAGCAATTTAGAGAGGAAATAAAAAGAAATAAATGAAGAGAAAGAGAAATTTATAAAATATAATATCGTACAACTGTTCGGGGTAACTGTTTATATATAATCGGATGGTAAAAATCGAGATTTCACACTTCTTGCACATGAAAGTTTTTTAAATAATATCCTAAATGATATTATCTAATCTTTTTTAAAGATAAATAAGGGTGACGCACAAGCTATGTCGTCTGGTAATTGATAGTACGAATAAAGAAGTCATGAGTCCTTAGTTTAGTTTTGCAAATAGGTTTTAGTAATTTTAGCATTGGTTCTTGTTGGATTCAAATTTAGGCTAAAATTATAATATTTTTAACAATCTAGTTTAACAGCTATACAGAATTTTATAAATATAAATTATATCTTGTTTAATTCGATGAATTGAAAGAGGATCCAGGTTGTATTGTTGAAGTTGTCTTTCATAATTTTAATTAATTCACCGTTTAGTGTGAATTTTCTCATCATTGCATAATATACCATTCGTGAGATTAACTGAATAAGATCCAACTTTTGAAGCTATTATTTGATTGTGTTTTCGTAAATCGATCTGGTTAACAGAAATAGCCAGATGTTAGAACCACATATTAGAGCTTTTAGCCGTTTGGTCATTTAAGGAGGAAGCAAATTGCAATCTGAAATCTGAATTAGTGTATATGTTAAAAGAGACTGTACGGGCAAAAATATCCCATCAAGAAATTTAAAATAAAGCCTTATTTCTGGAACCATTATAAACCATAATTCTGTTAAACTGCTTGCTTTCGCAAAACCACGTCTGGTTTGAGTTGTCAAATTAATTAACGTGGGGCATCAATGAGATAATTATTGTGGATATATTAATTTGATATTTAGGGAATAAAAGTTTCATTGTTATAGTTAATTGCTCATTTTTTCTAAATGAGTTTTCATAGAGAACAAGATGAATAAATGAATATGAATACAGCTTGATATATAGGAAACTTCTTCAGAGAGTATTAAGACGGTATAATGAAGCTTGAGCAGACAAATTTTGTGGCAAATAACGAAATTTTAGGAGGTACCATGTGAAATAAAAAAGTTCTATGGGAAGGATGTGGTATTGCAGGGCAGTAAATATCGAAAAAGCAAATGTAAGCGAGTTTGATGGGATATGAAGAGGGCGTAAGCATAATGATGTCCAAGTGGCACTCGAAAATGTGAAGCAGATGAGATAATGGCTTTTTTAAGCGATTTACTTACAAGTTGTTAAATTCGTCGCCATCATAATTTGCTTTCTTCAGAAAAAAGTCTTTGGATTCAGGGAAAAATTGGATTATGAACGATTTAAAAAAAAAATATGCGGTGATAAATTCGGCGAAAATAAATATTTCAGTAGATTACTTTATTGGTTTATAAATTGGATGAATATCTTAGAGGATATTAAAATATTTTCCCTTAATGTTTTAATGTTTTTAAAGACTTTAAAACTAAGACTTTTAAAGACTTTTAAAGACTTTAATGTTTTTTGTACAAATTTAAAAAAGGAGGAAAATAAAAATGAGATTAATTTGATGTTAGAAGTCATCAAATATTAAAAGTTATTTCAGAAATTTTGCATTTATTTATTTGAAAGCAACCAAGCGACAAGCGTCATGGTTTGCAATAAATAGCAACAAATGGGGTGCCAAATGGAATAAAGGGGAATTACAGAATAATACAAGTCGAACTGGATATTGGCATATCGCATAAGATTTTAAACTGTACAACATGAAACTTTTAAATAATGCCATGGATAATAAATTTTTTTTTTTTTTTTTTTTAAATAGCTAGAGATGAAACGGATGAAACTAACGACCTTCTGCAATTTATTCCATTAATTAATGGTGCAAATGAAATGAAAAGTTTCTGAATTCTTAGTTTATAGCTTAGCGTATAGGTTTTAACAATTTTAGCCCATTAAAATTTGTGGGCTCGAATCAAAAACTAATGAACCATAAACTAACATAATCACGCTGAATTTTTGTGTCTATAAATTAAACATTGTTTAATTTGATGAATTGAGAATGAATCTAGGTTATATAGTTGAAATTGTGCTTCATAATTAAGATTATTATTAGGAGAGAGGCAATTTTCTTTTTAGAAATCCCTCGCCATTACTGATTAGGTTCGCTCCGCTGGCTTTTCGCACTAGAGATAAATATGCCAGGGAATCTCTTGGCGATAAAGTGCAAGTGATTTGCGAGCACCCGTATTTTTGGATCTGGACAGTATATTTGCTCCTGCGGGAAGTGGGGCTTCAGAATCTTCGAGTTGCAACTGCCCACTGAGCCATTTTGCTACCTCACATAAAGTATTCCTTGAATACAATTAATTTATTTGCGGTATCTAAAGGTTGCATTATACTCAAGAAGAAGTTGAACGAATGCTTTATATATTTCAATAGCTTTTAAGTGATCAAAAGACAAAATTTGGTATTTTTGCGGATTTCTTTTCTATAGTTCTACAGTTTTACGTCGAATCATCCGCAATGTGCCGAGATCTGAGGCTCGCCTGATTATATACCACTAATAAAAAGATTAGGAGGATCGGATCCTTTCGAAGTTATATTAACTAATAAATCACACTTTTGAATGGAAAGGATGATTTGACTGTTATATTATAATAGATTACAGTTTTGACAATTGGCAAATCTACTGAAGCTATCTTGTAGCCGAGACAATCCCATCCGACAATAAATTTTACATTAGCGTAAAGATAAATGGTAGAATTTAAAACAACTTTGGTGATATTAATATATTTTATATAAAAAAAAATTATAAAATTATAAAATTTATTTTATATAAAAAAAAAATTATGGTGCGGTACAATTAAACCTTAAGGGATTTAAATGGAAGTTTGGAAGAAATCTCTTGGTACAGTTTGGTACTGGTACTTTAAGTAGTCTGATGTCCAGTTAATTCTCTTGCCATTAATTAATGGTAACCAGCAATTTACTGTGGGAAATATTATCAAATGCTTTGGCTAAATCTATATGGACAACTGACACTAAGACAATTAATACTGATGCTATTTTTTCATTATCAGTTGATGCCAGTTAGATTTTTCCAACAAAATCCATGGTAATAGGAGAACATTAAATCATTGTCATCAATACTAAGCAATCTATTTTTCAATTTTCAGTTTTATTTTAAACTTTTCAATTTTTAAAACTCTAATTGAAATGAATTAAATGAGTTCAGTTTTTTAAATAGTTCTAAATAGAAAATGATTTCTAAAAAAATCTTTAATAAAATTTTAATTTAATAAAAATCATTTATTATTTGAAGCTCTATTCTCGGGATTTCATTATCGTAAAACAAGGATAATTTTCGAATCCTCCAATTGAAAATTAATGTTTGAAAAATTAAATTAAAATATTTTTAAAAAAATTGAAAGAAAAGATTTAAAAATTTTTTTAGCCATTTTCAGAAAGTTTTACAAATTTCTATAAAAAATAATTTGCAAGAATGGTCAATCAAATTTAGAAGTTTTCAGAGGAGCGGTACTCGGCCTCGGCTTTCCTTTGCTTATTTCTAGACATATGACGAATTTTTTGAATTTATAAATTTTTGCTTTCTGCGACAAATATCTATCTACTGAGCATTTTATTTTTGTTTACTCGTATTATTTAAAAAAAAAAAGATTTTTCCGATCAAAAAATAGCGAATTTGAAGAAAACAATTAATTAAAAGCCAGAATATATTCAAACAATGAAATTTGCTATCGGAGCTTTTTTGTTCTTCGCCTTAATATGGTTGAATTACCGACGAATCCGACTTAACTATTTTTCAAGTAATGCTTTTCAGGTTATTCTTTTCATTTCACTGTGCTTCAGCTGAAGGCGAAGGATTCGCTCCGTCTTCCTTAGCAGATGCAAAAATAAATTTATATCGTTGAAAGTAATATCTCGAAATACCCACTTTATGCTCAATTGACTCCAAACTGAAAGGATTTCACTTCAAATGAACCACTTTAATGGAATATGGTGTTAGTTATTTTCTTAATTTTCATTTTAAAGTCCCCTTTCTTAAGCGAAGACGGACGAATTTGTTTTTGTAATTATTGTAATTTTTTTGGCATGAATTGGTTTATATTCTTCGAAAACAAGAAACTGAAAAATTTGTCAAATGAGAAGCAATCTTTTTTATTTATTACCTTCTGTCACCTTTAATATTTAAATTGGTTTCATTGACTGAAAGAAAATTGGCTTTGTTGTCGCACCTTACAGTATGTAACGGAACCCTCTCTCTTTTCAAATATTTTTTTCATTCATCGCCGAAAAATTTAATCATTTCCCAGTTATTTTTTGTTTCGATGGAACAATTTTATTTGGATCTTTAATTTCTGATCGGTTCATTTCAGATTTTTAGCGATTTCATGGTTGATTAATCATATAAACTCATGTGACCGATTTACTCTAACTCTAACAAATTTTAATTGATTTCTAGCAGACAAATAGCAAGCATCAAAAATCTTTAAGGAAGGATTATAGAAAGTCATTTGAAAATGTTCAAATTCTTCTTGATAAAGGCTTTTAGATTATGAAAAGACGAAAAATTTTTTATTCAAAGTGCTGATAAATTGATAACAATAAATGAAAAAAATTTATCCAAAATATTATGGATAATAAGCATTTTAGAAACATCAACTAATTTGAAATGGTTATTCGATTTTTTCTAAAAATTTTCTTTTCGCATTTGCCTTACCAATGAATCGTAAATGATAGCCTAAAACTATTCATATATAGAAAAAAAATAAAACAATTGATAATATCATGTTAGTATTAAAAATGATAATATTAAAAATGCATCGTAAATGCTTCATGGGTCTCCTCAAATGAGTGTAACTATCTATCTATCTCGAACACAAGTCTGCTGGGAGGAAGATATGGTCACTAAGAAATCACGTTTAATGCATGTATATTTCGAGGAGATTTATGAGTTTAAAATTTGTTTTTCTAATAGCATTCACTATAAACTATCTTCTGATTACTATGGGACAATCCTTTTGCCAAAGAGTCACTCGTGGTTGTAGGATTGGATTCAGTTGGATTCTTGTCTATGGACAAGATTCCTTAATGTTTAATCACAATCGAAGTAAAATACCAATCTGCGGTCATTCTAATTGCTCTTTATCTAAAAACTACACTGAAATTTTTTTGCAAAATAATGCCCTAGTAAATTTCTTAACTATATATTTATAATTTATGATACATCATATATTTATTTCTTAACTAATTCGCAAATATGGATATATAAAATTTAAAAAAACAAAGGCACTGGATCGAAACAATATGCAGACAATAAAATAAAACTGTTCTATTAATAAATTCAAATATCGAATGATAAATTTCATTATTAAATTATTATTTACTCAATAAATTTGTCCAAAAAATTGATTTAAAATTAAAATATAAACTCCGAGAGACAACCATAATACCTTCTAGCAAGCATTTAGGAATCCGTTCACACATTTCAGAAATAAAGCTAGCCAAAAGTTAGAAATGGTGGGTGCCAGTGGAAGGCACCCATTTTCCTTTATTTTATCTCAGCTTTTTGTTCGAATGATTTTATCCTTTAAAATTCATTTAGATTTATGAAAAAATTAACAAACAAAATTATTCGGATAAATATAATTGAAATTCAAACAAAAAATATTTATATTAAATTTAAATCGAATTATTTGAGAAATAATTTGTTAATCTATGGGAAAATTTAAAAAAAAAAGCTCTTTCAAAACAAATTTTTTACTTGTGAAACTATTACTTCTTTCAATGATATATTTCCCGAGAGAAATCATTTCACAATCCAGAAAACTCTCACATTTGCATTTATACAGCTCTCCTTTTCAGTTGGCAATTTTCAACGCCGGCAAGTAGTTGATTCTAAATTTCTTTTTTATACAGCGGTTTTAAGTCTATAAAAGGCAAACGTTAAAGATAACCTCTGTAAAGCAAATTTATCATTTCGTAGTTAACAATTTTTATAATGGTGAATTATGGAAAAACTACAAATTTTTTATATTTTGAAAATTCAAATATTAAGCTCATTAATTTCATAAATGAATCACATTTTATCTAATATTTTGCAATTAATCTATTAAAAGTAAATAAGATATTAAAAAGGTAATTAGAGCATATTATTAGCATATTTCTGGTTGGAAACTCTTAATTGGCTGTTAATTATGAAATTGTACGATAGCAATTTCTGCGAGATACTCATACGGGTTTGCGAATCGCCCCCACCATCTGAAACTTGCTAGTACATTTGTTCTTGGAGATTTGCAGATATAAATACTTCAGTGACAAGCTGACAAACTAAATGAATTTCTTTTCTAAGAATGCTCACCATTCCTGGTCAGGCTCGCTCTACTGGCTCCTCAAATTTTGCTAGGTAGTCACTTGACGATAAAAGTATAGATGAGTGGTCACCACCAACCAGAATCGATTTAGCAAGAAAAAATTTCCAGTACTGAAGTTAAAATTATGTATTTTAAGCGTTTTAAATAATTGGAAACTTTTAGCAACAATATCATTGACAACACAAATCGGCAAAAAAAAGGAATTTTGAAGTTGGAACGGAACGGAAAACTTACTATCTTCTTTTGAACAGTTGAATGAAAGATTTAACTTTTAATTCCACCAGAAATAAAAGATTTGCGATTAACGATCTTCCACATATACGATCTTGTTATGAATTTGGTCCTGAATTAATTAAAGTAAATCCTTTTCTCGTTTACTTAAATATCCGAAAATTCATAGTTAACATTTCATCATGACAATACTTCCGCAATATTTCACTGGGTTTTTAAATTTTTCATTCTTTTTCAAAGAATTTTCATTCTTTAGAAAATTTCTTATAAACAAAAAATATTCGCAAAATTTTTACATTATCGAGAGTTATATAATTTACTTGAAAATACAGTTGCATTTCACTTTGTTATAAGCCAAATTTTTTCCAACCCATTTCGAATGGAAATGCAACAATTTCTGGAAAATTCGAATAATAATAAACTGAGAATAATAACAAAAAAATGATGATAACAATAATAGTAGGCAGTAATGATAGCAGAATGGTGATAATGATAATGATAATAATAGTGATGACAATACTAATGGTAGTAATTACAAAAATAATGTAACAGTGTTGTAATAATGGCAGTGGTAATAGATTTTAAAATTTCTATAGTTTTAGTGAAATGAATAAGGTGAATAATTCTTATGGCAGTTGCTTCAGGCATTATCATTTATATTACCTGGATTGGGTAGTACGATAACAAATGCAATAATAATAATTGCTATAATTCGTAGTAAATATCTCAGATCACGTCGAGAAATCATGGTGATGTTTGCTGTTAGTGTTGCTGATTTCGTAGAAGGTTTCAAATTTTATCAAGTTTTTCATAGCTAAATATTATTAATATAATATATAAATAATATAGTATAAATATTATTTTTAAATATAATAAAAATAATATAAATATTATTTTTTTGCAATATTTCTATTTGGTTGGTTAGAAATTTCTTCCTCTAATAACTCTCACCATAGAGAGTCAAGATGCTGATAAATACCTATTTTTATCAATTCATTGCCGGTTAAGGAAGTGCTTGATTTTAAATAACTTGGATTCATTCTAATCCCAAATGGCCAGGAAAGAATTAAATTGTAACCTGGATAACGACAGCTAGAAATGTGCTTTCTGGTTGATTTGTATGGAACCGGCGAAATCACCATAAAGACGAAAATCTGCGTCCATATAACTGCAGTTTGGCCAACAAACGCGGCCAGTGGGAATGAAAGATATTAAGAAGCTATCAGCCTTTGACCACTTATGTCTACGATATCTTTTACGGATTCGTCAAGCGGATAAAATCGCACATGATTGTATCCATCATCGCTCAAATACCTGTATTAATAATGTTATCACAGAGCGTCAGTCGCCTTCACTGGTTAGGAGTTGATGCATATTTCGCTACTTGCTGAACCCTTGTGGTGATTGGCTTCAAAAGCGAGGATGACCAGTCAAGACCTGGTCTGACACAGTCAGGAAAGGTTTCGAACGTATAGAGAACCCAGCGATATCTGGACTTAGACGATGGAAAAAGGAATGGCTTTTATTACTACTAGCGTTGGATCGAGTAGGAGACGACTTGCTCTTGTAACCTGCCTAACCAGCAATGATGAGAGCTGTTAGAACAAGGAGAAGAACAGCTCTCACCATTACTGGTTAATTTGGCTCCGCTGGCTACCTGGATAACATGTTTCCAAATAACAAGTTGTTCGAACTGATGGCATCTTTTATATAGAAGCCATTCTTTCTTCCAATGTCCATATGTTACATCTATTCGTTCAAAAATTGGTTTGGAATTTCCAATGATTTTAATCTTACAACTAATAGAGGTCAAATTTAACTGCAATCTCAAGGGTAACGAAAAAAAATTCTGATAAAAAAAAATTATTTTTCAGCTTTTGCGACACTACACGGTGGAATTTATCGGACGATAATTGTTTTAAGTGATTCCATAGATACAAATTTTACTCCTTTACAATGTATGGCGTTACCGCATTCATGGCTATGGCGTTGGTCGGATTTTGCAACTGCATTCTCGCTACTTGCACTATCAGTTGATCGCCTTCTATCGATCTTAGTTCCCGTAAAATATTCTACATGGGGATCAAACTATATCGCAATTGCCATTGGAGTGGTAAATATATTATACTATCACTATTACTATTAACCATTGTTATATTTGTTAAGATCTAATAAATTGGACAGACTGATCGAGTGGAATGTTTCCTCCACTCCACTAGAACTAAGGCAACATAAGTTCGAGTTCCATCTTTTGAATGAATTCAATTTGTTATTAAACGTTCTGGATGAGTGATTCTTGCTACCTGCACTTCTGCCTTTAAGTGGCTCTCTGGTGATGAGATATGCAGGCAGCTAAATAAGGAATAATGACGAAAAACTTTATTCTTTCGTTTTTATTTTATTCTCAACTCTAATTTTTAGCAATAATTTCCAGCCATACATCACTTCATTCATCCTAATGTTATGTGTATGGATAACGCCAATAACATCCGAAGGCTCTTTATCGATACTTTGTGCAAATGTTTATTTGTCACCAGTTTTTTATTCGTTTTCAAAATATATAAGTAGTGCGGCATCATTTCTTAGTATTTTACTCTATGTACCGATCATTTTTATGGTACAAAAACAGATGAAACGAATGGCGGATAAAATCTGCGTTTCGCAGGTTTTACCTTAAATTCATAAATTTTTGATTAAATAATTCTTTTCGAAAAAAATATTCCTTTGCCACAAATGCGACCACTCGAAATTTTTTTTGTGCAAAATTCTTAAATGATTTTAAATGCTTTAAATCATAAGTTGGAACGAATTTTCATTGCAGATCGATTTGCAACGAAAAGCTCAATTCAAGATGACTGTAACGGTGGCATTTTCCTCTTGTGCAACATTCTTTTTAGATGTTATACCAAGGGCAATCGGCATTTTCGGTCTGTTCATCAATAATTTTCTCACCGCATATTTAAGGGTTGTGATATTATTTATTTAAAACTTCAGTAATCCTCATCCTCACTTATTGACAAGAATTATTTGATGGGAATGCAAACAATGCAATAAACTTGAAGAACGAGGCGTTAGCGCCAATAATTTCTATTAGGCATTTTCCTTTAGATATTAGAAATTACGGTAAGAAATTATTGTCAGCTTATCACTTGACGACGGAAGTAAAACTTTCAAAAATCAGGCAGCGCCATTTTTTAGTGGCAGGTTGCAGCAGTGGCAGAGTGCAAATCTTCACTAGATAATCTCAACGATAACTTATCGCCCTAACTTGCCTCTGATTATGTGACTTGAAGAATAATACTTAACAAAATTTTCATCAAGTAGTTGTAACTAAACTTATAAATTTAGGTTTGCGAAGAGACTATAACAAATTGCCTTCACAATGCGAAAGCAATTCGATGATGTTATTTCATTTATCGAAAATTAATTCTATGATAAATTTGCTACTATTTTATCGACGAAATAGCGCAATACGTGAATCGATACGTCGCCTTTTTCATTTGCCAGGTCAACTTTTATTATTTAAAATTTTATTTGCTCTTTCTGCAAGATAGCGATTACTTGCAAGATTAGCGACTAATTTTCATTTTTTCAGCAAAGAAAAAGAAGAAAAATGAAAAGAAAATGCCTTTTTATATTTAAAATTCTTTAAAATTTCTCATCTATATTAATTATTTACCATATTTTTTTCTTTTACTCAAGAAGAATATTTTAGAAGCGCAAACTTCACATTTAAACTGAAAATTAAATAAATTTTTGGTAAGCAAAATAGTCCAGGAAGTTCATGCAAAGTATTCATGAATCTTTCTTTTTATTGCTCCAATAGAAATTGTGAATTTTCGTCTAAACTGTTTCTATTGATTACTGTAGTGAAACTCTTGGCTGGGAGTGGATAGTGATAAGATTAACCGGATTCCACTTTCCATGATAGACTTACTTCCGTTGGGAGCCAGGAAACGACCACATGGTGCTTGATGAAGCAACTTAGTTGCCGTACTACCCTCGAATTATTTAATATGAATATGAATTATTTAATATGAATCAACTATTTAACTATTGTAACTTTGATAAATCAATAGAAATTAATGTTTTTTAAATGCTTTTAGTTGAGGCCGACAACTGCACACGAATTCAAGCTGTAGCGAGTAGAGTTGCAAATAACAAAGTGTAATTGCAGTAATTTATGTATATAAAAACTTCCATAACGAAGTTTTCGCTCTCGTTCAAATATTGAAGGTTGAACTTCGACAATTCAGCCTCTAGAACGACCTCGTTTTCTTTAGGTCTTTTAACCACCTTACGAGCGAATTATTTCGCTGCTTTAAAGAGGACTCCACTTAAGCAAAATTGAGAGTACAGTTTTTCCATCTTCCCTCTTCTCTTACAAATCGCCACAAAACCCTTCCCATTTTCAATGTAAATGTTATATAAGGTGAAGATTCATTTTACAATTTACTTATTTGCTCCCGCAGTTTCCTCTAATTTGCAATAATTTACAATAAATTAGTTGCATCCCATCCACCGTAATGTCCTGGAACTGAATTTAATGTTCGAATTGATACTTTTACCATATTGCCATCATCTTTGCAAAAATAAATTTAATCTTTATTTTGGTATTGATTTTTTCCAATTATCAAAAATACTGTATGTGCGTTCCAAAAAATTTTTTTCGTATTTTCTATAGTAATAAAATGAGGCTCGGCACATTATTCAGTAGAATTTATCGTTTTACTGAACGACGCAAATAAATTCAAACCACCACTTTCCTTTTTAAACGGCTTATCAAAATGATAACATTGTAAATGATAAATGATATACATAAAATATAACCTATCGAATATGGTTTTCCATTTTAATAGAAGTGTGTAACACTTCACGTTGTTAAAAAAATTTCTAAAACCATTTACCAATTCGCGGTTGACAAATACATTATAAATTTATAAATCTCGGCGATTTCACTTCAACTTTAGCAAAGATCGAATAAATTTAAATTCTCATCCGCATGTATTAAGAAACATTTTACGCATACAGAAAGTTTAAATGAGAAAAATTATTAATAGCATAAACAGAAAATAAACTAAAAAGCGAAAACACGTTTAACTTGTTTTCTAGGAATATCTGATGAAGTAAATGATTCCATAGTCTCTTTCATAACATCCATCCAATTTTCAAACTCCTCTTTCTCAATGGTTGGAGGTAGAAACTTCTTGTTTAATATAAGAGATGTTAGTTCATCAAACATCGTTTGAATTTTCTGAAAAAATTCATGGACGATTTATAAACTTGAAAAAGTTTATCGTAATCAGAATCTTTACTTGTTTTAGGAAAAAAATTTACTTCTATTTTTCTGTGAATCGATATATATTGAAAAACTAACGGGTTAAAAAAGGATAATCCACATCATAAGAAAGGTGTTACTAGCAGATTTAAAGAGACTATATAGTTTTTATAGAATAAAAATATCATATCTAATACAAATTAAAAGAGAATTTGTATGAACAAATAAACAGAATTATGAAATTGTATTTATTTAATTTAGTAATTATAACTATCGCTTTAAATTTATTTTTTAGTGAGTGATACATGGTTTAAATACATAATATAATATATATATACTTCCTTATTTTCTTGTTGAATATACCAACGAGTCATCCAAAACCCACGTAAACTGATATCCTTGAAGATAAGCGGACCAGTTGGCACATAAAAATAAAAAAATTAGTCACAAGAAATTAATAAATCATTAAATCATTAAAACTACTTAAACATTAAGAAAACCCAAAAAATTAAAAAATTTATAAAAATTAATAAAATTGAGCTGAGTTCGAATCAGTAAAAGCCACTAGCAAATAAGTAAAAATAGCAAAAAAAATAAATCTAAATCTTGATATTTTTATTTTAATATTTAATACATTTATTTAATAAGCAACTAATAACAAAACAAAAAAAGAAAAGTTTCATAGCTAAAAAAAGATAGTTGTGACAAAAAACAACATTTTCCAGTAGACATGCCAACAAACTAACTGCTATTTCCAAATTGTTATATAAAAGATAAAAATGATGAAGACAATAAACTGACTGACCATTAAAGCTTGCTTACTCATTCCACCATACGTCACCATAACACCACCTTTGCTAAGTGCTTGTGAAAGTAACGAAGTAGAGCGTCCACCAATACAATTTAAAGCCAATCTAACTTTTTGTGCCTAGAAAAAAGAATATAAAATATAAAATAAAACATAAAATAAAAAACAAAATATTAGCCTGCATTAAGATGAAATATGAAAATTAAAAAAAAGAATGGCAAACAAACAGAAAGAAATCATCACCTTTTCCCTCCCTATTTTTGCGAATTGCTTTTCAGTATAAACTTCATCAGCACCCAGTGATTTTAATTCATCCACGAGCTCATCCAAATTTTGCCTGTTACGAACGATATTTATCGTGTGCACATTTACTGCTTTGGCAAGCTAAATTAACCAATAATGTCATTATTATTAACCAATAATATTCAATAATCTATAGAAAAAAAATCTGAAATTGATGGCAACACACTGAACTTAAACTGCAAGCACTACTCCTATCAGTATCGCATAGTTTTCGGATCTTTCCTTATTGCTAGTCTTCATATAAATTTTGCAGCTTAAAAGATGTGCTGAAATGATGCACCATACTTGAATCACAGCTTTGCCAACCGCAGAATTCGCGCCATTCTGAATAATGGTTTCATCAGGTCGTAAATCAACGAAATCTTTTAGCATTCGATACGCAGTCGGTGGATTAACCTGAAACTCATAAGAAAAATCTAATAACGACAGAAATATGTCTCCTAATATTTTTTTAAAAAGATCAGAATAATTTTTTGTCCAAGAAACAAAGATTTCCATAATATTTTGAGCGAAACCACTTGAAAAGAATGTTTTAGAGCGTTTATTGACCAATTAAATAAAAAAAATTAAAAATTCATCTAAAAAACTAACGCCATATATATCAAACAATTAATAGCATCGTAAATACAAATGAAGATATAAAAAGATTAGACCCTGATGCGTAAAATCATAATGTTTAAAGTCCGGAAATCTAAATTCCTATAATAGTATATATGTAAATAAAATATGTAAAAACGATACCTTAATAGTAGCAGCAGCTTCAAAAGGTAAATTTTTATCGATTTTGAACAAATCGTCCTCATGGTGCACAGAATGAGTCTGCCAAGAACCAAGCCCTGAACGTAAAGCTACAACGTGATCACCAGGAGATAAATAAGTAACTTCTGTGCCGATCTATAAAAACAAAAAAAATTTGGAAATAAAAAATCACAAAAATGTTTTTGGTCTGCGAAATGGTACAGTCCAGAATGCCAGAGCTATCAGCTATCAGATCAATTTTTTGGAAGTGAAGTTGACTAACTCATTAGAATGACAGAATGATAAGAAGAAAAACCTTTTCAACGTACGCAAATCCTTCATTACCAGCAACAGCCGGAAGATCGGGTTTTACAGGATAGACGCCCTGAATTTGATTAATATCTGCGGGATTAATCGGCGAACCTTTCCAACTAATCTTTACTTCTTTCGGTTTAAGTTCATCGCTAATGTCAATATTTCTTAATTTTAACACCTGAAAAACAAAACATTTTTAAATACTTATTCAGTGAAAGTCTGAAAATTCCATTTTACTTTTATTCATTGAAATGCAAAACTTAAGTACGGTTTGCACATTTAAATGTTCATTAATCAGCGGCTTGCTTATTTTACTATTAAAATACTATTAAATATACTATTAATACTATTAAAATGATAAAAGAAAATCGAAGAAGAACTAACTTTTGAAGGATCGCCATATTCTTCATAGACCAACTGCCTTGATGTAAACGATCTGTAACAATGAATGAGCCATCTTCGCCATAATATATGACAACAACTCTCGTACAACATGATGTACCTAAATTACGATGATGTTGAGCAAATTTTATATAGAATTATTAGAATTATAAATTTTCCCATCGGAAAGCTAGGCGATACTATATTGATATGTCGCCTTCAAAGCTTAATTAAGCAAAGAATCATAGTTGGCCCGCAAACTAGTTGAAGAAAGAACTTTCCTTTTTTGACTACTGCCTTGATTTATGGTTACTTTTTTTTACATTGAACCGTCCTTTCAAGACGGCAATAGACATCGATCATTCTCTATGACAACAGCGTTTCTCTTTCTCCTCAAGCAAACAACAGAGCCATTAGCAACAGCACACCACTCCATTATTTCCAGGAGTCAAACGGCGAAAAAGACCAACTTTTGGAACTGTTCGTTTCAATTTTTATTTTGGCTTCACTCTCGGCCTTTTATCTCCTTGCTCAAGCCGTCAAAGACATCTTACGTCATCACCTCACCTTTGTTTCCCTATCTTGTTTCCAATAAGCCATCTACTTTCTTGGATGATGCTATAACCCTTACGATCCTTTTATCAATCGACCCTTCCTTGATAAGTAATAATCTATAGTAATCGCTAATTCGAATCCAGTAATCTTCCGTATTCATCGTTTCGTGACACTCGTAAAATATTTCAGCAGAAATACCATACCAAACTACCATTTCTCCAACTTGTCATCACCCACACCTTATTCTGTAGATTTCGATAAATAAAGATGTTGAAATCAATATTTCCCTAATAGAATAACATTTATCTTGAATCGAATTTATTTCTGAATACGACATATAAATATTTCACATTCAAATAATTTCATATAAATTTGGCAAACATACCGAATGAAAAAAGAAAAAGAAAATTAGCTATAAAATAATTGAATTCTCAATCAAATATTTTCTATTGAAAAAAAGATGAATAAAAACAAGTAATAATTCAAGATCATTTTTTAATGAAAAAAAAAGAATTTACATGAGAATGCAACCAAAAAAAGCAATCAATTGAAAAATAAAATTAATTTTTGAGATTTTTGAACTCATATTATTCCGAATCTGTCGTCTCCGAACTGCTCGATTCTCTCCTAGATTTTTTTTTCTTCCCGTAATCATCATGACAAATCAGCCGCTTGTTGCTACCGCTTTCTCTAAAACGAAAAATAGCACTAGAATGGCTGAAAAATACATATTCTTGGGACATGCACAATAAAAATGAAAATGCATTTTTCATAAATTAAATTAATGCTAGTAGTAAAATATTATTTAAACAGTAAATAATAGTAAAATAATCTGCACAGACCTATCATCTAAAGCATCATTTTCATTGTCGTTATTATCCTTTTTGGTGGAACCGTTTCGTGAAAGAACTTTTTCAATCAACCTCTCACGCATTTCCGTCTCCACACTAGACTGCGCTGAATCCACATCCATGCCTTCACCCTAAATTAAGGTAGATGGATTTTAAAAAAATTGCAGAATTCTTCACAAAATTTCTCACTTTTTAGAATACATTTTTAGAAAATTTTAGAATTTAGGTAGGAAAAACTTCGATATATATAAGCCTCTTTTGAAATTAAACTACAAAACTACATCTAAAAATCAAAATGAAATTTTTAATTTATATTTGATTTAATTTATAATATATTTTAAACTTGCATCTTCAATCTGAAGCTTGACTTCATTTTTTACTGAATTGCTTTTAGAATCACTTTTTCTACTTCGACTCTTATCTTTCTCATTCTCACGGTCCTTCGTTTTTGAACTTTTCTTATCGCGATCTCTTTCTTCGCGACGACCTTTCTCACTTTTGCTATCACGTTTGCTCGATTCCTTATCCTTATCCTTTTCACGCCTACGATCATTTTCTCGATCTCGATCTCTTCTGTTCTAAAATTATGAAAATGCATAAATTTATCGACGAAAAATGTAATTGCGAATATATATACAATAGCTTCAGTCTTTTAATTTCTATCTTTTTATTTCTATTGATATATATGCTTCATTTCTCATAAAAATAAATAACCTTTTTCTCATAAAAATAAATAACCTTTTCACGATCTCTTTCTCTATCTTTTTCTTTTTTAGTTTCTTTTCGTCGCGGACTCCTACTTTTGCTTCGCTTACGATCCCTCCTATCTTTTTCACGCCGATCCTGAAATAAAATCACGGGAATATAAAAAATTGAAGTTCTCATGGCAACATATATTTTCTATCATGACAAAAAATTTTACAAAATTTTACCTTTTCTTTTTCTCTTCGCTCTTTTGATCGCGACCGACGACTTCGGCGATCCCTAAAATAAAGACTCTCAAATGCTCTCTAACATCATACAAAAGAAACAATTTCGAAATAAAAAATTTCTTACCTGGATCTACTACGTGATCGTCGCTCTCGTGATCGACTGCGTCGATCACGAGAGCGACTCCTTCGATCATGTGAGCGACTATGTCGACGACGCGATCTGAACAAAAATATATTCTACAATATTTCGCTGTGTAAATAATTCTACCTATACTTTCTAAGCATATACGAGCTTGAAATTATCGAAAAAAATTGTTCAATGATTTAAACATGAAAAATTTACCTAGATCTACTTTTAGACCGTCTTCGACGTTCTAAACTACGACTACGACGTCGACGAGGAGATGGTGATCGACGTAAAGGCGAATAAGCCCGATCAATACCTAAAGCGACGAATAATTTCAAATTTTTATTACTTCTCACAGAAACTTTTGAAAAATAAAAGAAATCAAGAAAATATTACCTAATCCTTGACTCAATTTGCTGATTGCGCTTGATTTTTCTGGATGTTGGTTCACCCGTATAGCTTCTTCAACTTCTTGCAAAGCCATGTCGGCAGTTTTCCTCTCCGGTTTGATGATTGCGACACGGGAATGTTGAATCCTAATAAAATCATATTATGAAATGTATAAAATTCAAAAGGACAAATAACTTATAAATCGAAAAATAACCTCAGACAACGACCTCTGAACTCTATTCCATTATTTTGAAGTGCTATGGATATAGTTGGCTGGTTGGTGAATTCAATGTATGCGTAAGCACAAGGAAGATTTTCAGTTCCTGATGTCATTCGCAGATACATCACCTTAACTTTGATTAGAAACATTAAAATTTTTAATTTAAAAGGCAAAAATATTCGTATTTGTTGAAAGTTTAGAAATTTATTTAATTAAAATGAACCGAATCTGACCGGCAGTTTTTTTAAATTTGCATTTGCATTACTAGCACAATGGTCTTAAATAATTTAAATGCCCGGTATTCAATTCAATTTTTCTTTTTTCTTACCATTTCTGGTTAAGCTAACTTATCGGATCAAACAATTTTTGCCAGGAAGTCACTAGACGATAGGCGGACAACCATCATTACCCAGAAATTGCAAGTTAATAATAATCAAGAAATAAAAAAAATTGATTGAAAATTGGAGCATCATCCCCTTCTAATAAATTCCATGTTAATAAATTACTTTAAGTATCAAAATTTTCTCCGAGAATCGAGGCTTCAGTCTGAATCCCACCACTCTTTGTCGGGTTGCAATGTCGCCTAATGGAGAAAAACAAAGGAGAGTAGAAAGGCTCAGCGGACTGTTGTACAATTCAGAATGCTACTACTGGCGAAGTTAACCTGTCCAAGTGATGCTGGCAACTCACCTGTACTTCCATCACCAAGAGACTCCCTGGCATATCTGCAACAAGCAAGATGGGCAACCATTGATGCTCTTAAATTTAAAATTTTCCAGTGAAGAAGAACCGGAGGAAACACAGAATTGCCGAATTTGTTTAGAAGAAGATTTTCAAATAAATTTAATTGCACCTTGTAAATGCCAAGGCTCACTTAAATACGTCCACCGTAATTGCTTGAAACAATGGTTTGTAACAGCAAATAAAAAGGTATAGAATAGACAGTGGGTAAAAAGAAAAATAACTTTAAAAAAATATCAATATTTATATTATATAATATTTATATTAATATTTTTCTATACCAAAATATAAATTTAAAAAAAATATAAAATTAAAAAATTATTAGAAAAAATGAGTGGATGGGAGTTTTCTAGACATGTCAAATTTGCAATGTATCATATATTTTTGAATATCGTGGAATGAAGCCATTATTGGAATGGAAATGGCCGGCTCCAATCAGTAATGAATGGGAAGATGAATTTGATTTCAAATGTTCAATATTTTGGCTTATCTTCATCATTCGATTTATGCATAATATTATAAAGTTAATAGTACTTCTTGAGTATATTCTTGCTGAAGGATATAATACTTTAATTCTTAGTGAAGGATATGAATGAATACTCAATAAATTTACATAAAAAAATAAGATTGTACTAAAAAAATATTCATAGGATCCAACGATCTTGCATTTTATAATTTTTTAAATTTTTAAAATAAGTGGAATTATCCACCAAACTATTTAGTATATTTAGTATATCTAAAAGCAAGCCAGTGAATACTGCCCTGCTTGATTTTTTAATAAGTAATTTCTATATTATTTATTCCACTTCATTATAGATTTGGAGTACTGGAAACGCGAAATTCGATTGTACATTTATTAGGAGATGGCAAGTTTTCTTTTAAAAATTAAATTACGAGAAAAATTTCTATTCAAAAATTTTCAGAGTCGTAGCTTTAAATTCTAATTCTTTGTAAATTAAAAATTTTCAATTAAAACCAGTATTACAGGATTATTATACAAGACATGGATGATTCTTTTTTGGACAAATTTTATTTACTATGGCTGGGCAATATATGAAATTTGTAAAAAATGGAAAGAAATTAACGGTATATATGAAATAAAAGATAAGCAAAGCGCATATAAATAATTATAACCTTATTTGTATACAAATAGGCAACAAATTATATTTTTCTAATAACCTATTAATTGAATAAAAAATCTAACCTCGCCGATATTATCGTTGAAAAATTGCATAATTTCTTCGCCAGCGATATCCTTAGGAAGATTACCGACGTATACTGTTCGACGTATCTCCTCAACCTTCGCTGGATCTGTATCAGCACTGAGAGCGGGATAAGGTGGTAAACCAAGCGCAGCCAGCGTCGGGTCCACTGTAAGCAACTGAAAATAGCGCTGAACTTTAATTCTCTAGGATGAAAGGACATTCCTCTTCGAAAAACTTCAAAAAGCAAACGTGAATTGAAATCGCAAATCGCATTCTTAATTAATTTTTGAATTGCAATATTTTCCTTAACCACCAAAATTCGAAACAATTGAGTAAAAATTGTAAAAAGACAAATCTGAAACTTCAGAATCCCCGAAAATATTAATCAATTTATTTTTGACAATTTTTATCCCTATGTGCCTTAAAATAAGCGATTCACAAAACAATTCATCGTTATTCAAAGGCATTTTATCTATTATGGCTACACAGGTTGAGGACGATATTCCGTTGATGATAACGAACCAAGCCAAAATGCTGGCTACATCATTGGACCGATTCTGAGTTTGTCAGTGATTCATACTAATTCAAGAGCGATTACTGAAATTAATCAAATCAAGTCATAGACAAACTACATTTCCATTAAGCGATAACCGTGATCTAGGAATTTCGAAACATTCAAGTTATCCCGATTTCTTTTTTGTTATTGAATTTCCTAATTTCGAGATAACTCGAGGGTTTAGAAACTTGTGAAATCTTAATTTGGTATTTTCTCAATCCCAGACCAAATTTAAGATCAAATAAAAATAATATTAATAATCCATTTCTCAAACTGAACAACTTCCTTTTTAATGAAAAAAAAAGCATTATAAGAAGCCGTAGAGCTTGAGAAATGAAAAATCAATATTATTTTTTAAAGCAGCACCGATTGCCATCGATCATCAATAAAAATCCAAACGATGATGCAACTGAAGCAAATCTAAAATAAAATGTATAATAAAGGAATTTTTTTAGGCTAGGGAAATGTTTGGATGTCACTAAGAAAGACGAATTAATATCGAACCACCGTAGCCAGGATACGAATGCTGAAAAATGAGAATATAGAAATAAAACTGTAGATGTACTATAGATTGCAAGTCAAATTATTGCTCGCCAGACAACAGCAATCGTTGTCCATCGTACTATCTCCACAAAATTATTGTCATTTTAAACACTTATTCGATTTTCGAAAATCAAATCCAGTATCGATGGCGAATTAAAACTGCAAATCGTAACTTTAACACTGCTAAACAACAACAAAAAGGAATAACCATTTGCGTTCCATCGCCCATATCTTGCACCTGATTCGTTACATTCGGTGGAAGTTGACGCTGTCCTGGCCAAGCTGGTCCACCAGTTTTTAAAGCAGTTTCTTCATCTGGTATTACATCTGAATTTCCTCCAGTGAACTTCGTACAAGAAAGGTTATAACGCACCATTTTAAAAAATTATTGTACGATAAGCTAGCTAACCGAATGGAACATGAACAAATTTGCTTCAACTGATCAATAATTTGAATGAGGAAAAAAATAACCAAAGAAACTAAAATAAGCAGACAAAAAATTGGGATTATCAAGGAAATGAATGAAAAATTACCTGAAATAGAAGGTACGCAGACTAATGCATGATCTATAAACACAGTATTCGTAAGATGTTGCGCAACTTCAACTGATTTATGATCTTCAAATTTAACATAAGCAAATTTTTGAGTAAACGAAGATAGCTGTGGATGATTATCACTTGGATATATCTGGAAAAATGAATGAATATCGTATTAAAAAATGCGCATTTAAAAGAAATCTTATAAAAACAGCAATCCTTATCCTTATCCAATAGTGGTATCGTTTTCCCTTTTCCCCTTTTCCTTTTTATTTTTTTCATTTTGTACCAATTATTAAAAATTTATCTTTTTTTTGACTGCATTAACTCCAGTACATGGATTTACATCCGATTTAGTTTACAGTTAAATAAATCTATAAATCAATAATAGGTATTCAAATAAAGCACCACCACAGATTGAAGCAAATTTTTCAGAACTTAATAAATATAAAACAACATACAAATAACAAATAACTCTCTATACTTCTATTTAATAATTTAAAGCATCTATTGTATTTCTGATAAAAAGTACTACAATTTCTTGAATGAATCTAGCATCATGCATTTTCAACTTCCTGATTCTCTACCAAGAAAACTGGAAAAATGAAAGTATGAGAGTAATGGGATCAAATATATGAAATTCTCAAGAATGAAAAATAAAAATAGCCAAACTAGCCAAAGTATCAAGCAATACCTCTGATGAGAGAACATATGCTAAACCTCATAAATAAAATTTAGTTAATTAAACTATTAATCTATCGTCAGAAAAAATTTAACCATAGAACCGTTTATATTAAAATACATTTAATGCAAATGAAACCTTAAACTCATCGATTCTTCCAATAAATGCAAATAGCTGATATATTTGTTCCCTTGTTGCAGTTGTCGAAATATTACTGACATGAAGAACTCGAAAACGTGGTTCATCATTTCCTCCCATCTTGCAAATTCACCTGCAAAATTAATTAAGGGAATTTTTTTAGCAAAAATATGAAATGAAAATAGAAAATTTAATGATTTTCCGAAAACCATTCGATCGAAAATTCTAGAGGATATATGAAAAAATTTGTCCATAGATCCGTTTATATTAAAATAAATTTTTGAACGTATAGGTGGACCAGCAATATATGGACTTAGACGATGGAAAAAGGAATGGTTTCTATTACTTTCAATGATTGCATCAAACCCTGCCGTTTGGAAGCGTCTTACCTTTGTAGCCGTTGGAGCCAGCCTAAGCAGAGAGCTGTTAGAAGAAGAAGAAAAGAGGATAGATGAAGCTCTATGAAGACAAATTCTGGTCAATTAATAAATTAAACTGATAATTGATCTACATAGTAATTTGTATGTTAGTATTCGCAATATTCCGCTGCCTCAAATCGCAAAATTTGCAGCGTTATTATATCACATTCATACGATACTTTCAAATTATAGATGAAAACTGATGACTTCAAAGCAAACTTTGAACAAGGAAGAAAAATAAAAAAAAGAAAATACAGAAAGAAACGCATTAAAAAAAGTGTACATTAAAGTCGTTAAAATTAATAATAAAAATTTTGCGAAGATCGAACACTTTCTATTTATGCAATATAGATAATAAGCGATTATATAAGTATCACATGGCAAAGATCACAGCAAATATTTGCGATTTTCTTTTTCTTTTCATTTACCCTCTCAAATCATTACAATACCAGACACAGCCACAATATACCAAGTAAGACCCAATGAAAATTCGTTTTGTCCTCTCCACATCCCCCAAGTCAATCCTATATTACATTCCATAATCTTATGATTTATTGCTATAGCCGCAGAGGAAGTTGATGAGGCATAAAAAGAGTATACTGACGACGAGCGATAAGAGATTACAAGTCCAAAAAGATGGGAAGGGAAAAACTTTCATGAAGATATAATAAATGGATTATGGCAAAAAATGAATGAATGAACAACAAGTATATGTTCAAAGCAAATTATGGAAACTCCTCATAAATCATGGAAATTCCCCAGGATATCAAAAAGAGTCAACAAGAGAGGCCGAGATTTCACGACTGCAGTTCGCCGTATTTTTCGGTTCGAAAATTTTAAAAAATTTAGAAATACGACAAAAAAAACAGCATAGATTTTGATTTGTCTTCGATACTTACAAAAATAAATCAGCTAAAACTAAAAAACAGAGTAGCCCAAAGATCTTATCGCCTAACTACCTCAGGCTAAACCGATTAGCATAAATTTAGGAAATTATCGATCCAATTTTACTCACCAACAATTTAAAATATTACCGTAATTGATAAAAAATTAAATCGTCTCAAGAACAAAATTATTAAAAAAATACATATCCAACAGCACCATAACATCGTACCATGACAATACAATATGGTTAATTCAATAGATTAAAATTAATTTTATGAAATAAGGTTGAAAGAATAAAAATTATTTTAAATCAAAAAAATCTAAAATAATTTTATACAGATGGAGTGCAGTCGCATCAGTATTATCCCTTGCTTTTTTTCTTTCGAAATTTTTTATTTCTATTTTTAAATAAATGGAAAGTGGGGAAATTGCTTTTTCGTAACCCATAACTTTCAATATAATAATATTATAATAACAGCATTACTGAAGAAAACGCCAAAGCAAAGTCCAATAATTTAAAAGTACAATTAAAGCTATAACTTTGCACCACTTTGCAAGAAATGAACCATTAAAATGGTACCAGCACCTTCAACCATCCGCCCTCCCCACCCCAACCCGATCCCGATGATCTTTCACTCACTTACTACGAATCTCCTCCGGAAAACTATCTTTAAAAAAATACGGCTGCGGTCCTAACTCTAAATGTTGCAAGCTTTTTTAATATTTTTATGAGGACAGCTTTTTAAATATTTACGGATTAAACATGAAGAAGATGCCTTATGGGGATCTAAGTCGACGCTATCAAAGGAGATTAAGCGATTTATGTTAATTTCAGGTTAAGAATTCAATCGTCATTGTTCTCGTTCTTAAATGAAGAAGAAAATATTCTATATAATATGAAAATAGCAGCTTTTTCTCCATTCATTATATTTGTACCTTGTCCTTTTTTCGGTTGGTTTCTCATTTAATTCAATTTAATTGAGGTAATACTAAGGAAAAATCAGAAAATCAAAACTGAACACCGCGTTTTACGGCCGCTTGAAATGAACGGGCCGTAATTTCTCTCCAATGGTCGAGGTACCAGTTTTTTTTATCGTCTTGTTTTGCCAAGTCGGATTTGTTTTTGTCATAATGGAAGAAGGGGGTTTAAAAAAGATTATTGCTATACTTCTGGTCACAAATTCTTTAAAACAATATTTTATTAATTAATTATTCTTAATTGCTTTTATTTAATTTAAAAATGAAAATCACAAAAATGAGAAAAAAATTGTTTTTGATCAATAATTTATTTTTATTTCTGATTTTATTTTTCGTATTTTATGGTTTAATATTTAATTTCGTAATTTTACAATTGTCACTTATCGTTCAGATTTTTTTTCGATTTTCTCTTGCATATTTTCCTGTTTTCTGGTTGTGATTAGATTGATAAGATTGATAAAGTCTGTTGGATGCTAATATGCCGGGTGATGATCTTAAGAACATCTATTCCCAGGCTATTGCTCAGCGAAAACTTCTCTAACTTCTTCTTTTCAGCCAGAGGAGTAGTCTAATTAAAATTGAATATTACTTATACATAGGCTTACAATTATATAAGATAGAAAATGGCTTGGTTATCAGGGTGCTAAACGAAGGCAAATCTGAGAGACGATGTGACAAAGGTTAATGATAAAATGGCTAAGATCAAGCACTTAGATACTATATATGACATATTAGTGTTGTCAAATAATTGAGATTTCGAACGAAGTATTTTTTGACGATGCTGTGGTTTTTCGGCGATACGTGAATGCTTTATTTAACCATTTTTTTACCGTTGTTGTATCGTCTCATATTTTATTTTCTTTTCAGCATAAACCGTGATAAAAGCGATTTTATATAGGTAATTTTTAATATTATTTTTATTTTTTATATTTCAGTTCAGCGATGTCTTTTCGCCTTTATGGATCGGCGCGAATATTACAATTAGACGAGAATGGTGAATGTATATCTTTTAATAATGATTCGATTGTAGATTTAGGAATTTCAAGTGATAATCATTGTATTCATATATTCGGTAATTTTCTTCGTTTATGATGATTTTTTTATTAATGATTCCTTTTTTCTTTATGATTTTCCCATTTTTTCTGCAATTTCGGTTTTATTTGATTTAAGAAACCGGTGTCACTGATTAAACCTCTTGTTTTTCTTTTCTTTTTAGGAAGAGCTATTCGAGATTCAAAGCTATTAATTTCAACGACTCAGTTTTTTCGTCTGAATTCACGAATTATTTTCCTTCATTCACCATCTTCAAAAATCAGCAATGAATTATCAATAATTCTTCTCGTCGATACTAGTAAAAGTATTGTTTTGCCTATAATTTGAAATTATACTTGAATGAATAAATGAATGGAAGACGAAAAGAAAAATATTTAATTTTTGTAAATTTAATGGAAAATTTGGCTAACCACTGGTTATTAATGAAATTTTAGATTTAAATGATTTTATTACTGCTTTGCGTCTGTGTCAGTCGTTAAAGCCGCGTGAAAAGCCATCACCAGCAAAAGAATCAGAGGAATCAAAATCGGTATTTGATGCACGCACTGAATCCGCTTCTGCAATGCAATATTTTCAGTTTTATGGGTATGTGTCAGATTAATCGTTCTTTTGTTATATCTTTATATTGTATATCCGTATTAGTTTTAAAATCCATTTTTACATTTTTCGATATATTTTTATTTTATATTTATGTGTTAATCTATTTATGTTATTTACCTTAACATTACTAGTTATATATTACATCTTAATCATATTTTTGATATATTTTTTATATTTGATTTATCATTAATATTTCAAAAAAAAATAGCTGAAGAAAAAATTTAAAATGTAGATCTTGTCCGTCTTTGTAAAGTTTTTTTTTCATTTCAGATACTTAGCACAACAGCAAAATATGATGCAAGATTATGTGCGCACTTCGACTTATCAACGGGCAATTCATGCTAACTCAATTGATTTTAATGATAAGGTTTTTGAAAATTTCAGTTTTTGCCCACCAGGGCATATCTTTTTTTTTTAATTTAATCGTTATTGCTTATCTTCTCATTTTTTATTTTCAATAATAGTGGTAATAGTCTCATAGTTTTAAGGCTTAAGTATTAAAAAATTAGTTAATTTTTTTTTATAAAATTTGCCAAAATTTTGTTTCTTTTTTTTTATTTCACTTATTCTTCATTTTAGATCGTTTTGGATGTCGGTGCAGGTAGTGGGATTCTTTCTTTTTTTGCTGTACAAGCGGGTGCACGTCGAGTTTATGCTGTTGAAGCTAGTTCCGTTGCTGTAAATTGCGCCGTTAGTTTCTTTTTTCTTTTGTTATCCAGATTATCATTAAATTATTACCTTAATAATTTCTTTTTAGTTTTTGAATTTTATTCTTCTCCCAGTTATATTTTAGTCTAGGTTTGTGTACATATTAAATTAAAAAAATTTAATTTTTTCTTTTTAATTTTTCTTGGGAATCATGGTTAATTGTTTATTTTTAAAAATCGTTAAGGTTGTGCAATTTTCACAAAAAAGAAAAGGATTTTATTAATTTTTTCTTTTCAGGAATTAGTTAGAGCGAATAATTTATCAGATAAGATCATTGTAGTAGCTGGTCGAGTTGAAGAAATAACTCTTCCTGAACAGATCGATATTATTATCTCAGAACCCATGGGTTATATGCTTGTAAATGAAAGGATGCTGGAATCATATATACATGCGAGGAAATTTTTGAAGCCTGGAGGTATGTCATTTTCTGTTTTCCTTTGAAAATTTTATTGAAAATTTTTTAAAAAAGTTTGTCAAATTTATGTTTATTTTTAATATTTTATGGTATACATCTATTATATTAGTGGTATGTTGGATTGCTGAAATGTTAATACACTTGTTTTCATCGTATTTCTTGTATCATTTTATTGTACATTTAGGACGAATGTTCCCAACAGTTGGACATCTTTATATTGGACTATTCAGTGACGAAGCATTATTCATTGAACAGTATTCTAAAGGAAATTTTTGGTGTCAAGAGAATTTTCATGGTGTCAATTTAACCGGAATCCGAACTCAAGCTTTACTGGAAATTTTCAAACAACCGATTGTGGTTGGTCTTTTCAACATTTCTTATTTTTATTTTGTACCAATTGTTTAAATTGCTTTATTCCTTTATTGTTAGAAAATTTAATCTTAACAGGATACTTGGCATGTGAATACATTAATGTCAGGCACCATCAAATGGACAATTAATTTTGAAAAAGATCCTGAATCAAAACTACATAATATCACAATACCCTTCCAATTAACTGCCAATCGAACTGGTTTTATACATGGCATTGCAACGTGGTTTGATGTAGCTTTTGTTGGTTCCAGGTTTGTCATTAATAGATGTTACAGATTTTCTTAATATTTTCTTAGCTGTATTTGAGTAATGTTTTCTGGAATGAATTCATGGTATTCGCATTGGGAGCTGGTTTTTTTTCTGCTGAAAAATGGTCGTTTAGAATGTAGGATTTTAAATTATATGGGGTTTTATAAATTAAATTTAAATTAGATATTTATATATATTATAAGCAGTCAGGAATATGGTCTTCTGTATCGAACTTTTTTTACTGATATTCTTCTGCTTATTCTTTAAGAATCAAAGGAAATAAAAATTCTTTTATAGTGAGACGATTTGGTTGTCGACAAGTCCAACTGAGCCTTTAACTCACTGGTATCAAGTTCGGTGTCTGTTCGATAGACCTCTTATGGTATTCATCGGACAGACTGTGAATGGCTGTTTATCGATGGTGGCTAATGAAAGGTTGAAGTTTTCTTTGTATTTTTCTTTTCATATTAAAGGGATTTGGTTTCAATTCTTTATCGAACTTTGACTGTTTACATTGGCAATTTTGAGTTTTATTTGTTTATTAGCATTATTATTGAAATTTTTCAAAATTTCTTGATTTTTTGTTATTTTAGGCAGAGTTACGATATAGTATTGACTGCTGAAGTTGGAACAATGCTGGCACATAATACTTTAGATTTGAAAAACCCATTCTTTCGTTATACTGCTGCGGCAGTAATACCACCGGCTGGATTTAATAATGAAGCACCATCAGATAATCTTTTGCAGCAGAACGGTATCATCATTTTCTCTTTAGATATTTTAGGTGGTAGGTTTATCAGTTTTTTGAGATCATTGGCTCAGAATTGGTTCTGCAAAAAACCAAAGTATTGAAACAAAAACCAGTGCATTAGCTTTGTCCTAATTTTAGTTAGTGGAGTAGGCAATGCTGGTGCTATTAATCACATGGAATACTCCCTGGATGGAGCAACAAGTATGTCCAATGGCTGTAGTGAATCTATGCCTAATTCTGGTTCAACATCTGTTCCACAGTTTTTATCTGCTCAAAATTCCTTGGTACCGAATGATGGAAGTACAAATATTATTGATATATGTTAGTCGATTTTTTCATTTTTATCTTATAACTTTGACATATTAACTATTAATTTTCTCAAAAAGGTAATCATTTTAAAAATGTCGACAGTTTTGTGAATAAAAAAGTTTGTAGAACTTAAAATTTTGAAAAAAGTGAATAATCTCATTGAATGCTGATCATATTCACAATAAAATTTATTTTGTTCTTCAAACTTGTTTTAAGATTTGGAGGGATTTTTGGGTTTTTTTCCCAGTAGGAATAAAAAAATTTGATAGTATTCGCCACCCATATAGTTGCCATATGGCTTTCTGGAAAAAATTTTTAGTAATATTTAGAGCGGAGCTGGCTTGATTAGAAATAGTGAATGCTGCCACTTATTTTACTTATTTATTTTAATATTTTCCAGTATCAAATTCGCATTCTCAACTTACACAAGAACAACAGTTGGTTGAGACGGGTTATTGATTACGTACTTTATTTTTTTTATTTTTTTCATTGTCATTTCATTTAATATTTAATATAAAGTAAAATATGACTGCTTAAGTCTGAATTTTATTCTGGAGCTTACTAATGATCTGTTCCCATAATGACGATTTGTGGTAAAGAATGTTCATCGCCTTTATGGCAGCAATTTTTTTCTCTATGGTCTTTAATGGTTTTTTAAAGATGTGATGAAAAAGATTAAAGGCTAGCAAAAATGATGGAATAGATTAAGGTAGAATTTCTGTCTTGCGTCAAGTTTTTTGTGCACTTTTTATAAAACCTTCATTCTTGTTGTTTTGAGGAGAATTTTTGCCATTCATTTAAGGCGAATTTAGGTGATTTTTTTTTTGTTAAAATTTTTCATTGGAGCTTTCGTCCATATTTGTTTTACTATAATTTTTCTTTTAATTATATATTGTTTCAAATTTTTCATGTCACTTATGGTGTAATTGATTTTTTTAAAATTTAAGCGAATTTAATGATTCTCATCTATCTTATCCTAAACTTTTGAAGCTAATTATTTATGTCCATAGAATTATCAAAGGATTACCAGACGATTAAATTCTTCTTAAACAAAAATTTATTGTTTTCAATTAAACAATATTAATTTTGGTTAAAATAAAAAAAGTTTCCTTTTCCCTTATAAGCATTTTTCCTCGAAAGTTTTAAAAGTTTATTTCATATATTTTTTGTATATTTTCTATTTTTAGTGCTTTTATTTTCCGGAAATTATAGGGACAAAATATACTTATATTTCTCGCCATTGAGCTTACTACCTTTCTATAAAGAATTTGATGAGATTTATTGATTGGAATAAAGTTCGATTGGCGTTTGAGCAACTTTTGAATGGCTGTGGACATTCATGAACATTGCTCATATAAGAGTATCTTGATGATATATCCGAAGGGAAAAACAACGAATATTGAAAATATTTTCAAGTCTTGAGGAAAAATTCATGTGGGATATTTAAGTAAATACCAATCGAGGTGAAATATGTGGTATTTGTGGATTATTTGTTTTGCCGTAGGAGATATTTCTTTCCATTGTCAAAATGTTGATACTCATCATTGAACATTCTTTATTATTTTAATTTTTTTTAATTTTCAAATCATCAAATATACTAATTTTTAATTTTAATTCTTTTTATTTTTCATATTAATTGTTGCCTAATTTGTCTAATTTTGAAATTATTTATGGCCATTTTGCGGTCAAAAATCATTTATGAAGAGAATTTATGAAAAATAAATTTTTCATATTTTTTAGCTTTTTTTAACAAATCAATTTTTATTTTCTATATTTATTATAAATTATCAAATAAAAATTCACTTCTATTAAGGTCGATTTTTGCATTTTATTTGTTGATTTGAAGAATTATATTACTGAACTCCCTACTTTTGTAATTTGTAATTTTAGAATTATTCATTGGAATTTTATTTAAATCAGATGAATTTTTAGAAAAAAATTCGAAGGTAGAAAATTCATTAAAAGTACGATTAATTAAGATAATAATTTTCTTTCATATTTTCATTGCTTTTTTGGTTGTTTGGCATGAAAATTGGAAGAATTTTGGTGAAATAAGTTCTTTCAGCTGAAAAACCTATCATATTCGATTCATTCTCGGTTCCGACTATCTTTTTGAAATATTTAAATAAAAATGAATTTCTTTATTTTTAAATATTTCTAATATATAATAATATTTTTTAAAATTATTTAAAAAATTGAAAAAATCACATTGGAATAATAAATGATTTCACTACAAATAAGTAGTGGAACGGAATTGTTTGAGTGTTTTACGGATATTCGTCAGAAATCTTTTCGGCAAAAAAATAAATTTTTACAAAATTTTTTAATCGAAAATTGTTAAAATAGTTTTATTTGGGTTCTTGGCCACTGCTTAAGTATATATCTACTAGAAAATGAGATTTTATTGAGATTTAGGATTTTTAATTAAATTAAAGAATTGCAATTTAGCTGACCTTCCTACTTTTATAATTTTAGAATTGAATGAGACAGTGCCATTCTCTTCACTTTCTAAGGTTTGTGGGAAAAGCTGACGATAATCGTTTTCCGGTATTTTGCGTATGGAAAGAACATACTGAAACAGAATACTTTTAGCATTACTGCTAGCTCCAAGCGCTTCCAAACCGCTTGGTTAGCAAGTAGCGAGGCATGCTTCAATTCCTGCTATAGGGAAAAGACTGATATATACAAATGAGCAAATTTATTTAATTATCATAGAAGGTTTAGATTATAAATTTTAACGTACACATCCGTTTTACACTAGTGGAAGAGGGAGAGTAAAATAAGTGCTGGTAGGATTCGAATGTGCAGTTCGAACAGGTTAAACAAATTTCTCCAGAAAACCAATTTCTATCGTTATTGATTTGTAATATTAATTGCAATATTAATATTTATTTGTAATATTAATATAATTTTAATGAAATTAATATTTTATTTTAATATTTTTTTCTTATTTCTATTGCAAATTAGATCATATTTGCACAGTTTAATCAAAGATTCGACAGAATTTAATTTCTCAGGTGAGAGGTGCAGCCTTCAAATATGTTCATGGATTTCGTATTTTATGATTATATAAATCGATGGAAAGGTGCAGTTGCATCAGTTGAACACTGATCAACAGATGACTATGGGGTTTGAGGTTGCATATGGGAAATATCTGAGGATTTCGCGATTGAACTCAATCATCAAGAGCATCGTTTACAACGTTCTTTTAAAAATCTCACAACATCGTTTTTTTATTAAAAGTTGTTTTTTTTGCTTAATTGAAAAAGAATTTTCTATCTTTAGTTTCATTTTTTAATTTTTTCATGAAGACTCACGAGAATTATTGGCTTTTTTATAGAAGTTTTAAATATTTTTATAAATTCTTTTGAACTTTATTTAAAATATTTGCAAACCATAGTTATCCAGGAGATTTGATTATTTTTGATTTTTTTTAAAAACGAAGGATTTTGTGAAAAACTTGAGAAAAAAGAAGATATATTGCTTAAAGACTGATGAAATATAATCAAGTATTAACTAATTATTTCTAATTTTTAGTGGGTGTCTGTGTGGAGAATCATGTAATTTTATGTCATCGTCGTATTACAAGCATGTTATTACATGTGGCGCTTATCGAACACCATTGCCTGAGTCATCTATGATAAAAGATAAAGGAAATTTGGGCCTAAATCTTAAAATTTTTCGAACATTAGAACATCCAGAAAATTGGCGGAAATTCTTGTGATGAAGAAAATTTTTTATAATATCTAATTTGAATTAGATGGAAAAAAATTTAAAAAAATAGCGAAAAAATTCAATGAAACGTTCGGCAAAAAAATGATTGACAAGAAATCAGCATTTGCCGATTCCAAGGATGGGCGACTTTCGATCATAAATACGCTTCGTAGAATACAAACCCATGCAAAATGTTGGGTTTTTTCAATTTTGTAATTTTTGTTCATTTCTGGACATAAGATTTCATTTTTTTTAAAGAAAATTTTTCTAATTTGTTGCTTTCATTTTTTACCTAAATAACTTATTTTAACCGCAAAATTTCCATAAAAATTAATTATTTTACATCAACTTTTTTAAATTCATTTCTACAATTTCTTTCTCATATTGTTTAATTATATTTTTCTTAAATATTCTTATTTTTTAAATTTATTTACTGATGTCAATTGTTAATTTATGTATTTTTTCTTCAAATTCCTTGTTTCATATATATATATATATATATATATTGTGGTTTCAAGGATAGTTTAAATAGTTTAATTATTTTTTGTTGCATTTATATTTATTTTTTAGAAATTAAAAATATAGAAATTTTAGAAAAGTATATTTCTAGGGAAATTTTGGTATTTATAATTATAGTCCACTATCCACTAGAGTAAAGTGGACTATTTTAATGTACTTTTAGTTATTTTTAATTGAATTGAATTGGATTTGCAACATTGTGAAATCTTCATTTTAACTTTTAACCTATTAATCCTAGATTTATTCATTCTTTCAGTCACTCAATCCCCCCATCCATTCAGCTCTTTTTCTTTCTATCATTCTCGCTCATTAATAGCGCAATAGAATAAAGTATTAAGCTTATGAATGGATTTTGAGGATGAGTAATGAAATTTAGTGGAAAAGCTTTAGGAGTTCTTTCACGAACAAATGATCGAAGAATTAAGGATAAATCTATTTAGGCAAACTAAAGAATGAGTGTAGGATGCTTTTGGAGAAACTAAATTACTTAGACGTTCTAATTTCGAAAATTGTATTATTCCGTTCGATTTCTATTGTTCGGTATTTGAAATAGTCTTCGCCGTAGTCCTTGCTTTTTCCTTATTTCGCGAAAGGAAACTGCTTTTATCCATGTTTGGAGTTTTTCAGATTTTTCCGCATTACTTTCTTAAAAATTTAGTGAACACTGAAAAGTTTTAATTTAATTCACGATTTTATTTTATTTTTATTTTACTTTAGTTGACGATTTTTGTTTTATTATTTTTTTTGTGGTCAGTTTTAAGTTCGCTTAAAAAATTCAATTTGCCTCGAGGAAGGCGACGAATTTCCATGTCTCGTCTGTGTGATTTTTTCGCAGCCTTCTTTGCTTTATTTTTAAGAGCGTATTTTTCATAAGCAAAATCTAATTTATAATTTTCTTTATTTTTTCTATTCAATGATTTCGGTAAAACTAATGAATAATTTAAAATATCGCTTTATTGACTGATTGAAGAACAATTTTACATTGCTCATTGTTGTTTTACTATAATTCTCAAAATTTGCACTTTTGTTTTGCATAAATTATTTCACAGTTTTGCTGGACGAACTCTCTTTTTGAAGATATTTTATTTTTATTTTATTTATTTTCACCATAGTTTTTTCTAGTAAATTATACCACTTTTGAGTAATATTTTTATTAGAAAATCTGAAACAAATACGGTGAAACAAATGAATTGAATTAATTTGCCTTCTTATTTGCTATTAGTTAA